TCGCAGTAACAATCAACACGTAGCAGTACTAAGTTTAGATCTCCAAAGTGCATTTGATTCCCTGTGGTGGCCTGCTGTGCTCGAAGCCCTGCACACAGCTGATATTCCAAACAATCTTTTACAGTTTTTAAAAGCTACCTCAGCAACAGAAAATTCATAGTTGTGCACGACGGAGGAATCATTACCAGACAACAGACAAGGGGCTGTTCACAGGGATCATGCGCTGGTCCTGTCCTATGGAACATGACTTTCAATTCGATCTTGTGCACTCAGTGGCCGGAAGGAGCGAAGGCATTTGCATTTGCAGATGATGCTACATTCATCGTCAGAGGACACAGCAGGCACGTTCTCGAAGCCCGCTGCAATGACGTTATCTCGCAGTTTGACATGCTCTGCAATCAAAAGAAGCTACGAATCTCGGAGAACAAGTCGAAATATATAATATTCCATAAACCTGGCCAGACACTCCTTCGCAATCCATGTATTAACCTTAGACAAAAGAGAGTAAAACGAGTGAAAGAACTAAAGCTTCTCGGCTTATTAATCGATGAAAAACTCTCCTGGCTCCCTCATTTGCGAGCTCAACGCATTAAAGCTCATAGAATAGCCTCCCGAATAAAGGGCATGCAAGGCTCAGACTGGGGGCTCCGGCCCCACATCCTAAAGATAATATACAGCACAGTGGTAGAAAAAAAATACTTATCTATGGAGCGGCCATATGGGCACTTCCAATGACTACAAGGAAGCAACAAATTTTGAACAGCGTTCAACGCCCATTTGTTTTGGCCATCACGAGGGCCTACAGGACCACAGCGACTGCAGCAGCCACAGTGCTGGCTGGACTTATTCCACTGCACATACGGGCCCAAATGGAAGCGGTCATCGCAAAAGTTACTCTCCTTAAGCAACCTGCTCAATACCAGAACCTCCATTTCTCACCGGAGGACTTTGAGAGCAATCTACAAGTTGCGGAAGTACACCCGGCCCTTTTCTGCAAGAATGTCCATGCTTATAAACAACGATGCTTGAAGACAACAACGATCACTCTAATGCCCTTAAGATTTATACAGATGGCTCCCAGGTGAATGGAACGACAGGCTGTAGCTATACCATCAAACGAAATGGAAGCACCTTAAGGTCTTGGAAAGGCTTTCTGGGCGCAGGCAACTCGGTCTTTCAGGCGGAAGCCGAAGCCATACGCCAGGCAATCCTAGCAGCGAGTCAATTTAGCTACTCCACCGCAGAAATACACACCGACAGCCTGTCAGCAATTCATGCAATTCGGAATCCTTTTCACAGGTCGCCCATCATAGGGCGCATTCAGCAAACCCTGCACCAGTACAAAGGACGCATCCTCATCTTCTGGATTAAAGCACACGCTGGACACCAGGGAAATGAGGAGGCAGATTTACTAGCCAAAGAAGCCGCGAGCAATCTCGATGCGGAACAACTGGCAATAAAATTACCAAAATCCTATGTAAAGAACGCTGTTCTAAACGCCGCACTCAAGCAATGGCAGGAAGAGTGGAATTCTATTCCGCAAGGAAGAAAGGACCTACGAATTCGCTCACAAAGTCAGCCTTGAGAGACAGATATCTCAGCCACACATCACCAGATTTATAACGGGTCATGGTCCATTCCCCGATTATTTTCTAGAGCGAAGAACGAAGAATAACAAACACCAACATCTGTGTGTGTGGCCAGCCAGGTAGCCCGGACCATTATGTCACCTTCTGCCCACTAACACGAGAGTGGCACATGCCGTTTTACAACACAGATCCAGCCTATGAAAGATTCTTCATTCGCCAATCAGCGGTACTTAAAAAACTCAAAAGTATTATGGACAGACTGCAAGCATTAGGCCAGGACTTGTGTGATTCGGCTTAACCACAACCCTATCCTTTATGTAAATGTATATTAATGTATAAGTGTATCATTTCTATTACTGTATGTATAGCCACTTAGGATGATACACGATTACGTGTTGCCATTATTCTTCATCTATCGTATAATGTATAAGTGCCATTTTCAGTATTTCATTTCCATTAATGTATAAGTCTTTAAAAGTATCATTTGTACTAATATATATGTATAGCCAAGTAAGGTAATACACGAATATGTGTAACCTTTAATTGTCATCGTTCACACTGATACACAATTTTCATTCTCAGTGTATCATTTCTGTCAACGTATAGGTGTGTATGTATCATTTTTATTGATGTGTGTATAGTCCAGTAGAATAATGTATGATTATGTGTTTTCATTTATCGCCATCATTTGTATGTGTTTATGCATATCATTTCTAGTAGTTTATGTATAGTCATATAGGATGACACACGATTACGTGTATTCATTAATTGTCATCTTCTGCATTATTGCGCCAGTTGCGTCAGTGTTTCATTTCTTTTAATGTATAAGTGTTTATTGTTTGCATATCTCATTAACCCCTTAGACCAATATACATATGTATCCAATGTACCTATACCACCAATGTACCTATGTATGAAACTTTTTATTAATTGTATACTGAAGCATATATATGCACACGCCCTTGTTTGGCCACGTCAATACCACATATTCTCCATTAATATATTTCCGATGCAGCCCTTTCAGGAAGTCGCCAGGGTTGTGTTGTTCTAAATAGGTGCGGGTACCGGACGACACCCGATTTGTCATATTAAGCTGTCCGGGTGTCCGGGCCCTGCATTCACCTGTCTATTGATATTCAACTACACAGTACTGGGTGTAAGGAAGTTTGAAATTATATTACTTTTCTGTACAGCACATATGAATTAAAACGACAATGGTACATATTGTTCTTATTGTTTGTGACCAGAAATTTGTTTCTTCACTTATCTCAAAATAAATTACTTTCTTCAACAATTTTATATACTTTATTCAATGTTCAGAACGTTTAAATTTGTTTGATAATGTACACAAATTGAAACTGAAAGAGTGTTAAGAAAACTTTCAAGTACAATTATGAATAGAGTTATTATGTATTACTAAAAGAAGAGCAATATTTTGGCAAATGGGTTTGAATGGGTTCCTTAATCGATTATCGATTTCTGTGAACACTGTTAAATTGTCCCGTACGGGGCATTTACAAATTAATTGCCTTTCCACCGGGAATCAAATTACGATTCATCACCAAAACCATCATCAATCCATCACCGGAACTTGTGGAGACTGTTAAATTGTCAGGAGCAGGGCACCTAAAATTTAATTGATCTTTCATCGGGAATCAAATTACGATTTATCATCGAAAACACCATCGATCCATCATCGAAACTTGTGGAGACTGTTAAATTGTCCGGAGCAAGTCACCTAAAAATTAATTGATATTTCATCGGTAATCGAATTACGATTCATCATCTAAAACATCATCGATCCATCATCGGAACTTGTAGAGATTGTTAAATTGTTAAATTGTCCGGAGCAAGGCACCTAAAAATTAATTGATCTTTCATCGGGATCGAATTACGATTCATCATCGAAAACATCATCGGAATTTGTGGAGACTGTTAAATTGTCCGGGGCAAGGCACCTAAAAATTAATTGATCTTTCATAGGGAATCGAATTACAATTCATCATCGATCTATCATCGAAAATTGTGGAGACTGTTAAGTTGTCCGAAACGGAACGCTTGAAAATGTTAATTGCACTTTCATCGGGAATCGAATTACGGTTTTCCGTCTGCTAGAGGGACTTTAAGAGCATATATAGTTGGAATGCTGTTATTCCTCACAAGCTCAAAAATTTAGAGGAAATAAGTTAAAATGTCTTGATATACGATGTTGCACGCGTAATTGATACCTAAATTACTCTTGTGTACATTACTGTCTTGATCATGACAATTTTCGGTTATCTGATATGTCATGGAGATTTAATCGATGCTAGGAATTATTTTTTCTCCATTTCTAGACAAGCATTTCCTCCTAAAAGGGAGAGGGCTCAAATCTGATATACGTAATATTTTTACAAAATTTACTCCAGCATAAGTTTTCTTGTTTGCCTAATTTTAAAATTTTATATCGGCACAGTGAGCATGTGTATTTTAAAAATAAGTTTTCTAAGAACCATACACCATCAGATAGCATTCTAATATTAGATACGAAAGTGTACATTCAAATCTAGTGCAGATTGCGGTTAAAAATTGAATACTGATATTCGTGTGCTTAAACGCAATTCCTTTTCAAATGCTGTTATCTCGCTGCCCTCTATTTGATTAGCGAAGAATGGCAATTCATCGTTCGGAAAACATTACAATAAAAACACCAAAAATTGCGCAACATCTTCTTGGTAGCGACTTTATCGTTTAAAAAGTGCTCATGAAGAAAAGAGGACAACATTTCGAGCATGTCACATATGATGGTAAAGAAAATTTGTCGTTTAATATTGATAACGGGAATAAAGTGTGTGTTATGTAAATTTCTTCTTTAGTATATCATTCTTCAGCTTGCAGTATATGATCTCTGTTCACAGTAGTGGAAAATTTCTATACGAAGTAAATTACATTTTCTGTTGTGGTTAAACCTCTTTTACAAGATCGTAAGTATAATTATTTCAATACAAAATAATTTTTATAGGTAATTATTAATGTATTATTTTTAATAAAATAGATAATTCCCTCATAAAATTCCATAAATATTATGATACATAATTCGAATATCATATTATTTATCGGATTCTATGCGGGAATTATTCTTTTATGTGATTAGAATATATTTTATATGATTAGTTTCACTAAAATTTAAAAAAAAAAAGTACTTTTAATTTAGGCCTAAATAATTGCACTTTGACAGCTGAGGAGGATTGTTCGGTAGTCAAACCATCGAAACCAGTCCTGGAAAATTTCTAAATATAACGCTGATTTTTGTTGTTTGATTGCTAAATAAAACTGCTTAATTTATTTAATAGAAATCTATGTTGGCATCACATTTGAGTTTAAACTTCACTGCCCTTTTTATGATTTAAATACTGTATGTTTTTCATTTAGGCACAATATTAGTGACAAAAGCGAAGAACACTACGAGACACAGAGTATGGACGTACGCGGAAGCCAAGGCAGAGATATCAAAAAATTACTGGGTAATAAAATCAAATATTCTCACCATTATAAATCAAATATCACGATTTTTGACTTAAAGAGGTCGTCAAAACTGAGAGGAAAACGATAATAACCTTGGATTGACTTTGAGGGGAAAGTGAATATTAAATACTACTACTACTAATAATAATAAGTACAATAAAGTACAATGTTAATTTCAAATGTAAACGAATGTTGGCCTCCTTAGCCTTAGCTCCATAATTCTACAGCTGTTGCATGCAGATTAACTAAAGGCATAAAAACCTTAACCGGAACACGACAGCAACATAATTCATTCACATTTAAAGCAAAAAATGCACAATTTACCAACATGTGAGGAAAAAAAAACTGAGCTCACGGAGCCGATTAACAGAGTTGGTGTATATATATATCACGTATATCAATACACAGGGTGACTTCAAAGTCGTTAACATTTCAAAACTCAATAATTCATGGAATAATGTAGGTGGAGAGGTAAAAATTGACACACCTGTTTTAAATGACATACGATTTATTGAAAGTAAAAAAAAAAAAAAAGTTAGTGGTACGCTGATATATTACATCAGGGTTTCTTAAACTTTTTTCAGTCACGACCCCTTTTGATCACTGAGATTCTTTTGCGACTCCCCCCAACGCCCCATAATATTTACAAAAATTCTGTGGGACCTCATAAGTATTGCGCAAATCCAACACACGCGTGAGTGAAACTGTCAATTTTTTCACTTGTACTGTAATATACTATTGCAATCATTAACTTTAATTTCTAATTTTAAGACATAAAACAATGTAAAAATTTTAAATAAGTAACAGACGAAATGACAGCGTCACGTGCAAAGCAAGGAAAATGAACGTTTGGATTATAAAAAGAATGCGTCGAAACGTTTTCGTTTTTTCTATGTCTGTATTGTCTTTATCTATTTTCAGATACATTGTGTAAAAATATTTGGTAATTGTAAAATTATTATAATAAGTTAAAGAAATATCAAAACTGCTAAAATTTTTGGCGCCCCCTGCTGCAGGTCTCGCGACCCCCAAGGGGGTCGCTACCCGCTGTTTAAGAAACCCTGTGTTACATAATCGCACCATCCCTAGTCTGGCTGATAAACACCTGTTGGAAGGTATGACTTTTATGCAGGATGGAGCTCCACCTCCATATTGCTAGAGGTGTCAGAGATCTTTTGCACACATCGTTTGGGGAGGATCACGTGCTGACCTGCCACTTCCATCGTGCTTGAGCTGTCAAGTCTTCAGATTTCAATCCATATGATTACTGGATTTGGAGTTACCTGAAATCGCAAGTCTACCGCGATCGTTCGACCTCATTAGGGATGCAAAAGACAACATCCGACGGCAATTTCTCACCATATGCTATACAGTGCTGTTCACAACGCTGTGCCTCGACTACAGGTATTGTTGATCAATGACGGCTGACATTTGTTACAAAGAAGTAACTGACATTTGCTGACATTTGTTACATAGTCTTTGGTAAAAATGAATAGTTACGCTAATTATTGCTTTTGCCATCATAGGAAGGGCCATCTGTATGCACTTTGCTTTCAATAAAACCTCACGACATTTCAAGCATGTGTGTCAGTTTTTAATTCTCTTTTTTATTTTATATATATTTGACCGCCCATGGTCAAGTGGATAGCGCGTCGCGCAGCTACACCACATCTCCGAGGTTCGATACTCGGTCTGGACTGATTCAGCCTTTGATCCCCTAAGTGGATCGATAAAATGTGTGTGTGTATTAAATTATGGCAAAGCACACTAGGGCTATCTGCCTAAGGGGAGGGATGCCTTCGTGGAGGATTTTCTAAGGGAAACTGGCTCGTATACACGTTACACATGGGGAAAACCACGAAAACGCCCATGCAGCCAGCCCGTTCGCGGGATTCGAACCTCGGACCGAACTACCAGTGTTCAGCGATTTTACCGCTCGGCCGCTGGTGGGCACGGATCGATAAAATGAGTACCGAGTTTGTTTGGGAACTAAACACCAGGATTCTACGACAAGCCGATCACTTGTCCAGGGCATATGCTGATGTCCTCCGGAGTCCAAATGGTCAAGAAAGCAGAATAGGGTCACTGCAGGCCGTGGGCCAGTACGGCTCTTCCGCCACTTATGTTATAGCAGTCCTATATGCAAAATTTCAACGTTGTAACATTATACGACTACTCGTTTTTGAATTATGGGAGATACATACATACGTACAGACACCACGAAAATACCTTTTCTGAACCCCTTTTAAATCCATTTGACAATCTGTTTTGAGAAAAAGAGTCCTTTATTCTGTCCGTACGTTCGGATGTCACCCCAAAACATTGTTGAACTGGATTTGAAAATAGTCAAAATGGATATTTTCGTTGAAGTATGATACCCACAATTTTTCTCGATTACAATACTTCTTTAGTACGAGAAAATAAAAATGTCAGAATTCATAAAAAATTGTAAGTTTCACGAGATTGGCAGCTCAGAAAGCTCTTACAACTCAACATTTAAATTACAATTGAAACTTATGTACAAAAAAAAATGTGAGATTAAAACATTAACAATGCTATTAAACGTCATTTTAAGTGCATGGACGTAATTGAAATTCTTATCTTACTTAGATGAGAAGGGGTAAAACAATTATGGTTACATATATTTTATGCTGCTTTTCTTCTACTACTATCTGTAATTCATAAAATGAATAAGAAACGCAAACTTATAATATGTGATATTAATAAATAATTTCGTTTATAGATTGCATTTACTGCCGGTATAAAGAGCAACCTCCCAGCACTCGTTGCAGTAGACGATATCAAACTATTTCCAGGAAGTTGCCCTGAAGCAGGTATGCTAAAACTAAATGTTTATTGCAAAATCTAAAACAACTGACTTTTATTTACCATAGTTTCTTTTCGCCGGTTTTTTCAACTAATTTTATCGTCAGAAAATCGAAAAAGATAATTTTTGTGAAATTGTACGTGAAATTGTTGTATTTCTTTTGTATAATAATAATAGTATAGGCTGTCCTGCTCCGTGAACTCAATAACACTGCAGGTCTACTTCCCCTTTGGGCACGTCGTGGAGGTTCAACCTCCACCATTACCCTACAAGGGAGCAGAGCACCACCTGGATAAGACACCAGGCAGCACCGATCGTCAAATGCTCCTACCAGTCACTTGGGCGAGCCCGTCGCAGCGGGACATTACCCAGCGAACCCGGGGGAAAACCCCCGGGCTACTAGTACCACGCCGCGCTAGGACGTGCCAGACTCCGAGGCCGGCCAATAAGTGACCTTTCCCAGAGCCTTCAGAACCACCAAGTTCATAAATTTTATACCCCCGTGGCCGAGACTGCCTAGGTAAAGATCCTAGCCAGTAGCTTCGCAGAGTTCTCCTTCGACCCCCGTAACATGAAAATCTAAAGAAGCAAAGCTTGCCGAAAAATGTAAGTATACGAGAGCAAATCTGTTTAACGTTATGGCTATCTCGCTAAATTGGCGAGATATCGGCAAACTGGTAACAGTTTTGGCGATTAATTTTGTCACCAAATTTGGCGAAATATCGGTTAAAGTAGCGAAATTTGGCGACTAATCGGCGACACTTTGATTCAGGCTCCGTATCACTATAATATGTATTGCAACTGAAAAACTGTAATTGATTTTGGATGCTCTGAAACAGTATTCCGCCTGCCTTTCAATGATTCCAAGTAGCAGAAAGTACTAGAAATATTTCTGAAGTCGGGTAAAAACTATATAAAAACGGATAGAGCATTTTCTCTTAGTAGTTGTTGCAGTTGTTAGCTGAGAGCAAATCTGGAGAGCACTGTCTTTTAGATACGCTTTGCATTCTGTTATGTTTAACATTCTTAGTAGTTTGACGTGTAACTACTCATTGTGCGCTGTGATATTGTGAAGAGTTTGCTGAAAGTTCCACGGCTCTGAAGTGTTTCTTTTCATAAAGTAAATGTTATCAACCTATCATCAGAGCTGTGTGCATTCAATCTGTTATGAACCCGGAAGCACGCAACAAAAAAATTAAAAAGGCAAGTTTATTTAACATCGATGTAAATAGACAATTATCGCCAAGCTGGCGATGTTTTTTGGAGCCAAATTTTTATCAACAAGTTTGCTACCATTTGACGGCATTTTGGTTCGTTCCCTTGATAACTCTTATTGCATTGTAATTGAAAAAAATGTAATTGATCCCTACGTATAACTGTAACCGTACCTGGTCCTCATATGCCTTCCACTAATTTTGGGAAGTAGAAGATACTAGAGATTTCTCGCCGGCCGGGCGAAAATTATATAAGACCGGAGAGAGCATCAGTTTGTCATTTTTCAGTTCTAAGTCGGCATCGTGTATTGAAGTACTTCCGCGTGAGCTTCGCACTTCAAATGGGCTTTGCATTGCATTGTGTTTAACGTTCTTATTAATTTTTGTGGAAACTTTCAGAACTGTAAAGTTTTCCTTTTGAGAAAATATATTTTATCAAGGTATTATCAGTTCTGTGTGAGTTCAATTTATTACGAACCCTTACGCATGCAACAGTACTCATACAGTATCATTCACAAGTCCCTTTTTTTATTACAGGTTCTTGTGATTTCGAAGAGGGTAAGTGCACTTGGGTTGATGGTGACGGCAATTACACTTGGATTAGGAAAAGAGGTAACTCTAAGGCAAACAGGGAGACAGGTCCAAGCATCGATAACACACTAGGAACTGGAAACGGTAAGATATTTTATGTAGCTTAGCATCTCAAATAACATAGAAACGTAGAAAATTATATTTTATACAATTTTAGATTTTATATTTTAATTCGTGGGTTAGTAAAGGAAACCAGCTCTAATCTAAATGCTTGGCTATCCCTGATTATAAAATGTACATTAAAAAAAAAAAAAAAAAAAAAAAAAAAAAAAAAAAAAAAAAAAAAAAAAGCCGCTTTTTAACAGTTAATGTACCATACTAGTGGGCAAGTCTGCGAGCCAAAGCAAAATTTATAAATTGTATCTAAGCCTATTTTCTTTTGGGGGGGGGCGCAGTAAAGCGTTATTATTCCATTAAGTCTTTAAAAAATAATGAAAGTAGTTCTTTACCTCTTTTTAAATCGCTTTTCCAGTTTCTAAACTGTATCGAGTAGTGACTGAGATATGCCTTTCGAACACAGGGGTGTTGAATAAATTCGTATTAAGAATTTATTGAAGAAAAATTAACTTACCTAATTTTTTTACTTGCATTTTACAGCTTATAAAGGCACCCAAATGCGACAGAGTTTAGTGGCTGTGACTACAGTACCGAGGCGCCTGGATTCAAATCCCGGAGAAGGCATGGGTGGTGTTTGTAAATGTATACTGTCTTTGTGACTTGGGGGCGCTGTTAAAAAATGGCGAGCCGGAAAAGTCCGTGTAGTATCTGGCGACTGTTTGGCGATCAACAGAGCGTGCTTGGCGCGTGTAGCTTTTCTCCAAGAAGGGTTAATGTATTTTATGAGAGATGCATGTTAGCCTCAGAAGAGAATGGTTGTAGATTTCACTATGCTGTAGGAGCGACGTACTGCTCTGAGTTTACTATTATGCTTTGAACCATATTTTTAATAAATGCTCGTTTCGACTTGTTAAATGGTGCCTTATTGAACCATGAAGCCATCACAGTCCTTTTGCGTGGTTTGCTGGCAGGGAGAAAAGGATGGAAGACCTTCGGCCCCATCCTCCCGGGTGTAATCTCTGAAAACTGGAGTCGAATTGAGCAAAATCATACTATCACCTACCTATATGGTGCCAAAGGCTCTTGCCAACTATAGACATAATCTTGTAGTCCTTACCACGATAAATTTCGTGGACTTGTTCTGATGAGGTCAGACAAGTGAGATTTGTCACAGCATAACAACAATAGCTTATAAAAATTTAAGCATACCTCTTATATAGGCATGACATCAGACTGTTTAGCGCAGCGGTCGTCAACCCTTAGAACTTCACAGACCACTGCATATATAATTTTATATTTGGAGGACCACTAATATAAATTAAAAAACTTAAATCAGACCTTAAAAACAACATATTAATACGCAAAAAACTATACTCAACTTTCCAATGTATGTAATTCTAATTTTCATTTGTTAATATAATTTTCGAAACATTTGGTGTTCAGCAGCACGCCTTTATGGCAATTCTTCAGGCTACGCCCCTGATTATGAATAACAATTAAAACACTATTAACATCTCACTGATACACACATTTCATTATTCACATTGGAAAATTTCATGAAAATTACAAAAATCTCACCTTCTTGTACACTTCACATTTCCGTGTCACTTAAAAGACACTTCACAAAAAGCAAGAACAAACCGGCAAATGCAAAGCAATATGAATAAACTGAAAGTGTTATGCCGCCAATTTTTAATTATTGTAAACATAATAATCATCACTTTCTCAACAATGGCGCAATCTATCAACAGTTAGACAAAACAAAAATGGAAACTTCCAGTGATGCAATTAAAAAAAACGCAGATGGTTCTCATAAAAAATCCATCAAGTTGCCTATTGATACGGAGAAAAATTGTGTTATTAACAATAGCATATATTTGTAATTCAAAAGGAAAGAGAATCCAGTCCGCGCTATTATTGATAACAGCAGCATATCCGTGGATGCCAACTCTCACTTTCAAATGTCGCTAGATACACCTGCAAAAGTAACTAAAAAGTCGTTAAATTCAGAAGGAATTTCACTAAAAGAAGTAGCTAACATTAGAAAAGTATAATCCGTATTCCATAATAGGTTTTGTTACTCGTCATTTTCTAAACTGAATTTTCATAAAAAATATAAGTAATGTCCCAATTTTTCGGCGGACCATCAAAAAGTTTTCACCGGCCACCGGTTGGCGACCGCTAGTTTAGCGGACCATTAGTTTGCTTCCAAATCAAGATGCAGTAACCTCAGTCAAGGGAAGAAATGTGTTGCTAAACTATCTCCTTGGCACGACTCCGTCTGCACCCTTTTTTGAACAGGTGCTGTGTTCATACTCGTATATCATTTTACTTTTTCATAAAAGTCAACTGACAAAGGGTAAGGAAAAAAACTGGTTAATAAAACGTTAGACCTTGAACGCAGAAATCGCTGCAACCCTGAAATATTCCGCCTTATCGGTCAATTATGTTAAGACTTAAGAGCATTCGAGAAATTGAAAAATTTCAAAATAACAGTTTTGAATGTCTCTTTAATTAGAAGTTGAAATTTTTATTGATACGAATAAAAATAGTTTTTAGTGTAATGCAATTGTTTGAAGTAAGGACATAATATTGAAATGATTATTAAAAATATTGTTACGAAATGCTCACCTGCGGTAACATAGCTTCCCTGCAAAGAGGTTTGGGTTGCCAGAAAATTGTAAGAAAAGGCAGAGTTACCAAATTTGGCTCGAAATCGACCATTTGGCGACATATGGCAACACAACTGGTGATATGCACTAGATGGAGCGAGAATATTCTACAACGCATTCTTGGCTGTTTTCCTCGAGAATGTTCTGAAGGTAGGCTAAACTCTATCTATACCCTGCCTGTACGCGAAGTAGGAGTATCTTGAGTTCAGTAAAAGTATCTTGAATTTAATGGCAGTCACTTGAGTTCAGAGATTAGCTTGAGAGAGACCGAACCGAGTCGGGAGTTGTACTTTAGTGCTTTACTATGATGCTGTCTTCATTGCTGTAACCTGAGAGCTGTGTTATTTATTGTTTCAGTGTGTTTAATGTAGTCGTTGGGAAGACTATAAAAGTGTTTTAGGAACTGACCGGAGTAATTACTTCCGAATAAATTGTGTTCTGATTCTTCATCGAGTGTTGTTATCAATCACTCCAAATCTACGAACCCGTAGAACTCAACAATATTTTATTCTCTTCCCTGATTCAGATGAATATATCGAGTAAATTATTCATGTTGAAGAAAAATTACTCATACGTCTTTAAAACTTAAAAAATAAATATATTGAGATATGAAAAATGCTACAATATTTACTAAAGTTAGAAAAGCATATAATTATCATGTTAAAAAGGTAAAGAAAGATTTCGTTGTATGTCCGTTTTTGTTAAAAATAAAGTCAAGAACTATAAAAATATTTTTTTCCGAAAATTTGTCTGTAAACTAGATAGTTTCATTACACAGATATATCACGAAGTGGTTTAGACACATAAAACATTAACAATGTTTTTGCATCTCTAGGAAACTACGTTGTCGTCAGTACAAATGACAAAACACCAGGTGGAACAGCTGACCTCGAAAGCGAGGTCTTTCCTCCAGGAGGTAAAGATTTGTGCCTCAGCTTCTACTATTACCTAAAAGGACAGAATGTCGGAAAGTTGGCAGTAAGTGTCAACACATTCCAAGAGATCTTCTAACTTTACTTGCTAGTATTGTCTCATAACTCATCTCCTTGGAGTGATCAATCCTTTTAGTGATTAAAAAGCGAATATAGAAACTTTCAGATTTTATATTATACCGACATTTTTTAACGTTTTGTCTGTTACCTTTATTTATTAAATATCTTGTTCTCCGCACTTAAACCATAAAATTCAGTACAAGAGCAATATCGTAAAATAATTTTAAAATGAGTATATCTTTAGAATTTCTGATGCACAATCTCGCGCGCTGGAGATAAAAATGTTTTTTTTTTTTTTTTTTTCTGTGTAATGTTGCCATTACTCGCTTTGAAATCCTTCAGTTTGTTAATCAAAAACTCCTTAAATTCAAATCAAAATATGAAATCGATAATAAAACAAATTCCAAATGCCCATATTTTTTCGCAGGAGCATCACGTTATTCAAAATTGGGTGGTATTCAAAGTACCATTGTTTTATCACATTGCGAGAAACATACATACATTTATACAGATTCTTCATTATTTAGTTTCTTTAAATATAATATAGGGCAATAATGGTGGCAACAATTTGGAAAGAGAAACAACGCTTGCAGTGAATCGACGCAAAATGCCGAAACGAATTAATAGTCCTTCTGGGCAAATTGCCCCTTTTTACTGAAAAATCTGAAAGCTTTCAGAATTTATATTACGCCCAAAGGGGCGTTTTTTAACGGTTTGTGTGACAGATTTATTTATTAAATATTATGTTCTTCGCACTTAAACCATAAAATTCAATTTAACAGCCATATCGCGTAAAATAACTTAAAAATGAGCGTATGTTTAGAATTTCCGACACACAATCTCGCGCGCTGGATATAAAAATTTTTTATTTTCCGTACAGTGTTGCCATTGTTCGCTTTGAAATCGTTGAGTTTGTTAAGCAAAAATTCGTTAAATTTTACAAAATATGAAATAGATAATTAAACAAATCCCAAATTCCGAATTTGGGCTTCCAGATGCACATATTCGAGTGGAGGACTACTTTATTCAACATTATAGGCTCTAGTTATAGGTTCATAGGCTCTAGATAACGTTTGTTCACAGAGCGAGAGACATATATACATTCCTGCAGATTCTTCATCATTTAATTTCTTTAAATATAATGTAAGGCATATATTTATATTTATTTATATTGCAATGCATATATTTTATATATTAATTATTTAATTGCAATGCATATATTTCTATATATTATAATTATTTATATTGCAATGCATATATTCATGTATATTTATATTTAAATTGTTATATATTTGGTAACAAGAATTTGAAAAGTAAAACGCCGTTATATAGGGGACGACGCAAAATGCCAAAACGAAATTAATAGCGCTTCGCCCCTTTGAGCTAATTACCATGCAATGTTTAGATTCAACGAAATCTAGAAAATAATTGTTGATTGATTTATATACTAAACCTTCTCTGAGACGATCGTTTACGACACTAGGTGATTCTGATAACTTACGGAGGCAAAAGGCTTAGCCCAGTAGCGATCTTCAAACTGTGTTCCACGGAGCTCCGGAGTTCCACGTATCCAACTTGAGGGTTCCGTGAGCCAAAATAGAACATGAAAAGAAAATCATAAAGCACTAACATTACTTTACTAGTGTTTAATAACTAAAAAATGTGCCATTAGTTATAAATAAGTTTTAAATATTAACGTGTGGTCATCATGCTTCAAATTGAATGACGTGCAATGATTTGCAAAAATTGACAGTTTTCTAAAAGAAAAAGAACTGAATTGATATGACAGTGAGAAAAATTATACAGTAGAGTAGATTTTTCAATTAAAAAAGATTATAAAAGAGTATTTCCCAGAAAAAAAAGCTAGGTATGATTGGATAAAAAATTCGATCGAATTCTGCAATAAATGAAAACGCTTCCCATTAAAGGAATCGATATATCAACAGATTTGTGTTTTAAAATCTAAATTTAAGCAAGAATATATCCTATGTGTTTGGTGGTAGATTCATGTAAAATACCCAGAAGTTTGTCATATTTCAATTTTTCGCAGCAGTAAACATCGAAGTACTATTCTTTGGAATAGTACTTCTTAATCTATAGTAAAAAATTCTTGAAGTTTTATACAGTTTCTTTACATCTGCCTGATTCTTTTGCAGAACTTATCTTTTTGAAAGTGGTTAAGTCTCTGATGAATGTCTTCCATACTCTTAAAATAATGACATATGAAATAACACTGCACATAAAAAATTTTAAGACTAATTTCATACAAAATTCAGTTTAATTCAATAAACGACTGCTGAAGCTCTATACAATTCTTTTACGTCTGTCTGACTCTTTTTGCAGAATTTATCTTTTTGAAAAGTGCTGGTAAATCTCTTCCTTGCTCTTAAAATAATGACCTATGAAGTGACACTACACATAAAAAATTTAAGAATAAGTTTATACAAAATTGAAAAGAGAATAAAATATGTTATTTTCTTAATCTCCAATAAATAATTCTTGAAGATCTATGCAATTTCCTTACATCTGCTTGATTCTTTCGCAGAGTTTGTCTTTTTGTGTAGTGATTAAGTCTCTACTGATCTCTTCCATACTATCAAAATGAAATGCCACATTGCATTTTGATAGTATGGAAGGTATACTAACCTTCATAGAAAGTATACTTCCATACTAACCTATAAAGTGAGGCTGCACCCTAAGGAAGAGCAATTAGTCTGCAGGCGCCATGTATGATGGAAAATATTACAGCTGAGCTCCTTTCGTTGTTATAAATTGCTTGGCGGGAATAGAATTATGTGACAAACATTATAATGTAGCAGAAACGAGTTATTAAATTCAAGTTATGCAGACCTAACTAGCTGAATTCTCTTCGAAGTCTGTCCAACGGAGTTCACTCTTTGTCAGTCAGAAAATCTCTTCTGATGAATTATAACTTACAATCAATAACTGTCAACCGAGTCTTTGCCCGAAATTTCCTAAATCAAAGTTTCTGCGAGCATAGTGAACTTTCCTCAGTCAAAGCAGATGACTGCCAAATCTTGAGACAAAAGAAAATACCAAGTTTCATCTGCAGTTTTAATTTTCTTGAAAAAATGAGGATTAATGTGTGCAATTTAGATCAAATCTTGACATCTGAAAATTTGATCTTCATTCTGTTCTGCAGTTAATGAGTTAGATAACACTTTTTTAAGATACTCCTCGACGAGTTTGTAAGTTGTGCCTTTAGTACTCCGCATTATGACTTGAAGAGACGCATAATAATTTTTCAGTAACAAGCAACAAATTTGAAGGTTTTTCGATTTTCTCTACATTCGAACCTGCGGAGGTCGATTGCTTCTGGATTCATCATCAACATCTTTACGACAATCGTGAAATCCACTGTACTAACGGATGATATCAAATCATTCCCGTATACTTTACAAAACCTCTCAAACCCGTATACCTTATAACCTCATTATTGCTCGCTGTTTAGCTTTCGACAAAGCTGTTTACTAAATCAAAGCAAACTTTTAAAAACATAAACAAAATCTGAAAGGTTTCCGAATTTAATGGTCGCCCAAAACGGATCATTAAGGTTTCTTACTTTCTCACTGAGCTCGTAGTCTCTGTTACATTCTCTACTGTACTCTACTGTATCTCTGTTACTATACTGTTACATTCATTCTATGACGTATTTTCTTCCTCCTTTAATAACCAAATGACTCCACAGAGGCGCTCAAACTAAAAAGTTGGTGGATGACAATTCGCCATGACCAGGATTTCGCGATGGGTCCCCTCTTCCTCAGTCGTCTTTTAAAATGGGGAACCGTATAAGTCATTTTCTCCCTCCTTTCCCTACGCATTTGTGGTGTAACTGGAAGCAAACTTGACGCCTATTGGGAGGGGGTCTGGAGTTCGAATCCTGGGGAGAACATTGAACATTTTTCACGTTCTTGACACAGATAAACCTAACGACTCTACAACTCCTATTACCCCATTTTGTTTCTCTTTAGCTTTATCATTAAGAGCCATATACAATTGAAGAAACAAATTAAAAAACTTTAAAAGCAGTGTAGCAGTATATGTTTAGAATTCAGGATGCAGCGTTAAGTGCATGGCTTTGTAATGTTCCAAACTAGAATTTACAGTAATATGTGTGAAACGTTGAGAACTGGTAAGCGAACAAGCGCTTTACTTCAGTAGCCAGAGAATAGAACTCAGAGTTGAATACCCTTTATTTCTCAAAATAAGAATTTAACAGTTAACCCCTTCCGGAAGTTTACAGCAAAGCCTCCACTTGGGTTTGAACTCAGGAATTCTAAGAAATAAACCTTAACTAAATTTACCTAAAAAGATATAGCCGAAGCTATCAAAATTCTACAGGACTTGGTCCCTTAACGTTAACTAAACGGCGAAGCTATCAAGGGCCTAAAGTACGGCCGAGCGTAAAAATAGCTTTAGAAGGTATAGCCAAAAGGAGAAAGCGCGCTGGTCAGAAGCTCTGGCTCTCTCACGAAGTCAGTAGAACTTCAAAGTTAAATACTTTTTCCTGCTTCATTTGTATTTAACAGCGATTCTGAAAACACGTTCTAGCAGGAAATTGTAAGCTGAAATTAGGGAAGATAGCACAGTGGCTTTACTAAAAATTAACTATTAAAACCTTAGGAATATCTTACAAGTTCATCGTACGAGTGTTCAGTTTTCTTACTAAGATGGCTTTACATTTTTTTTTGTCTTTTTATTATTAACGTTTTTTATGTTTACTGGCAATAAATTAAGTTTCATGTCATATTACAAATTACCATATTTGCCGGTGTATAAGATGCACCGGCCCATAATTCGCACCTTCTTTTTTATACGCATTTTTGAAGCATAAAATTTTGTTACTGATCATTATAGTGAATTTACTGTTATTTTAAAATAAAAGTAATGCAAACACAAAGCAACACTTTCTGCAAATACCCAATCTATCTGGAAAAGAACACCTTTTAATTTCCTTAGTCAAAACCCAGACACACATCTCCAGAGCTAAGTCACTTGAAACCTCTTCTAAATTACCAATGCCACACTTTTTAAATGATTTAACCATTGTCTCTGTTTTCACATCATCCCATGACGCTTTGACTCATTAACAAACTTGCGAAATACTAACTCCGAATAAACTGAGTATCGACGTATAAGATGCAATATTGACGTATAAGACGCATCCTGTTTTTCAGACCTATTTTCAAAGAAACAAAATGCGTCTTATACGCCGGCAAATAAGGTAGTCAAGTCCACTTGTAAATTTTTAGCTGCGTTTGTTTTTAATGATAATGAAAACCAGACAACTTTTACAACAATAAACGTTTTCTTCAAATTCTTGTCATAACTATTTTTTCGACAATAAGACTAATTAATTTAAGAGGAAAATATTCGCGGGTCCTGTGAAATTCCTTAGGGGTCCTCACGCAGCACAAAGACCTCCAGTTTGAGAGCACCGAATAGGGATTTTATGAGTTTCCTGCGTTTATTTTCATCTCCTCAAGTATAGTACTTCATTAGGAATATTACTTATATATGTTACGAGTGTGATACGATTTGTCCTGAAGTTACAAGTACCTAAAATTTTCGTTTTGCTTTAGGTGGTCCGAAAAGAAGGAAACATGTCCGAGTCAGTAATATGGCTACTGAAGACTCCAATGGGAAATCGCTGGAACAAGGCTGCTGTGTCTTTAAAACCAAGCGCTTTGAACAATCAGGTAAACGCTTCTGTAAATAATTCAGCTTTTGAGATGCAACAGTTTTTTCCCTTGGTTTTAAATCATATACCAACAGCTATATGAAACAGCTGGTATTATTATGGGATTATGATAAATGCACAAATTTCAATACAATAGATTTAGCAGACTGTTTCATTGTCCTTTTTTAGTACAGTAGTAATGCCGTTCCAGTATCACAATATAAAGAATGAGAATAAGTCATGCATTTGGAATAGAAAATAGTTATCATTATACATGCCACGATCATGAAACCAGGAAACTTATAGATTAATATTTTACTAACTTCACTATTCTACAATAGAACTCTTATACTATTATACTTTGAGCGGGAGAATGCATATTTCTCGTGGAAATATGCAAACCTTCCTGAAGATAGCATATCATCCACTACAAAGACCTGCAAAACACTTTTTCTAATAAACAAAAGAGAACTTTTGAATTTCCCGCATTAATTGCGGCTCCATTGCGGCCAGCCTGTCTAAGTTGGAATTCATCCAAGTTTCCATCTTTCCGAAAAGTTAACATGGCGTCCTTGACTGTCCTGAAGTATCTTTCTATAGCCGAATTCAACTGTAACACTTTATGTATGGGCAGTATAATACAAACAAGGTCTCTTGGATTACCAGTAATGGGGCATTTCACTTTGTTTCGAGTTGAAGACATATTTTGCTGATTCAGTTCATGTGCGTAGTGCACGGAGGCATGCTGTTACGAATTTTGTACATAGATATATGCAATTATATGAGAAATAAAATGTAAAGCGAAAAAAAAAATAAAGACACAAGCTGTGACGAAAAAGTAAGAATACAGGGACAAGTTCGTTAAATATTGAGAAAATGGGTATCTCAGTAATTTGGTGAGATATCGCCAAGCTGGCAACATATTTGGCAACTCATTTGTGTCGCCAAATTTGACGAGAAATCCCCGAATGTCGCCAAACTTGACGACCGTCTGGCGACATTTTGGTCCGGTCCTGTATCACCGTAATAGGTATTGTAATTGATCACTATAGTAGCTGTAACTATAATTAAAACCTCATGTGGCCTTCCGGTAATTTCGGGAAGCAAAAAGTACGAGAAATATCTCGGCGAAAGGGTGGGGGAACTATGTAAGATAACAGGATGGGGACCGGAGACAGCATCTGCTCACAGTTGTTGTTAGCTATTAGGTCAGTGTGAGTTCGGAGTACTGAGATACCTCCGGGTAGCTTTCCCTTTAGCAGCGCTTTGCATTGCTTTGTGTGTAACGTTCATAGCAGTTTGAAGTGTAACTGCTGATTATACTTTGGTATATTGTGAAGAGTTCTACGGCTATTACGTGTTTCTTTTGATAAAATAAATTTTAACAACCTATCGTCGGACCTATGTGCATTCAATCTATTACGTCCCCTTACGCACACAACGATACAATAAAATAGGCTATTGAGCAGAGGGCAGGGATTGACGCTCTGACAACAGCAAAACGGATGACGCAATCTTACGGGTGTTGATCGAATCAACCGTGGATTGCCGTGGTCGATATCCGTGGATTGCCGGCTCGGGCCCTACAAATGGCTTCAATTTTATTATAAAATTTAAGTCGCATGTGTTTTATGGCGTGAAATTTAAAATATTATGAATAATTTTTTGAAGTGAATATTGATTTCTTTGCTCACATGCAAAATATTTTACACTTTTGTTAATTCAAAACGCAAATGTTTACAGCACTTCCGCATAATGCTGTAACTGACTGCCTACTGGAACGAAACAAGATAAAATCACGAATATTCTCATTCACAAAGGTTTACCTTGCTTATTAATGACTTGAAGTCCAATCTGGTCTTTCGTAACGCTTTTAAAATTCTATAAAATTAATTTTTCAATTTCGTTACTACTTTTGCCAACAGATGGCGCTACCTTTTTATTCGCTTTACTTCTATAGGGTGTAAATACGACCGTCGCTCAGATTTCATTGCTTCTGATGAAAAGGGACCTGTACCTCTTTGCCCTCAAAATCGATTGAGATCTTGACTAAATCCGCCTCAAACCCAAGTTGTTGCTTCCTAATTTTATGTTAGATTTTATTTGTAAACGAGCAATCAGTTTCATGTTTTAAATAACAACTAGATATAAGTAAAAACATCCATTGATACTTAACGCTCGTTTTTATTTAAAAGCATGAAATTGACGGAAGTTCATTTGCCGGCCGTATCTGAAATTTTATTTTTAATTAAAAACTTTTGATAATGATATGAAAAGTTGTTTTGCTTTCTAATTCTTCTTATATTTCTTACACGAAGGATTCGTGGTTTGGGATTCAAAATATCCGAGAATTTTTATGATCTGGCTTTAGAAAAATTTACGATATATTGATAAATTTCATGAATAAGAGTTGTGACGAACTACGGACTTAAGTTAAAATACATTTAATTTCATTGTAAATTCCTTTCAAGATGTCCTTCACAGCGTATTACAATGTTGTAAAAGGGCATTGTTTTATAATTTTTTTTTTAACTGGGATAATGTACACTGCGAAAAAAAGGGCGGGGGCAGTTCTATATCTCCCGTTCTACTGGACGGATTGACAAAATTCAACTTGCGTTTTTCATGTCTCGAAGGCACGACTTAGTTTTACGTATAGTATTGTTTTAATATAAGTATTTTGACACAAAATCGAACTTTTTCTGAAATGATGTAACAATTTTTTTTTTCCTATTTCGATTCTATATCTCAAATTATGCTAGACTGCCACGTTTTATTAAAAGCGCAGGGGTAGGTCTTAAAACATCAGCTCTCAAAATTTTAGCTGCTCCATGTTAATTGAATTTGGTATCTAGTTATTAATCTCTCTTTTTTTATTAAATTTTTTTGATTCTTCCTTTCATATTTCGAAATTTAGGTTCATTCCAAATAAAATTCTCCCATTTTTATGATTTATTTTTAAAATTTGTATTTTAAATACTTTTTATAAATTTTTCGCAAAAAATTTTGAATCATAACCCATAAGTTTTGCCATATCTTAAGTAGAGATTTCTAAGCATACCTACAAAAAATTACACTTTTGATTCAAAATTCCGAGATACGTGATTATATATTCGCGTTTGAAATTTGGAAACTCCCATCCCGAGAAATTCAAATGTGGGTTTAGACACTTTGCTAAAATATTGAAAGTAGGACGAGGGCTTTTTCCGCTCATTCAAGTAAAAAGGTAGAACGAGGTGTCTCTTTCCACTACAGCCATAAGAAGGGAAAGGAAAAGGTTGCATTATAAGATAGAAAGTATTCAGCATAGCTACAAAAAATTAGTTTTTATTCAACTCCCTAAGATAATACTGAAGTAAAATTGGCCGTTTGAAATGTGTATTAGACGTTGCGTATAATCCAATATAATGCCAATATATAATAAATATTATAAGCGGTTATAACGAAAATGTGATTTACGCACTTTGTTAAAATTATTTGGAAGATGAACGATGACTTTTTTTTCCGCTCCTGTGCAAGAAAAAAAGGAAAGGAAAATAGGTTGCTATAAATTAAAAAATCCGCTAAGTGAATTATTTTTGGCGCAAATGAAAAATATGCGCACAGATAAAGTTTTAAATTTCTCCGTGAATGTCGTACGAAATTTAATATTTAGGCATAATTTGAGTCGTAGGATGGAAATATAGAAAAAAAATGGCATGTCATTTCAGAAAAGTCCGATATTGTGTCAAATACCAACATTGCAATAATGGGCCATATCTAAGCCTAATTTACATCCTAAGTCGCGCCTTTCAAGACATGAAAAACGCAATTTGATTTTCGTTAATCGGCCCAGTAGAACGGGAGAAGCAGATCTGTTCCAATGTTTTCCCCCGCAGTGTTTGTTAATATATAGAACATATTATATTAATGAGTATGTCAATGATAATTGTTTCTACTATAATTAGACTTATTTCTTGGCAACAGGTTGTTTTCCGAGCTATAATTGGAACAGAAAAAGACGGCTTTTTTGCTGTTGATGACATTCGAATAAGAGCTGGCGAAAAATGCGACCTAACACCACCTGCAGCTGATCCCCGATATGAAGGTGTGCAAAACATATTTTTAATTCTAAAATTCATTTCCACTGCTTTGTATAAATTGCTGATAATTTCGGATGCATGATAATATTTTAATGCTTGTTGTTGTATATGTTGTAATTTGAAACAGGAAAACATTTAAGAAATGTTTACTCGACAATACGCTCAAAACTCAAGTGCCTTAGATGTTTTTTTTAAGATACAGGCATAAGGCGCAGATTCATCAAGAGATATGAAATACCATTTCATGCTACATTCGTATTCAGGAGAGTACATAAAGAAACGACTATACTTACTAGGTGTCCAGCGAAAGTGTCTCTGATTTCAACATTCCAAATCTCGGAAACAAACATCGATAGAGGAATACAACAAGCGGCGTATGTATTATGAAAGCTCTAAAATTGTTACATAGAAATTTCCAAATAATAGTTACAAAAACTGTAACCTTGAAACGTGATCCCCCTTGACCCTTGAAATCTGTTCGCAATCACCCCTGTCACCCTTGACCCTTAAAATCTGTTAGCCATCTGTTCACCCTTGAAACGTGAAAGGAGGTTAGTGTATGGAAATCATGCATTCCATTGAACAACGTGTCTTTCTGGTACTGGAAAACCAGAGGTTAGATCACAGTCTATGGCAACAAGGCGCAATTTTCAAACACGATTTAATGTTTCCAAAGGACCCAATGTGAAAACAATTCACAAGCTCTTTGCTAAATGTCCAACGGACAGGCAGCGGGACCCATGATCTGGCAGGAAGTTTTGGTCGCAGGCAAACTGTAGTTACGCCTGAAAATGCTGTAAATCTTTCGAAATTATTCAGCAAAATTCCAGATAATCCATCCTAAGAAATTCAGCAGAGACGGGTTTGAAGAGTTCCAGCAAGTAAAATATACTAAGAAGCAGCCTAGACGTGTTTCCATTCAAAAAAAAAAAAAAAATCCAGTCACCAGACGTCAGTTTACAGTGCCATCTGTTGGCAGTTTTTGTAACTATTATTTCTAATTTTCTATATAACGGTCTTACTGTTTTAAAAATAGATATACCGCGTGCTGTATTTATTCCCTTGTCTATCTTTGTTTTCAGGATTTTTAATTTTAAAATCAGGGACTCTTTTGCTGGACACCGAATAGCATATATGTCAGACATTAATTTGGTGTATATGTAGGTTGCTTATTGCTGAAAAACAACAATTGAAATTCTAATTGAAAATAAATAACATGAAAAACAATAATAATAATACGAAACACGAGAGCCGGATTTTTGCATGGAGCTCAGAATAATGTAACCCAAAATGCAGAATTTAACCAAATGTTATAATAAGCCATCGACTTACCTATATAATAAAAGTCTTTATTAGCAATGAAGTAGAAGAAAAAATATCCAGTGTCTGAATGAATAACTCCTGAACATTGGTACTTATTCGACCTGTCTGAATCATCACTAATAGCTACTGTATAGAGATTTTCGTGATTTGTATTAAATATGACGTAAATACGGACCAATTTCCGTTAAAAAGTTCTCTACGAAAACATTCCTCCTCTTAGACAGATAGGCATTGTTTTCTTTACTTTCAGCTTAAGTAACCTAATCTAACTTTGGCAAGCTTGAAAATAAAATTTTCGGAGCAAAATTTTAAATATATGAAAAATGTTTCTTTTCTAATTTTGGAATAACATAAGTAAGAATCTGAAGCTTTAATTCAAGTTAATTTTTTAGGTTTTCAATATGTTATTCGAAAAATTGTGTATGCACAGAAAATGGAAGTTGATGAACCTGAATCTATGGATTCTAATTTGGTTATTTTTAAATATTTTTAATTGATTATGAGTAAGTAATTAATCAATGATATTGCTTTGGAAGTGATAGCAATTTATTATTTACTCAAAATAATTTTCATTTTAAATTCAATTTGTAGTTTAGTAATAAAAGCAAGAAATATGTACATTTTTATGGGTTGCTGCTGATGTTACATTTCCATCGTATGACTTCCGAGGGTGGAACAATCACGATTTTTTGGCAAAATGCCATGTCGAAATAATAGACTGGCCCACCACGGTAGTTTTGTTGTTGGACTTCTAAATTAATACCGGTAGTTCGGTTAGATGTTTGAATCCTGCGAATACGTTGGCTGCATGGGCGTTTTAGTTATTTTCTCCATGTCTAACGTTTTAATACGAACCAGTTTCCCTTAGAAAGTCTTCCACGGAGGCATCTCTCCATTCCGTTCAATGCCTTAAGGCGGAACACGTAAATGATAATAATAGGCTATAAAGAATAAAAAATAAGAGATTAAAGTTCTGTTTCAGCTTAAAAGGCTTAGTAAAAGCATGAAGCAAAATGCAATAAAAATTAACACGAGGTGAACAAACGTTGTCCGGAGCTTTTCACGAGAAAGTGTTGTCCCTTTCCCTCCCCATCCCTAGGAAAAGAGACGGAACTTAGATATGCCTTTGCTCTAATTGGTGGTCTAAAGTAACATTAAACTATAAAAACTAAAAATAAAACACACATTTATTACTCTTCTTTGGCCAAAAAGCTGATTAACGAAAGGAAAAGTAAATAAAATATAAATAAATCTATTATACATTTAAACAAAAGAATTTTTACAGGTGATTATCTAGAAAAACTTATTAGGAATTTATTAATTTTTATAAAACTAGAATAATTTTATAAAAGGAATTAAGAAAAAATTCTAAAAGCTTTCAGATTTTGCATTACGTCCAAAGGGGCGTTTTTTTAACGTTTGGTGTGTTACCATTATTTATTAAATATCACGTTCTTTGCATTTAAACCATAAAATTCAATTCAACAGCAATATCGCAAAATAATTTTAAAATGAGCCTATCTTTAGAATTTCGGATGCATAGTCTCGCGCGCTGGAGATAAAAAAGTCGTTTTTTCCGTACAGTATTGCCATTACTCGCTTTGAAGACGTTGAGTTTGTTCATCAAAAATTCGTTAAAGGGGTTACAAAATATGAAATCGATAATAAAAATATTCCGAATTCCAAATCAGGGCATCCAGGTGCCCATATTCGGTGGAGGATTACATTATTCAAAATTTGATGGCTTTAGGTATCCTGGTTTTATCACAATGCGAGAAACATACATACACTTATGCAGATTCTTCATTATTTAATTTCTTTAAATAAAACACAGGGCGATAACATTTGGTGGCAACATCTTAAAAAGTGAAAGGGACATTTAAAGTTTTCCACGCAAAATGCCAGAACGAAATTAATAGCCCTTTGGGCTAAAAACGTCATTTTTCTAAAAGTGACCCGGAGCAGGTTCTTCTGGCTTACAAAATGCTTGCAGGTGTCACAGTCAAAGTTTTTACGATTTACGGGCAATAACCTAGTAATACACAAATACTTAGAGTGCTATATATTGAAGAGAAAGAAAAGGAATTCATCTTATGAGTTGTATGAAGACTGATGAAGTACTTCCTAATAAAAGTAAAATTTAAATTAAGTTTTCCTGTTGTAACAATTATTAGGTATTCCCGGATAACGAAATTTAAAAACCTATCCTGCGTTTTACCCAGTCAATCGTTCATGTCTTAACTAAATGTTACCTTAATCGTTACGCCATAAGAACAACTCAGGAAAATTTTCTTCTTAAATTGCAACTGTCGAAAGGCGTGTGAAACAGTCTACCAAGGACGACCTGGGGAGTGATGAGTTATTGTATGCTACATTTTAGTTTAGATAACCCTACACATTTTATTCGTGTGTTTTTTTTAAGCCAGAAATCGGAAAGACGAATTAAATCAGAAATTAAAAACAAATGAACCACGGATCATGCTTTGAGACAGCGGTCGCCAACCAGTGGTCCATGGACCACTGGTGATCCGTGAAAACGTTTTTCAGCAGAAAAATTTCGACGTTATTTATATTTTTTATGATGATTCAGTTTAAAAAAATGACGAGTAATAAAACCTATTATGGAATATGGATTATACCTTTTTTAAAAATTTTAGCTACAACTTTTAGCGAAATTACTTCTGAATTTAGCGACATTTTAGCTACTTTTGCAGGTGTATCTAGCGACATTTGAATGTGAGATTTGTGGTATATGCATGAATATGCTGCTGTTATCAATAATAGTACCAAATATAATGGTAAAATATAAAGCAGCTAAAGCGATAAAAACAGTGCAGAAAATAAATATTTAAAAGTTCAAACGTATGTTTGCTGTTGCTATATATATGATTTAGAGTCCAAGAAAAAATGAGGATGCTTTTATTCATGCTATTTCAAACTCATTCATTTAAGTTCTTTCATGATACCGACCGAGTTCTTTCTCGATATTTTCCGAGTCCTTTCTCGACCGTGTTCCGATACCGAGTTCTTTCTCGATATTTTAACTAAAATATCGAGAAAGAACATTACGGATTTACAATCTGAAAATGAACAGTATGCAGGTATAGACTATACTAATTCGCAGAATATTTCTTGGGTTATATATAACTATTATATAAGCTTTTGAAATGCATTTATATATAATTTGATATTCCAGCTCTCTATTCTAAAAACAGAAGTTTTACTTTTGCACTGAGTCATTTCTAAATCAGTCTATACCAGCGGTAGCCAACCGGTGGTCCTCGAAAACTTTTTGATGGTCCGCAGAAAAATTGGGACATTATTTACATTTTTATGAAGATTCGGTTTAAAAAAATTACTAGCAACAAAACCTATTATGGAGTATAGATTATGCTTTATTTTTTAAATTTTAGCTACTAATTTTAGCGAAATTCCTTCTGAATTTAGAGACTTTTACTGGTGTATCTAGCAACATTTGAAAGTGAGAGTTGGCGTCCATGGATATGCTGCTGTTATCAATAATAGCACGAACTGGAATTCTCTTTCCTTTTGAATTACAAACATATGCTATTGTGGTCGTTAATAACACAGTTTACTCCGTGTCAATAGGCAACCTGATGGAATTTTATGAGAACCATCTGCATTCTTGTTTATAATTGCATCACTGGAAGTTTCCGTTTTTGTTTTGTCCAACAGCTGATCGATGGCACCATTGTTGAGTAAGCGATGATTTATTATGTTTACAGTAATTAGAAATTGGCGGCATAACACTTTCAGTTTATTGATATTGCTTTGCGTTTCCCGGTTTGTTCTTGCTTTTCGTGAAGTTCCCTTCCAGTGAGATGGAAATGTGAAGCTTTCTGTTTAAGAAGGTAAGATTTTTGTACTTTTCATGTAATTTTCCAATGTGACCGAAATATGTGCATCAGTGAGATGTCAATAATGTTTTGATTGTTACTCATAATCAGGGGTGTAGCCTGAATTTCCATAAAGGCATGCTGCTGAATACCAAATGCATTAACACATGAAAATTAGAATTACATGTATTGGAAAGTTGAATATTGTTTTTGCGTATTAATATGTTGTTTTTAGGGTCTGTTTTTAGGGTTTTATTAATTTTTTTAATTCATATTAATAGTCCACCAAATATAAAATTTTATACGCAGTGGTCCGTGAAGTTCTAAAGGTGGACGACCGCGAAAAAAGTGTCTTATTTGTATTTTTCCGATCGTTTAATTCCACTTGGCTGCTTCACAAGCCAAAATGAGGTTTATACTTTAGGAAATACTTATGTGTCTCTTTTGGTTCTCAGCTTTGGAGCTTATGACTTGCAATTTTGATGACATAAACTTATGCAGTTGGAAACAAGATCCTACAACTCTTGAATGGAAATTTGGAAATGGCTCATTGCTCGACAGTACTGGACCGCAAGAGCCACTGAACGGGAAAGGTAAAAAATTTTTTTTAATGTATGCATAATTTACTTTTAGAAACGTAAGAAAGTCAAACAAATTTAACTTGGAAAATAATGTAAGACAAGATCTTGTGTCCCTGTTTCTCATTCTCTCCTTCTTCATTCTTCTTTTTGGACTCTGTGATATAAAATAGCTCATATCTATGATATAAAAATAGTTTTAACATAAATTTTAGGCATATAAATTCCAGGTTGCATTATATATTTATATATATATATATATAATTACAAAATATAAATATGCCTAGTTTTTCACGATTTAAGCTTCAGAAATTGTTATTAAAGTAAGAAATTTAGAAGTAATGTTTCACAATGACAGAAATTTTGAAATTCATAATTAATAAATTTCAAATAATCTAATAAGTGTAAAAACTAAAACTTTTAAACAATCAATGCCCCAAATTCAAACAAATTCCTTAAAGAAAAAAGAACATAACAGAAGAGTAATTCAATGAACTTCAATGACACTGCATCAGGGGAAAGGAACATTGAAATCAATTGAAATTTCTCTGCTATAAAAATCCTTGCTTTTCCGTATCCAGGATTAACCGATGAACCATTTCAATGTATTTTAATTATAATTGTTCACCCGAAAATTCTGGCACTTCGCCAAAGCAAAGAAAAAGTACACACACACCCACATCAGTGTGCAAAATTAAAAGAACTTACAAATTACGTCTATTTTTTACAATACGTATTGAACCAAATTATGCCACCGAAAATATTCAAATATTCAGAGTTGAATACGTAACTGTACACGTGCGTATAAGGAGCTGTGACTGTGGAGGAAATATAACAGCATGAGGAATTTTTGGGGACTAGTGTGCTCGTACTCCTTCACGACATTCATCGTGTTTCTCGCAGAAGTTGGGTAAAATTGATAAGGTAATTTCTCCCTCCTTTCGGCATGTCTTTGTGGTGTAATGGTTAGCACATTCGGCGCGTATTCGAGAGGTCCAGGTTCGAATCCCGGCGAGGGCATTGTTAATTTTTCATGCCTCCTGCTTCAAATTAACCAAATGACTACAAATTTGTAAAGTATAAAATAAAATGAGTAGCCACGAACATATGAATGGCAGAGTAAGATGAAGAATTGCTGGCAGATCGGAGGCAAGCCAGCGCTGATGGATATCGAGCTCGATATAACGCCCAATGCCGTCTGCAATTAGTGGAAACATTTACAGAACAGTGGATCCATATCGAGAATACCAAGATCCACGACGATGAGTGAGGATCATAATTTGAAATTTTCAGCATGGCGACACAGGACTGCTGCAGCTTCACAGATCTCACATGAGCTGTATGCTGCCAGTGGAGCCTGAGTTTCACGGTCATGAGATAAGGCTACATGCCAGAAGACCTGCCGGTTGCTCTGGGCTCATTGCAGCACACGAGAAAGCGTGTTTAGTATGGCCTAGAAAACTTGCGCCTTGAATCAGACTTTACTGGAGCACTGTGATTTTACAGATGAGTCGAGATTCAGCTAGGCACCGATTCTCGGCGTAACTGTATCTGGAGTGAACCTGGAACACGGTACAATAGCCCCTTAATCAGGAAAAAGGATCATTACAGTGGGCGAAGTGTAAGAATTTGGCCAGGTCTAGGTTAGATGACTGCGCATACCTGGATGTGTTTCACAGAGCCTTTCTGACTGTTATGAGGTACAGAGAGGAGATATTCAAGTCCTATGTTAAATTTTGCAGGATCTCAGTTTGTCCTGGGTTCCTGCGAATGGACGACAACGGTCGTCTACATATGACTCTGCTGGTCGACGATTGATTACCTTGAAGTAATACCGCATGGATTGGCCAGCCAGATTTCTTGACCTAAATCCCCTACAGCATGTCTAGGACACTCTTGGAGGGCAGTTTCATGTCGCCAAGCATCAACCCGGAGTTAAAAACTGCCTTGCTGCTGGAGTGGGATCGATTGCCACAGCTCCTCCTCCACTGCCTCTTGTCCAGTAGGCCATCAAGCTGCGCGACCTGTCCGGCTGTGAGAGGGGACCATACCCTATATTAGATTCATTAAGAATTCGAATCACAGACTAGATTTTTGACACCCTTCACTGTGTGCTTAAGGCCCGGAGGCGCAGTGGCTGGCGCATCGCGCAGCAGCATCACAGGTCCGGAGTTAGATTCCCGGGCTGGGCAAGGTCGACTCAGCCTTTCATCCCTTGATTTCTATCCCTTCTGTCGACAAAACCAAGTTCGCTTGGGGACTAAACACTGGGGGGCCTCTGCGACAAGCTGACCACTTGTTCAGGGCATATACTTACGCACCTCGGGGCCCAAGGTCAAGAAAGCAGGTTTCGGGCAAAGCAGGCCTTGGCCCATTAGGGCTGTTACGCCACTGAGTTTAGTTTAGTTTACTGTGAACTTTACTGATAAGTATATAAAATGTCCATACCTACATAAAATGACGTTTGAATAGTAGATCCCTTCTGTTGTTTTAAATGTGTATCCGTACCAAATTTCCTTAAAATCTGTCCATTCGTTTTTCAGAAATTCGACATAATGTGAAATTCTCTCAATTTTGCACACGAGTCGTCTTTTTCGGTTATCGTCTCAAAGAAATGGAATAATAATTTCAACACATCAAGCGGAGATAATAAAGAATGTGTCTTAATGAATTCCAGTTTGGAGCTTGAATAACTCGTATGACCCGAGCCAAGTGACATTAGAATAAAAAAGTATTTTTACTTCCTTGTAGGAATTAAAAAGGAAGTATTGTAATCGCGAAAAATTTCAGGTATCATATTTCAAAGAAAATATCTATTTTGACCGCTCTCGAATGAAATTTAACGGTGTTTTCGCGAGACATCTGTACGTAAGAACAGAATAAAGGACTCGAACGTTTCGTGGCGTCTGTGCGTACGTACGTATCTCGTATAACTCAAAAACGAACAGCCTCAGAACGTTGAAATTTTGAATATAGTAGTGCTATAACATGTAAATGTGCATCTCGAATTTTGGTTACAATCGGCCACACCAAAAGTATATAAATATATGCGTTGGCATATAAATATATACTAAAAGTTAACTGGTGTGCAAAACTTAAGTAACAATGTAAAAATTTAGCAGATAGCCATGAAATTGTAGAAAAGGAGGTCTGGAGATCAGTACAATGAACACGTAAGTCAGTAGAAACGTCATGCGTATGCAAATATCAGAAACGAAACGTCAGAGGCGACATGAGCGTACACAAAACGCGTGATGTCTGCGCGAGCAACTCAACAGTAGAATAAAAGGAAGGACGGAGACGCAATTCAACATAACCCAAGAAATGCAGACCTTCTTGATATTCTTCTGACAAATACTTCAATCCCTATTTATACTGAAGTAAAGCACGAATTGAGGTCTGACCATATACCGGTCATTGCTTACCTAGGCACTACTAAAGAGGCAGAAAATGAAATGATCCGCACGACTGACTGGAATAAGTTCCAGAAGTTTCTCATTCAGAATCCGCCCATCTTTGATACTCTGAACTCGCGGAAAGATCTAGATGATGCAGTTGATAACCTCACTGATTTAATCAATAATGCTATTGAAAATGCATCTAGACACGTGAGAAGAAGTAATAACGCTGGCATTCTGCCACAGGAAATTAGAGAGATGATTAAGGACCGGAATAGGATGAAGAAAACGTGGTACCTTACATGGAGCCCTCACGTTAAAAGAGATATGAACAAATAAAATAAATTAATTTAAAAGAAAATAGATGAGTATAAGAGAAATGTATGGGAGGAAAAAATTCAGAATCTTAGTCCTAATGATGGCACTCTCTGGACTTTCATGCGTAACCTGAAAAGGCAGCGTGAATGCAATAAGCCGATTTATACTGAAAACTCTGTTGCTCTCAATAATAAAGACAAATCGACGGTCCTTGCGCACCATTTAGAAGAGCAGTTCCGACCAAACATGACGCCCATGGACATTAATTTTGTCAAAGAGGCAGGGTACTTTGTTAGGGATTGGCTTAATGCCCACACTGCTAAGAGATACATGGCCACTGGTACCCCCAGTGAGATCAAAGAAATCACAAAGAAGCTTAAAGTCAAAAAGGCCCCTGGCATAGACGGTATTAATAATCACGCACTTAGAAATCTGCCCTGCAATGTTGTGACAAAATTAACGAGTATTATCAATGCGTGTCTTAGTCAATGCTATTTTCCCACAAAATGGAAAATCGCAAAAGTTATTTTATTGCCTAAGCCCGGCAAGGATAACACTAGGCCAAATAGGTACAGGCCCATTAGCTTGCTTCCGAAACTAGGAAAGGTCTTTGAGAGAATAATCTACAACAGATTGAAAAACTATATTGAATTACTGCCTCCGGAACAATTTGGTTTCCGGAGAAAGCTTTCAACAACGAAGCAGCTGGTTCGGCTTGTCGAGTTTTGTGGGGATGCGCTCCACAAGAAACAAAATGTCGCCTTACTCATGCTAGACGTCGCAAAGGCATTCGACCGCGTCTGGCATGAAGGGCTTATTTATAAACTGATAAATCTCCTTATGGATAGAGAGCTGATTCAGCTAATTATGTCTTTCATCACTAATAGGAAATTCACTGTGGCTATTGGAAAGGACATCTCCAGTTTACGCACCATGAATCGTCCATGAACGTCCCACAGGGGTCCATTTTAGGGCCCGTCCTGTATTTATTTTATGTTCATGACTTCCCTAGGGCTCACATTGGCAGAAATCACTTTCTTGGGTGCTATGCGGACGATACGGCATTAGCCGTAAAGTCCGCAAATACACACCATGCAATCAAGAATTTACAGGAGCTTCTACCAGTGGTAGAAAAGTGGTGTACGACTTGCAGGATTGCTATTAATGCCAGCAAGTCGCAATTATTAATGATAAGGAGGAAAAATACACAGTTGACTATTAATAGCAAGCTCTTCTTATTTTCTGAAGAGATTCCTAGAGTTAGTAAGGCGAAATATTTAGGAGTAATGCTAAATGAATGATTAAAATGGGGAGATCATATAACGGAGGTCAGAAGAAAAATTTTCACTGTTGTAAATAGTCTCATCCCTACATTGGGTAATTATTCTAGCTTAGACCTCAGGAAAAAGAGGCTAGTATATATCACGGCAATTAGGCCATTGATGACCGTGCACCATGCGTCGCCGGCCTGGTGCACGGCTACCAAGGAGGATATAAAAAGACTTCAAATCATGCAAGTCTTAAGGCTTTAACCTATGCTCAATTTTTTGTGAGCAATGCTACACTGCACTGTGACTTAAAACTGGACACTCTAGAAGAGCACATGAATAAAATCAACAGGAAATTCTTCACGAAAGCTCTGAACTGTGACCATATGAGAAATTTTGATATCTTTACCTACGAAACATTGAATGAGGACGCCAAACTGCGCCCACTTGCGGCCCACCTTATCAGGCACCCGAACTTTCCCACCTAGTGCCCACCTGTAAATAATGTACGTAATATGTTTATTAGCATTCTTAATTTTGTATCTTACTTACTTATTGTACTGTGTATTTCTTAAATTCACTAGTTTTATTTACATTCTACACTCATTTTATGACTCCCACTTAGTCACGAATTTACCGGGCCAGTTACTTGCTAGTGAGCTCTTGCGTTGCTGGTCTTCCTATTCTTTATCCGTCTTTGCTCCTCCTTACGGCGGACATTATGTGAAGATAGTTCTATGTTATTGTGCCCATCTGGCATAAATTTGATTGAGCCAGATAAAATACTGATCTGAGTGGTATTCTGGCTGTAAGTTATCAGTCAGTCAGTCAGTCAATTCAACATATTCGCTGCAAGTGCCAGTGAGTCAGTTCGTGAAATATGGCTAGAAGAAATCACCTGGACAACTTCACACCTGGAAGAATGATCGGAAAGCTAGAGGAGGGGGGTACTGTCACCAGTGTAGCTGCAGAGTTTGGAATCAACAAAAGTGTCGTTTTGCGCGCTTGGAAAGCATTCTAAACCACAGGTACAGCTGTTAGAAAGGTTGGTGGTGGCCGCCCGAGGACGACAACTGCAGGGGATGACCGATATATCGTCCTGCAGGCGAAATGAGGCCGACAGCAGTCAGCAAATGCCATTGCTCAGCAACTCTGTACAGCAACGGGGCGACAAGTGTCGCGGTTTACTGTGGCCAGACGCCTTCACAAAGGGGGCCTATTCGCCCGCCGTCCTGAACGCTGCCTCCCGTTGAAAGTTGGCCACCGACGCCACCGTTTACAGTGGTGCAGCGAGCACAAAAACTGGACAACTGATCAATAGAGTCGTGTCATCTTTACGGATGAGAGTCGGTTCAGTACCAAAAGCGATTCTCAACGCGTTTTGATTTGGGGAGAGGTCGGGACCCGGTTTTATCCCAGTAACATCAAGGAAAGACACCGTAACGGTGGTCGTGGAGTTCTTGTCTGGGAGGCATTATGCTGAACGGGCGAACTGAGCTCCACGTTTCCGACAGAGGGTCTGTAACCGTGGATCGCTATTGTGAGGAGGTACTCCTTCCCATGTGCTTCTGTTGCCAGGTGCCATTGGCCCAGACTTAATTTTTATGGATGACAATGCATGGCCACATCGGCTTCTTGCTGTTGAGGAGCTACTGGAAAGTGAAGATATCACTCGAATGGATTGGCCAGCGTACTCCCCAGATTTAAATCCCATCGAACATGTGTGGGATGCTTTGGGGAGACGCATTGCAGCACGCTTACATCCTCCGGATAACACCCAACAACTCAAACAGACGCTGATTGATGAATGGGCACTCCTAAAAAATGTTGCACCAGCTGAGCTGGTTCTGAGCTGCTGGTTCTGCTGGTTCCGCATACTCAGAACCAGCTGGTTCTGAGTATGCGGAGACGATGCGAAGCAACCATTGCAGTGAGGGGAGGCATATCCCATATTTAGGAACATCTGCTTCTTGTTTTTCCTCTTGGATAGACAATCATGAGTCACGATACTATGCGTTCAATAAAGCTTGTTTCTGCTTGATTCCATATCCTATGCATTGTATTCCGTTTTCAGCTCCGATGCTTCCGTTATCCTTTACGTACACAATTATCTCCTTCATTTCTGCATTTCATGTCTCTCAGTTGATTTCTCGTAGAGTTATGGCAGAAAGCCTGCTGTTGCTTAAGTTTTGCACACCAGTGTATATATTTATATATATATATCCGCTCTGTTACTTGGTTCAGCAGTCTCGGTTTCTTTATTATTATATGTTTGTAAATTGTGCATTTTTGCTTTAAATATGATTGAATTATGTTGTTCTTATGTTCCGGTTAAGGTTTTTATGCCTTTAGTAAATCTGCATGCAATAGTGTTAGAATTATCAATAATTTAAAAGTTGTTTAAGTGCCGCTAAGCCTAATTATTTTTTTCCATGGCCGCCATGTTTGTTTACATTTGAAATAGGAGAATAGTAGGTTTTTTTGCCAATCTAGAGAAAGTAAGTTTCGGAATACAAAGATTACGCCTTCTTTTATTATTGCAAATTAAATCATGTTTAACCCATTCTGGAATTTATTCCAGGAAATTAGTTTTTAAGATTTACTTCATAATTTTCAATACAGATATTTTGAGTTTTTATGTATTTTTGCCTTGTTGCGAAGTGAGAACTGAATTAATTGAAAGAGAAATGCTGAATCGTCTGTGAAAAACTGTTTCTGTTGTTGTTTTTCTTTGCTTAATTTCTTTTATACATCGTTTTTAGTATAGCATTTGAATAGAACATGTGGAAAGATAAGATAAATCTTAAGATGATATAAAGTTTGTGCATTCTGAGTTAAAAAATGAATAAAATGTGACGGTGTTAAGTGAACCTAAGGCCAGAGTGTCGCTATGGTAAACAAATACAGTAAATTTTAAAGAGTATATTTATTCTGCTGTCGTTTGTGCGCTATCGACCAAGTAAATTTAATTCAATAAGTTTAAATGAAATGCGAGAAAAAATGCGTATAATTTAATATTCCGTACAAGGAAGTCATGTGGTGTACACATCAGATATTTTTAAAACTAAGTTATAAATGACATCGCGTTTTATCCAAAACCATACTGCAAAGTTTTCTTGGTTGCGATTAGGGATTTTGTGATGTCAACCCTAACATCACAGTTGAATTTCACCCCCTTGAAACTTGGATTTCACTTACCTAACAATAATTTTTTCTTAAAATCTAAATATTTTTTTTTTTTTTTTATTTTTATTTTCTTTTAGGAGGAGTTTTGAAAAATGTGGAAACCTCAGATTTACCTAAGCAATGGTCCGTACTGAGACCGTCAAGCGACTAAATACCCATTTTAGGGAAACAGTTATAACTTAGATGAATGTTTAAGTAAATTTTATATTAAACTTTAAATTTAGCAAATACACAGCTCACGATTAACAAAATCAATCTCAGCTACTTAAGGAAATTAAGCTAATAAAAAATACTAAAGTAAAATTTAAAGTAAGTAACGCCAGAAATTACAAAAAAAAGTTCCTCTAAGCTTTGGCTCAGAATTAAAATAATTCCAAAAGCTAGGCGAAAAATACTACGATGTCCAGCATCGCTGCCAAGAGCTCAACACCGTTCTTATACACTCATAAACTAATTTGAAACCTGTTGGAAGCCAGCAAAAATACGTGAGAGAAAATATAAAATAAATAAATAAAATAAAAATAAAATCTGAAAGCTTTCAGATTTCATATTACGCCCTAATGGGCGTTTGTCTCATTTACAGACACAAACACGTTTCGAGAGCATTTGGCTAGCACCACTTTAGGCTAAAAGTATTTAAAAACAGCATCAAAAACAGAATTTACGATAGACAGTGTCACGCGCACTGAAGATAAAAGAATGTTTTATTACCTACAATTTTGCCACTGCTTGCTTTGAACTTGTTGAGTGTTTTAATCAAAAAGTTTTTAAAGTTTTACAAAATATGAAATAGACGATAAAAGAAACTCAAAATTCGGGCTTGCAGTTGGGATGAAAGATTACGTTTTTCAAAATTTCATGACTCTAGGTACCCTTCTATATTTTCTTAAAGCGAGAAAACCTACATACATTCAAGCAGATTCTTCATTATTTAGTTTCTTTAACTATAATACACGGCGATAATATTTGGTGGCAACATTCTGAAACGTGATTCAACGCAAAATACCGTTTCGAGACTAACAACCCTTCTGGGCTAACGCCCCTTTGCGCTAATAATGAGGTAATGAGTTAAATAACATAAAACCTTACAAACTGTGTTTTAAGTTTTGAAACATTTTTCTTTTTCAGGGCACTACATTTTCGTCAGTTCTTACGAAGGCAACCAATCGAATTATGAGCGTATTGCCAGGATACAGTCTCCAGTGATGAACTCGTTCGCGCCCGAAGTAGCCTGCTTCTCTTTTTATTACCACATGTTTGGGGTTGATGTCGGAGAACTGAGGGTTATTGTGGTGGCCATGAAAGACCAGAACACGCCCTTAGGAAAGCAAGTGATATGGAGACGAAAAGGTACACAACCGGACAAATGGTTACGATTCAGAGATACTCTCGCAGGAGATATTAGAGTAAGTTTTCATATCGTATAAATAATTAGCATTTTTAATTCAACTTGATTTATAGCTGATTGGATATATTCAATATATTTTGGTTATTATAATCTGGTGTGTAACTTAAAATTTAGGAAATTAAATTAGAATCACCAAAAGGTAAGGAAAAAACCATTACTGAAATATTCATGATTTTAGTTAAATCAATTCTTTTTTGGGAACAGAATCGCATACTAGGCGATTTGGAATTTTTATAAAAGCTCTTTTAAAAAGCAAAGAATATTTAAAAACATTTGTTCCATCCTGACTGCATGTACACAGATATCAACGTTTGAACTGGAGCATGCTTCTGGTATATTTAGATGAAAGTTTGAAAGCAAGAATATTGTGTCCATTCACAGAATTAAACGATATTCTTCAATAATCTTATGTTTGTATGGAATATTCAAATTTTATGCAAAACAAACGTTTGTAGTTGGCCCTTGTCCACGATACATAATTTCAGCTGCTCCCATTTCCAGTTGGCAGCTCTATACGCTGATATAGTTCGACCGGCATATTCACAAAGCCTACAGACAATTTCGCTACGGGCTGCTCTCATTGGAGGAAACATCTGCTTGGCGGTCATATTTGGAATGGCGAGTTATCGCCCTGTAGGCGTGGTAATTAACGCTAAACAAACGGAAACAGCGTTTATTTCATTCAACATTTTTTTAGTTTATGAATGAAAGCTTAGAGGAATTGTGTGGAATATATCTTAAATAACCTACTGATCTTATTAATAGTTTATTTGTATTTAAATTTAAACTTTTAAAACCACGTAATTGTTTTACAAGAAAAGGTGTTTATATGGAGACAGCATATGCACTTTTTCGTTATTTCACTTAGGAAGAGTTTATTGTGTAAATTTTCATAGCGCATTAATTTATACGTATAAAGGAATATTAAAAAAATAACCAAATGAAAACATTCAGTAAACATTTAAGGGTGTCGGATACCTATTCTTTTTACGACTAAGTATAACTAAAATTATATTTTATTCCATTATGCCCTATTTCTATTGAAACGCTTTTCGGGATCTTGGTAATCTCGTAATCTTGCTTACTGGTACCTACTACAAAGAGTACAAACCAGTAAATAAAAATAAGAAAAATTAACATTGACAAAAATAGAGAAAATAAAGGCATTTAATTTTTAACACCGTACCCGAAGGCGAAAAGACAAATAATGACAAAGTCATTCAATAAAGTTTAATAAAAATAAATCCGTATAGAGCAGAGTTTTTGAAAGCTACAAGCGCGGATAGAACCGGCGACCTAGAAGTCTGAGAGTTATTCCCGCGCTCGTTACCACTGTGCTGCGGTTTCTCCGGTGGTTTATGCTCACTTTTTGGTACACGACGCTCAAATACAAATTGTATAGGCGATGAACCAAAAGTCGCCAAGCACTAGATTCTGTAACCCTACATCTTTTAACCAATCGGAGCAAACAGCAGAATAACGGTCTGTAGGCTTTGTGACCGCCTCATCTGTGACCATGAGCGCAAACACGCATGCGCCATTCAGGCCAAATTGTTCTCAAAATAGGATGGATGGATGAGAAATTTCTTTCCCTAGCATACAAATTGTCTGTTTCCTGAGAAGGCTTTCATATCGCAGCAAGTAATAACGACCCTTTTGGAAGAGGCAATGTATTCTGGCAGAATGCCAGCCATTGAGACGGTCGAACTATACCAGACAAACTAATATTCTTGCTATCCTCCTTGCAAGTCTGAATTTTGAATATAACAGAGAGGTATGCAAATGCTTCACAGCTCAGTGCATTTTAAGGGCGAATCTACGCTCAGGGGGGTAGCTAAAGGAAGGCAAGAGGGGACATTGTCCCCGGGCCAGCATTCAGTGGGCGTCAAATTGATGTTACGAAGTTTTAGAATGAAATGTTTTCCACTCTTGGAAAACATAAAGAGTGCGAGATCTTCAGTTGTCTCCTCTGGCGCTAAAACTCTAGCTACAGCGCTGTCTACACTTAAAGTGAATCCACGAGCACACCGCATTTACTGTCATGTTTTCTCTTCCTTGTTTAGTGACTTTACTTTCTGATTATTGATAAGGGAAATTTATAGCGTACATCACTTCGAAGAGAAAGTTTCGTTGTAAAACATAGTAGTCTTAAAAGCATATGCGAATAGATAAAATTATAATATAAATAGATGCCGTGTTTATTTCAAAGAAATTATTAAAAGTTAACGATTTAAATAATAAAGTTCTTTTCTTAATTACGTACGTATTATATGTAATTTTGTATTAGTACCATAAATCAGGTCTCTCAATCACACACTGAAAAGTTAAAGAAAGACAATATGTGTGTGGGGGGATATGCGAGTATCCAGTAATTCGTTCAGAAACAATTTTACTGTAAATATTTCCAGAATACAAAAGAATGTTTAAAATGGCCTAGCAATATCAAGCCTAATTAAATAATTCCTCTCATGAAAACAGCTTGAAGAATTATTAGAAATAACCTGAATCGTTTCTCCTCCCATGTCCTAGATGTATTTGAAAATGCTCATTTGAAACTTCTGGAGAAAACAAATACAAAAGCGTATTAAGCATTGTATGAAAGTTAAATTATGCTGCATTTTAAAGAGAGTCGTTGACGAAATTTTTATCATTTTATCACTTTATTTTATTACTTATTCTTTCAATCAAGTGCAGTTTAATCATAATAACTACATTACACTAGTAAGAATGGGCTTCCAGACCTGGGAAACATTTAAGCTGCCCTGCATGGTTAAAATGCCCTAAACCCTAGAGGCGATCCCAAGGAGGACTAAGACAAAAAGTGGACGTCACCGATCAACTCATGGAGGTTACCTCCATGGATCAACTCAGGGGGACAGTACAACCAAGGGGCAGACAAGACAGTAAGGGCCATATGGTCCCTGCCGAGCCTAAACGTACCACCGCATCGATCCAACGATAGTTCTAGTCACTGTGAAGACTTATTTTCCTCAGGAGTCAAATCTGTTTAGGTAAAGGTTCTAATTAGAACGCCGAGAGTTGCCTCTCCCAGTCGACCCCGGCGAGAATTAGAATAACTACAGAGTTATTTGCATAAAATGTTTATAAAATTACATACAAGAAATGTACCGATTAATAATCATGTTATCATATTTATTTTAAGTTGATTCATGCACTAAACATAACATCGCAGATATAAATTTATTTTAAAATTTTACTTTGCTACATATATCTTTCAGATTGAAATCGAAGCAGAAGGAGGCAGTGGATTCGTAGGATCTATTGCCATAGATGATATTGTTATGTCTCTTGGTGCATGTTCAAAAACAGGTAACACAACTTCTTGAGTACATATTTGATAACACAGTATATATATGTTATGGGAATCAAGAATTTTTTCAAGATCTGGACTGATTCTCTTCTTTAAAGAATTTTGACTCTCACATATATTCCCACTTTGTTACCCGCCTTGGTGAATTCAGTACTTTTATTCTTATGCGTTGGAAAATTATACATGTTGTGTTCCAAAAGTGGTTAGATTATGTTGTTCTTATGTTCCAATCAAGTTTCTTATGCCTATGGTTAATCTGCATGCAATAGTCGTAGAATTATCAATAATTTAAAAGTTTAAGTGGCGTTAAGCCTAACGAGGCAACCATTTTTTTACGTTTGAAAGTTTTAGTAGCAGAGTAAAGTAAGTCAGTTCGTACACCAACTTCATTGTCTTTTTTGCCGAGTGGGACTAAAATTTAACTTTCAATATTGTGCACCAAAAATGTGGTCTTCTTGCCCGTTGGGCAAATTGCTTGTTTTTTGCGTATCAAGAAAACGCCCATGCAGCCAACCCGTTTACGTAAAACAAAACCCAGGTCGGAGCTACCAGTGTTCAGCCATTCAACCGCTCGGCCGCTGGTGGGCCCCTGAATCGTAGATTGCTTTCTTAAAATCTTTGCTACCTTGCACATTTAAGTAGTGCAGCAGCTTGATCAGTGGCACACATGTGCAATATTATTTAATTAAGTTTTGAATTGTGTGTGTAGACGTAATTTCTATAAATCTAATTTCCGTGTTTTGCTACGTTATGAAACTGAAGCTCGAAGGCTTGTTTTTAAATCAACATGTTTTACACTTTATTCAGAGGAAATTAATGTACTGAAAGTTACTAATTTAATTATGGCAAAGACGCGATGGCTATCTGCTTAAGAGGACGAACGCCTTCGTGCAGAATTTTCGAAGGGAAACTGCCTCGTGTTCATGAAACCACTAAAAAACCATTCGAAAACCACTAAAACGTTCATGCAGCCAACCCGGTCCCCTGGAATCGATCCCAGGTCTAAACTACCAGTGTTCAACCACTTTTCCGCCTGGCCGTTGGTGGGTATTTAGCGACGTAATTAGCGCAGCTGGAATACTTTGCTGGTTAGTACGTTACGAATATTGACATAAAAATCTTGCTCTTAAAAATGTCTGGAATTATTGATACACACGATTTTTGTCACAGGTGTATGCGATTTTGAGAGCAATTTTTGCGGCTGGAATGTGGAGCCAAACAAAAAGGGTGATTTCTATTGGAAAAGAGGAGCAAGTCTTGTGAAAGGACCAAAGAGAGACCATACCACAAGGACTGAAGCAGGTAAGAAGTCGTTTTTAATTTGACAAGTATTTTTTTATAGTCACTACTATCGACATGAACAAAATAAACAATGGATATCAATTACCGCCTATTCTTTATATATCTAAGCGGCTTAAGTGTTTGTCGCTGATAGTTTATTGTTGCCACTCGGAAAAATGAGCGCGGAAATTTAACGTTTCCGAAGTTTGTAAATAATATCTCGGCCGATTAAAGTCGTACGAAGATGAGAACGCTATCGATGGATTCGGATAATTTTTTGGAATCCGAGGAAACGCGTCTCGAATTTCAACTCGGCGCCGTTCCGTAGATATTCGAGAAAAAAGAATTTGGCAAGTAGCCAAATCCCTCTAATAGGGAAAACACAAGAAAGAAAGTGGAGAATGTAGGAAAAACGTAGGAGAAAATATCTCGGCTAATTAAAGTCCCACGAAGACGCGAATGGTCAAAATGACGTGCCATGGACCTGCGGAATCCAACGGTGTGCTTCGCTAAGACCGGGAGCCAGCCGTTTCGAAGGAGTTGCCACGACACAGGGTTGCCGTTTCAATTGAGACGTAGACAATTTCGCGTAAAACTTGTCTTTGCTATGACCATCCATAAGTCTCAGTGCCACACGCTTAAGCGCGTTAGCATTTTTTACCTGAGCCTGCATTTAGACACGGTCAACTTTATGCTGCCTGTTCAAGAGTTCGTGAAAGAACAGACGTAAAATTAAAAATAATGGATGGTCCTCTGCAAGGCGAGCTTAAAAATGATGTAAAGATCTATACAAGAAATGTTGTGTACAAAGAAATCATTGACATGTGAATTAACATTTTAATATTTAAATCACGTTTATTTATTGAGCTAGCGGTGGGACTCTTAAGAAATGTACCGTCAGGGTTTCCTTCATTGCACTCTACTTTAAGCAAGTAGAAGGGAGGAAACCCCGTGGGGCAGTAAGCAAAGAGGCGTCTTCGCCGCCTGTCCTGGATAATGCAGTTTGAATTATCAGACACCTTTGCACATATGACTTTAATTACAATTTATAATAGCTAGAACAGCGGTCATTTCATATGACCGTCGGGCATTCTAGTTTTATTATAACGTCGCCATTAGCAAGTATTGAGAAGCATGTATTTGAAATTTATATCATTTTTCTTATGTCCCCGTATTGTTCTAGGTCACTATCTGCTAGCCTATTCCAAAGGAGCTGCAGCCGGAGAAGAGACGAGTTTGACTAGTCCCAAATTCAGTAAAAACTGGGGACCCCACTGCGTTACATTTTGGTATTATAGACCGGGTTTAGGAGTTGGAAAAATCACCGTCAATTTCCGTAAACGCGGAAAAGACACAGTCGAGTGGTCTGCCGATAGTGATGTTGGAAAGTTTTGGCATTATGGACAAGTAAATGTTGATACACCTGAATCTGTTCGGGTAAGAGATTTGAAACTATTAATCCTTTATCATATTTGTTATTTCTAACCATAAACATTAAAATTGCAACACCATGAAGGAAAGCAAATACAAAAAATCTATTGTGTACACAACACGACTTCCTTGTACGAAATATTAAATTATACGCAATTTTCTGCATTTCATTTAAACATATTGAAATAACAGTTAACAAATTTTGAATTAAATCTACTTCGTCGATAGCGTATAAACCACAATAGAATAAATGCATTCTTTAAAGTTCACTATATTTATTTACCGCAGCGACACTTCGACGCTACGTTCACTTAACAGCATTAACATTCATTTTATAACTCAGAGTGCACAAAAATTATATCATCTGAAGAATTATCACAAGTTCTATTCTAATACTATAATAAATCTAAAACGATGTATAAAAGAAATTAAACAAATAAAAAAGAAACAGTTTTTCGCAGACGATTCAGCGCCGCTAACCTAATGCGCATACCCTACTAATGAATTCAGTTCTTACTTCGTGACAAATACATAAAAATTCAAAATATTTTGATTAAAATTTGAAAGATATAGAGAAACATAAAACACCAAGTATAGTTTAAAAAATTTTAAAAAAATTTACAGTTAAAATTACAGTTTCTACGCAAAAACTAATAACTTAAATGTTAACTAATGCTAACTTAAATGTTAATTCCAGAATGAATTAAATATAATTTAATTCGCAATATTAAAAAAGACGTTACTTTGTTGTTGCGAAGGTTATTTTCTCTAGATTGGCAACAAATCCACTAAGTCTGAATTGTAAACAAACATGGCTGCCATGGTAATCAGAAATTAGGCTTAGCCGCACTTAAAAAACTTTTAAATTGTTGATAATTCCACAATTATTGCACACTGGTTAGCTAAAGGCATAAATATCTTGATCAGAACAACATAATTCAATCATTTGTAAAGGAAAAAATGCACAATTTACAAATCTATAAGAATAATGAAACTGAGCTCATTGACTCGAGTAACAGAGTGGATATATATATATATATATACATATATAATGTTGTATGATCTTAAATTCACTTAGTGCGAAATCAAGTTATTCTACTACTTGCGCAATAGCTGCAAAGTAAGTTAATAATAATTTATTTACTGAAGATATATTGATTGTATTATCTCCTAAGATTAATTTTAGTTGAAGTATCTAAAAAGAGTAAATTCATACTCAAGTAATTAATCAATTTTACTGCATAAATTACTTTTCACTCAAAACTGAATTAGCGAAAATGCTTAATCAAAATAAGTTCTTTGGTGCTCTGCATTGATTCTTGATCCCTTCAATTCACGAAATATTTGGCCTAACTTAAATTGCCAGTTTGGCATCGCCTTATTACTTGAGTAAAGGACGAAAAACCTTCGTATATATTTCTTAATTATTGTTCATTGAACGGGAGTTGGTTTGTTTCCTTTGAAATGTCAACTAATTTTCGATCAATGGCAATGATTACTTGCTTTTAATTTAATTATTTGATTTTAATTTAATTTCTTTTTACAATTGAAATTTTGTTATTCATGATTTAATTCAAGTTCCCGTTAAACATTTTTAACAATTTACATTAAAGTTACTTTAAAACAATTTTCGGAATTAAACTTACTAACTATGGATTCACTCTTTTTAGATAATTTTACTAAAATTAATCTTAGGAGATAATATAATCAATATAGCTTTAGTAAATAAATTATATATATATACTTTTAGTGCGGCCGATTCCAACCAAAATGGGAGGTGCACATCTCCATGTTATAGCAGTCCTATGTACAAAATTTCAACGTTCTGAGGCTACTCGTTTTCGAGTTATGCGAGATACGTACGTTCATACGTACTTACAGACGCCACGAAAATATCTCTTCAGAATTCCTTTTAAATCAGTTTTGTAATTTTTTTGGAGAAAAAAGAGCCCTTTAGTCTGTCGTTACGTAGAGATGTCACACAAAAACATATTTAAATTGCATTCGAGAGCGATCAAAATGGATATTTTCTTTGAAATATGATATCGAAACTTTTTCGCGGTTACAATACTTCCTTTTTATTTCTTACAAGGAAGAAAAAAGATATTTATTGTACATAAACAGTATGGCATGGAAACAAAATGATTAAATTTCTACAGTCCAGACACGTATACGGCCGTCAGAATACTGCACGTAGAACCGAGACTCTTTTGAAAAGGCGACATTGTGCCACTCCTGTACTCAGCTTTGTCTTTTGGCGCACCAGAGTCGCCGTCTCTCTCTGTGCTGCATTGTCAAGAGAAGCCGAAGTCAAGGGAAAAGATGCCGAAGTCGAGGAGTTAACTCAAGGGAAGCCAAGGCAAGAAGTCAAGGGAAGTTGTCAAGGTAAGCCGAAGTCAAGGACTATCAGCAGGATGATGGATAACCCTGTTGATAGTCCTTGACTTCGACTGCTGTTGATAGTCCACTCGGCTTCAAACGTCGACGCACCTTACGAGCTGATACTGTGTGTGCTGCAAACATGTCCATTTCTGACAAATGATCCGTGATCATTACTAATCAGATCATTACTAATGATCCGTGATCATTACTTGAGTATGAATTTACTTTCTGACTAATGATCCGTGATGTGGTCGTACGGTTTTGCAAGGCTGACCTCACACTATGTCTGTCCTCTGTGGCGTTAGTCATGGGTAGGCGTTGAGACATTGCAAGCCGTTCTGTATGAGACTCAGCAATCCATTGATTCCATATTCGCATGGCTGTGGTTGAATACCGAGCACTGCGACTGGCGATATCGCAGAACACTAATCTATCAGCAGAATCTAGCAGAATCACTTTCGATAGGGAATGATTCTGCTTTTATTAAATTTAAAAACTCGCTGGTAAGCATTTCCTCTTCTTATTCGAGGCATAACACGATATTCTGAGCAAACGGCAACCTTACAAAGCCTTTTCTGAATGAGAAATCCACTACACAACTTTTCTTTTATGCAGTGCTTCAGATGTCAGTAATCCGTCCGTTGTTTAAATGCGCTGAAATACTAATCATTTACATATCCCAACTTCTTCCGTTCATGTGATCTTGACGTTCGCCAGATGTTTTCTTCCTGGTGCTGCAATTTTAAGGGTCAGCAAGTGTAATATCTTAGTAATACTGCATTAATTGATATATTCTCAACAGAAGAAGCAGTTATAATCGCTTTAATTATCTATTAAATTTTGAAATTCAAGGAAAATTCTGATGTCGCTATAGAGGCTGAAAGCCCATTTTTCAAACGATTTTGCTTTGCCATAAAATATCATCTGCTTGGAATTTTCTTTTAACTGCAATTATATAAAGTATAAAATATCGCCTGTTACTTGACGGATTTGTTTTCCTGCAAAATGGCGCTTTTAAAAAAGCAGCGAATGGAAGGCTATGTTTATGCTCTTTCGGAAGAAAATTCTTCGTATCTTGTTATGAAAAACGTTGTGAAAGCAATAGATTTTCGATATCTAAAGCCGCTATAAATGATATTATCAATAAAAAAAAAGTCAGTGTTTTGTTTCAAGTGAAAATTTTCTCTAAGTACATATCCAAAGAAAACCCGCAAAATTTAGAATGTTACAAAGTCAAGATCTTTAATGTAAAAGAAATCCCTTAGCTCAAAAGACAGTTGAAAAGTCATTAAAATGCTCTGTGTCAACTGTAAACAACCGGATTAATGCTGATTTGAATCTTAAAAAGGCCAATAAACATAATGTGCATCGTCTTTCTCCACGACTTATTGCTGAACGCAGAACGAGCTGCAAAATTCTTTATGAGAAACATTTATTCGGAGAAAAATGGAAAAATGTTTCCCAGTAGATAAACCTTGCTGAATTTAAATGACTGCTATAAAAATAGCTCCATTTATTTTTATTAAAGTAGAGGAACATATCTTAAAGCATGATTCAAAGACTCTAAAGAGACTTTTTCAGAAGTATTTACTATTGGTGATGATTTTTCATGCAACGAGAAATTAAAAATAGAGTGTAGATAAGTATTAGGATAAAAATATGCAATCGGAAACATATTTTGTACTTAATTTTTAAATATGGCATACGTACTATTTAATCACAGTGGCATCGATCAGCGAAACTGCATCAAGACAAAGCAAGGAGCCACACGTCAAGGTCCATCGTTAATTTTCCTGAGAAAATTGAACAAGAAACAGGTATCACTCAGTGATAACCCTATTAAATGTCCTGATGGTGGTCTCTATCACCCATGGATTTTTGCCTCTTTGAATTTTTAAAAAGCGGATTGCCCAAACGTAGATTTTCAATCATCCTTGGACTTCGGAAAGTTGTTCAGGAAGAATGGGATGAAATACCTCTCCAGATTTTACAAAAGGCATTATTATCTTGGGAATTACGGTGTAGAAAAATAAGCATTATCAAATAGAACATTTAAAACACAAAAATTTTAGGTAAAATATTTCTGTAAATACAATGAAAGTTGTCTAAAAAGTTGGCAATAAAAGCCTCTGCGCTTCGTGTGCACTGGCAAATTTTCATTACATCGTGATACAGTAAATATACAGGCTGTATCAGTATACAGTAGTGACAAACTTTCAGGAGAGCTAAAGTGCACCTAGACGATGGGAAATCACACAGGAGTGCATGGTTGGAAACGCTTTCCTGGCGCGGTAGTGACGAGACAAAAGTCAAGAAAGAAAGGACACGAATGGGAGTGAGAAAACATGTTTATTTCTTCAGAGTACAACAAAAACAACATAAAGAGACAACGATCATCATCAAAAAAGATGTTCGAAATTACGACTCGGATCGTGCGTCATGCATCTTCTGTCTGCCAGAGCCTACGTCAGCCATGCACATGTTTTCTTAGCTGTGGGAAAGATCGAAGTGGCTTTTGTGATTGGTTCTTCCATGATCCTGAGCTGCAGTCGGGCGAAGTGGCCGCATTATAAATACACTGTAAATTCAGTTTGTTAGTCGATGCAGATTACCAGATTATCATGTTGTTGCAGACTGTCATGTGCCGCTATGTGTTACACCATGTTTCAGACTGTACCATACTGTCAATGACATCTACAGATCGTAAAATGTATTTACTTGTTTTTTACTTTAGCTCTTTTAGTTACTATTACCTAGACTACAGTTTTGTATTAGTTTTGGCTAGATTGTGTTTTTATTTTTTTTTATCTGCTTCATGGAAGCCCGAGTTAACTCGGATAATGTCATGAACCATAATAAATATCTCGCTTTCCCCTTGAAAAAATTTCTTTTTTTTCGCCTTACAAAGCAATATCTAGTGAGTTATATCTATAGATAATAAAAGTGTTATAAAAAATTCGGGCATTTTCGGCATAATTTTTATAATAAATTCGGTCATCAAGCGGTTAACATTTAGCAACTTACACGGAACAAGATACATATGCTTATAAACCTAGTAAATTGGTGAAAGCACACGCAGGAATAGTAGGTTGTAAGATATATCTTAATTTTATAACAGTTATTTTAAGTTACGAACCTTTCTAGCTTCAGCTTAGAATTTCTTACCAGAATGAGTTTTTAGAATCACGTTAAATGCAAATGAGAAGTATATTTAAGTCAAAGTTTCACTGACTTCGAGAGAGGGAGAGAGAGCTAAGATTCCTGAGTAGGTCGCATTTGCCTTTTGGCTACGTCTCTCTAGCTGTTACTACGCTCTACCGTGTTACCTGTCTTTTGGGATATTACCTGTCTAAGTTAATATTAAGGGCCAACTAGTTTAGAATTGTGTTAACTTCGGCTAAATCTCTTTCGTTAGTCATTAGTTAGTTATTATTTGATATATTTTTAATTTAAGCGCAAGTGGAGGCTTTGTTGTACGCCCTGAGAAAGAGGCCAATTGTATATATTTATTTGGAGGAAATAAAGGATAATTAACCCTTCTTAAGTTTACGTTTCTGTTGTTGGACTTAAGCGATTGTTCGCTCTGTAGTTCACTAGGTTCCTCAATACTTAGTTTAATAGAATAAAAGGGAGGAACACTACAGGATAATGAAATAAGAGAAAAATTAGTCAAAGAAGCAGATGATAATAGAGGGAGCGTTTGTTCTTACTTATCCAGTTCCTTCTTCAGACTTAAAAAAATACGCTTACAGAACAAGCAGTCCAAAAATGGCAAAATGAATGGAATGAGAGTGCAACAGAAAGACAAAGGTATAACTTTATACCGAAAGTTTCAATTAAATGTCTTACAGCCATTCCACAGATAACACAATATATAACAGTGCCTTTAGTGATGTGCGCCTTTAGTGATACGGCACACATCCAAACGAAAATGCAATTCTTCCCATACTGTCTGCAGCAAGTCCGGAGTAATGGAAGCAACAGCCCGTGCAGTTCTACCTTTCAAGGTTGGTAAATCGTGGGGTAGGGGTGGAACGTAGACCAGATCTTTTACGAAGCCCCAAAGGAAGAAATCACAAGGCGTGATGTCAGGTGAACGAGGCGGCCAGGGTCAGAACTCTGTCGTCTGGACCGTGACGCCCAATCCAACGGTCAGGGACTTCGACGTTTAACCAGTCTCGCACAAAGAGACTCCAATGAGGAGGGGCTCCATCTTGTTGCCAAATAAAGTTTGCAGGTTCACTTTCTACTAATTGGGGAAAGAGCCATTGTTGTAGCATATCCAGATAAGAAACCCCTGTTACTGTTGCTTTCAGCGAAAAAATGGTCCCTACACTTGTCGTCTCATCACTTGTCGTCCATTTCTTGCGTACTTCAATAGATTTAAAATCTCAGAAGCAAACATTTGCGTCTGTGAAATTGAAGACTGCCCAGAACATTATATCTTCCACTGCTCATTGACAAATTCAAACTACGACACCGCATTAAAAACATTTATAATACAGGGTGTCCGTAAAAGAATGTCCGAGTTTTAATGGCATATTACAGGAGTTTATTTTATGATAAATATAACAAATCATACATGAATTTGAAGGAAAACTAACCTAGGTTTTCCTAAAAGTGCTCAATGTGTGCGCCTTTAGTGATACGGCACACATCCAAACGAAAATGCAATTCTTCCCATACTGTCTGCAGCAAGTCCGGAGTAATGGAAGCAACAGCCCGTGCAGTTCTACCTTTCAAGGTTGGTAAATCGTGGGGTAGGGGTGGAACGTAGACCCGATCTTTTACGAAGCCCCAAAGGAAGAAATCACAAGGCGTGATGTCAGGTGAACGAGGCGGCCAGGGTAACAGAACTCTGTCGTCTGGACCGTGACGCCCAATCCAACGGTCAGGGACTTCGACGTTTAACCAATCTCGCACAAAGAGACTCCAATGAGGAGGGGCTCCATCTTGTTGCCAAATAAAGTTTGCAGGTTCACTTTCTACTAATTGGGGAAAGAGCCATTGTTGTAGCATATCCAGATAAGAAACCCCTGTTACTGTAGCTTCAGCGAAAAAATGGTCCCTACACTTGTCGTCTCATCACTTGTCGTCATCATTGTAAATCAAAGTAATTGTGCCGTTAAAGAACTTCACATGCAAAGCGAAATCGTATTGCACAATCATTTGGCTTTAACTGCTGTACCAACTGTAATCGGTATGGACGCAAGTGTAATTTTTTTTTTTAAAAAAATCGTCCAGACTGTCGTCTTTGGCAACTGTAGTTCATGACTTGCTTTCCGAACAGATTTCTGCGGACTACGACGGAAAGATTCTTCGACACGTTCCACATTCTCTACAGAAACTTTGGGTCTTCCCGGGCTTTTACCTTTACAAAGACATCCGGTCGTTTCGAATTGTCGATACCATCGGCGGATATTTCTGTCACATGGGGGATCACATTTAAACTTTAATCGGAACGCACGTTGAACGGCAATTACCGACTCACTCTTAGCAAATTGTAGAACACAAAACGCTTTACGCTTAGAAGTCGCCATTTTGAATAGATGACGCTGCAATTGTGAAACCGATGTAGCGGTACAAGCGCATGCGCTTATCTGAAACTGTTGGAGTTATTCTTTATTCGTCACCTTCAACCACAACTGTCAAACGATTACAGCTGATACTATTACAATTTGAAACTCGGACATTCTTTTACGGACACCCTGTACAATTAATTACACGTGGCATTAATTATACGTGGTTATTAATAATACGTGGCAATTAATGATATCTGTAGAAGTATCAATATAATAACCGCGATGGAGGAAGATATATGTCAGTCAAGCTAAATTAAAGTATTAACTAAGTCATCATTTCGTAACGAAAATTTTTCTATTGAACGTTCTCAGCAGTGACAATTCTTACATCAGCTGAACATGACTAACTAATGAACTTATGAAATTTTTTCTACTGTTAAAAAAATTAAATCAAATAACAGCAGTACAATATAGAATAACAGTGCCGTTATGAAAAAGGCAGCATAAACACTACTTTTTGTTTAAATTGTTTTTTATATGTTTACCGTTATATTTCGTTCACGTGACTTTACGATGTACTTGTTTCTCCTGCTCTATGCACGCTCACGTAGCTACTAACTGTGTGTAAGACTTCAGCCGCACCTACTCATGTATTTACGAAGGCATTATTGCTTGAATGAACTAATTTCAGCATCTTTGTTTAGATGCTTGAACTATCACGAAAGAATGATTTTCCTGACTTGCCATCTGTTTTTCTTAGTGTTTTCGTCCCCAGGACGTGGCACACAAGACAGTGTGCCTTTGATTGAATTCAAAAAATAAGGTGAGAGCCAAAATACTCTTTAAAGTAGAGGCCAGACTTTAAATTTCACGATCCAGATCCATCTTATGTGTCTTTCTCATTTCACCTGTTGCCGCCATTGAAGTAGCAGCTACCTTCCGCGTCATGATATGCTATTTAAATGCAAAATCTTAATTACTGAGTTTACTCATGTATTGATCTCGCCCTAGGGCACCGTGTATTTAAACTAATACACATTTAATTAAGAAAAACCTTATTGGCCTCTTGTATAATATTAATTTACTGGTTATAGCTCTGATTAGCTGATACCAGAAGATCCAAGATGTTATGTGTACCACACGTGATTATTGGTCACGCCCCTTCCACCTCCTAGTTTGTCCTCCGGACCCACCTTGGGCTCAAGTCACTGCACCGCTCCGCTCATAGTAGCACCTTATGTGACGACAGCCGGAACAAAGCGAGCAAATTTGCAAGTTACTCGCTGTTTAACATCAGAACTGGAACTGTTTATGTGTGTGTATGTGTTGTAAGTCCATGCTATATGTGTATATTGTAAGTTATGTATAGTTTTATGGCGTTATGTACCTATAATGCTATGTTTTATAATTCTATGTGAATGTCGGGGATGCCACTTTGTGCTACGAGCGCCATTACAACCAATGAAAAACAATAGCTATGCAAGATCTTGTGCTTAAAAGATATAAACTCGCCGGGCAGCTCTCTTGTTGTCCGCGGGAGTAGATGTTCTTGAATTGGAGCACCTACCTGTGCTAGACATCAGTTGTCCCCGCCCTCCGTCACCAGTCATCAGCCTTAATAGCAATACAATCAAAACAGACTTAGCCGCACATTTGACTTCACTTCTTACATTGTACTTTCATTGCTGTTTGCTATACAGACAGCTCACATCAACCGGAGTTGCGAACAAAATTAGAATCATTGGAAGAGTTTAAGCAGGCGGATAACCACAATCATCAAGCGGACCATCTGCTGTGTTAGTAGAGTTAAGTAAAGTAAAGTAAAGCCATGTTTCATTTCTTTTTTCCACAGATAGTATTTAAGGCACAGAAAGGGCAAAACGATTACCATCAGATGGCAATTGATGACCTTTGGATAAAGAACAGCGGATGCGATGAACCAGGATCTTGCAGTTTTAACAACGACTATTGTAGCTATTCTCAGAATGAAACCTCTGATTTTGCGTGGTTACTAGGCACAGGACGCGTCGTTAACACTCAGTTAGTGGATAGTCCTCCAGAAGATAACAGCGTTGAAAATGGTAAGTTTTCTGAAAGGTGAATTTCTTATCACATGAACCTACTGTCATATGATCTGAAAAGTATTTAAATTTTTCCATATATAAACTATATTTTCCATATATATAACTATTAATTAATGTCTTTCCTATTTATAAAATGAGATACATATCAGTTTCAGCTTATAGAATGCTTCTGCCAAACAGGAGAGAAGGAATATGTATTAAAATCTAACTATGAGTTTTTCGGCTTTAGTTTGAGTTAGAAGAAACATGCATGAAACCTCGCGAAGCCACAAAAATGTCAGACCAGCCAATGAGAGTGCAGATCGCCTTCTGTGGATGCCGGATTTAATTAACGCTATTTTTCGTTAATTAATGCACCGCAACTGACTTCAAAAGTGTTTTAGATGAACTCTCTGTAATTTTACGAACATTTTAAGGGAACATTTTCTTGACTTCTGACAAATCCAGCAATTTTGAGGAGCAATTAGCTCTTATTCTTCCCTTATTGTAATTTTTGACACACTAGACTTTACAATGTCATAGCTCAGCCAGGCAGTTTCCGGTTCCCAGTAGCCTGAAAATTCACAACCATTTCATTGCTGATCTTAAGGGAACATTTATTCACCATGTAAATAGTGTACGTAGCAATTTTTGTATCTTTCATGCATTTATTTTGTACTATGTGTATGTATCTCTGCAATTAGTGCAGTAGTTGCCAAGCCACGCCCTTCATGACACTGGATTCACTGGTTTAAGCCACGTATGCAGCTCACCAGTGCCCGGCCACAGACCCTTCTACAGTTCCATCCAGACTTGGCATTTTCTCGCAGGAAGGGCTTCAAAGTTTCTTCCACCTCAGCCTAAAGCTCATATGAAGAAAACTATTTACGGTTTTTCCCAAACACCAAGCCCAATTCAGGATTCTCTCAGGAATCTGGAAAGAGCAGGGATAGGAATTCTCCGCTGCATGTCAGAATAATAACAAAAGTATCAAAGTATCCTTATGTAGGCTTCGTGAAGTTTCGAATTCGGCTTCAAGACGTTAATATTTCTGCGAACTTAAATTTGCAATTGTGATACTTTTGGCGTTAAGGGGTGGCTAGCAGAAAACTTTTATCTGTCGCCTTGTGATCTACTATGACATTTACAAATACTCGTAAATTGCTAAAATGTATTCTCCTTTAAAAGAGGTGTCTTCCAGTTAACTTAAATTTTATCCACCATTCATTCAGCAAGAGGGAAATTAAATCCATCTTCGAATATTCGAATAAAGCCGCCCAGACGGTATAGCGGTTAGGGAGGCCCGACTACGATACTGAAGGACCTGGGGTCGAATCCCGGAGAAGGTATGTTTGTAATTGTCCGTCCTTTCATAGGAGGCGTTGTTGGCTCACCTATTAGGTGCCTCCATAATAAAGAGACCACCACATCTGGCCTTTGTATAGATTAATGGACTGTGTTACATTGTAACTGTTTGCAATTTGCCATTGGAAAGTAAAAAAAAAAATATTCGAATAAAACTCCGTTGTAAATAGACAGAAAAGGAATTTTGGCCTGCAGAAAATTCGCCTGCTTTAGAAAATGCATATCTTAACTGCTTATTTAGAAAATGAATGAAAATTTTCTGATCAAACGCCAGAAATATCCGTCAGAAGCATTATTTAGTGTGTGGGAATAGCTAGTTTATTCATAGTAAGAGACAGCAGGGTAGTGCCTCGCAAAATAACTGTAATCCATTCTAGGGCCGTATTTATTATGATCCTCACTGGTTTCTTAAGTTACTGAACACATTTAATCCCTTTCCAGTTCCGGTATGAAATCGCAAAACATCCTGAAAGCGTTTTAGACAATGTTAGAAACATCAACAATTTTGGTAAGGTATCTTTTCAATTAAGTAAAAAAAAAAAAAAAAAAAGGCTATTTTCAAGACGCATTAATTTCATTTTAGCCCATAGGGCGTTTTCTGAACGGTGCATTTCTTGTAAAATAAAATTTATTGTCATGTGATATGAAAACGTGTATAAATGTTTCCATATTATTAATTTCGTTTTGGCATTTTGCGTCGAAAACTTGCGTCGAAGTTTGAATCACGTTTCAAATTCCTCCCACCAAATGTTATCGCCCTTTATTATATTTAAAGAAACAATTATATTTAAAGAAATTATTTTTTTCATTAAAATACTCGAAGATTTCCTAACAAGCATAATGAAGAATCTGCATAAATGTATGATAAAACAATGGTACCTAGAGTCAGCAAATTTTGAATGACGTACGCCTCCACCCGAATATGGGGATCTGGAAGAAATTTTTCTGCCCAAATTTGCCCAAATTTGGAATTTGTTTTATTGGCTATTTCATATTCCGTAAAGCATTTATGAGTTTTTGATTAAGAATCTCAACGACTGCAAAGCGAGCAGTGGCAACACTGCACAGAAGAAAGAAATATTTATCTCCAGCGCGAGATAAATATTTCTTTCTTCTGTGCAGTGTTTTTATCTCCAGCGCGAGAGACTTTGTATCGGAAATTCTAAAGATCTGCTCTTTATTATTTTGTGATATTGCTGTTGAATTCAGTTTTATGGTTTAAGTGCGGAGAACATGATATTTAATAAATAAACGTATAAAAAAACTTTACAAAAACGCTCCTTTGTGCATACTATAAAATCTGAAAGCTTTCAGAATTTTAGTCCAAAGGGGCTTTGTCCCTGAAAGACTATTGTTTTCGTTTCGTGATTTTGCGTCGAGTCACTACAAACGGCCACTCACTTTTCAAACTGTTGCCATAAAGTATTATCGCCCTGTGTTATAATATAAAGAAATTAAATAATGAGAAATTTGCATAAATGTATGCATATTTCTCGCATTGTAATAAAACAACGGTACATACAGCCATCAAATTTTGAGTGACTTAATCCTCCTACGAATATGGGCATGTGGAAGACAAAATTTGAATTGGTTAGTTATCTATTCCTGTTTTAAAACTTTTAACGAATTTGATTAACAAACCAACGATTTCAAAGCGAGTAATGGCAACGTTGTACAGAAAAAACATTTTTATCTCCAACGCGGGAGACTCTGTATCGGAAATTCTAAAGGATATGCTCATTTAAAAACTATTTTGCGATATTGCTGTTGAACTGAATTTTATGAAGTGCCAAGAACGTGATATTTAATAAATAAATGTAACACACGAAATGTTAAAAAGGACGCCCCTTTAGACGTAATTTAAAATCTGAAACATTTCAGATTTTCTTTATTTTATTTTCTTTATTTATTTTTTAATAATCTGTTTCCTATTTTCTAAATCTTAAAGACTTTTTCATTAAAATACTCGAAGATTTCCTAACAAGCAATGAGAAAACTCTAAGGAATAAAACAATTTTATCTGGAGTGCAAGAGACTGTCAATCTGAAATTATACGGATATGTTGCTTTAAAATATTTTTAGCCCAAAGGGCTCCAATGCTCTCGAAACGTGTATGAGCGTGTAAACGAAGAAAACACCCCCTTGGGCGTAATATAAATTCTGAAAGCTTTCAGTTTTTTTTTAAATTTTTTATTAACCTACTTCTATGTTATTTTGCTTTTCTTTGAAGTTTTAGGTTTTAAGTTTTCTCTAAAGTTACGACATATTTTCAAGTTCTTGCTCTCTTGGAGGAAAGACTAAGATTTAATCCTATCTTTTTCCTTAAAAAAGTTGCTTTAGACAGATTGATAGATTATTAAAAAATATGCGAGGCTATCCACCTACAAGAAGGGATGATTTCGTGAAGGATTTCTGTGGGAAACAAGCTCCTGTTTAGGAGAAAGACGAAAAAAAGTAGATTTCGACATTATGATGCATTTCAAAGATGCAAATTTATAACATCTTTCAGCTGTTAAGCCTTTAATGGAAAGATCCACTAACAATTTTTTAAGTATTCATCGTATTTTTATTATTTATTTCAGGCATGTACGTTTACGCCGATATGACGTCGCAAAATCTGAAAGAAAATCAAGCCGCCGTATTGGTCAGTGAACTTCTGGAAGAATCTCCTGAAAGAAAGAGATGCCTCAAATTTGCCTATCACATAAATGGCGCAGGTGAATTAAAAATGTTTTTATTTAGTTAATATAATTAAACGTTTTCTTCAGTATGTTATAAGGTACTTCTTCTCCCGCTTTCCTAGCGTGACTTCGTGGTATAGTGGTTCTGCATGCTGGGTCGGTATTCCAGAGGTCCTCGGTTCGATTCCCGGCGAAGGCATTTGCTCATTTTTCATCTTGCCTGCTTCCAAAAATACCTAATGTCTGTAGAGTGGCGTGCTCAGTGTCTACTATAAACAAAGTGATTAATGCTGATTTCAATCTTAAAAAGGGAAAGGAACGTAATGTACATCGTCTTTCTCCACGACATATCACAAAACGCAGAACGCATTATAGAATTCTCTATGAGAAATATTTATCCGGACAAAAATAGAACACTGTTATCACCAGAGACGAATCTTGGGTATACCTAAATGACTCCAATGAAAAACAATGCATTTATTATCGTCAAAAAGGAGAACAGAATCTTAAAATATGGTTCAAAGAATCTAAAGTAAGTTTTTCAAAGGGATTTACGACTGTTTCTGTTTCTTCATATAACTGCAAATTAAAAGTAAAGAGAGCGGAGAAAAAGTAAATATAAACTCCATGTGCCATCAAAAACATATTTTATACCCAATTTTCTATATGAAATACCTTTTATTTGCACACAGTGTGATCAATCAGTAGAAATGCATCAAGACAACACAAGCAGCGACAGCTCAAAATCTACTGTTAATTTCTTGGGAAAAAATGGAACAAGAAACAGGTATCAAGACCATACCCTTCACTCATATACCTGTTAAATCTCCTGACCTATATACCTGCATTTTTGCGCTTTTGGACTCTCAAAAAGCGGGTTGTCCAAGCGTCGACCTACAACATTCTCAGTCTTTGGAAAAGTGTTCGGGAACAATTGGATAAATTACCTCTTCCGATACTAAAAAGTCTTTAATTGTCTTTGAAATTATAGTGTAAAAAGATAAGAAAGAATAAGGGTTATCAAACAGAACATTTAAAATGTACAAGTTTTTAGGTGAAATATTGCTGTAGTTAGAATGAAAATCGTCTATAAAATGTGTAAACAGCTTTTGTATTTCCCCACAACGATTATTGATAAAGCTGTTAAACAGTTTTATCTTGCCTCAAAACAGGGATTCCGTCAATAAAAATAGCCTTCTTAAATTTGTTTTGATAGCATTTCATCCATTTATCGGTTACGAAATTGTTAGGCTTACGAGACGTCATTTTCTCACTTATGAATAAAAGACGCCATTGGAGTCCTCTCAGATTTAAAATTTTTCCTAAATTTATAACACATCTTGGTTTGAATTATATGGACGAAGTAAAAGAGTGGCAAAGTTTTGCTTCGAGTTATTAATTATATGCATGTTCTGCGAGAGTACTGCACGGCTCACCTCATAGCTTGACTCCATATTTAGCAGGAAACGGAAGCTCGCATAACTCCTGACGGATTCGTTAAGCCATATTTAGCACGCCGCCAGAAACCCAATATTCTATGGATGCACTCTTAAATTTTATTTCTCAAACACATCACAGAGTGTAAGGAGATTGTTGCAAAGGGTTGAAGACTGACCGTCACCCAGATTATTCGACTGGCTGAAGTCGCTGTTCTTTCAGGTAAACTACCAGAGGACTCCTGGACTAGCAATTTGGCCTTTCAGGATTCAGCATCCATACTCCGGAGCATCCATCCTAGCGGGCACAGCCTCCGCGGTTCCCATCAAGCCACGACAAAACTGCTACCGGACGCTATCTGGCAGCCACAGTGTAGACAATGATGGAGTTCCGTCTGAAATGTCGCTCTTCCAGAGCGAACCGAAAGAAACAAAACCCTCAAGGACAGCCACAATATCTAACCCCACAGCCAAGCGGCAGACACCACAGCCAAGGGTCAGACAAGACAGTGCCAGTATGGTCCCTGCCGAGCTTGAACCATCCCCGAATGAATGGAGGTTTCAGTCCTGTGAAGATTGATCGTATATCCCAATGGTTAAGACTGCCTAAGTACAGATCCTATCCAGTACTTACCAGGAATTCTCCTGAGTCAGTCCCTGTGGGATTCTTTCGGATAGCAGAAAACGGGCTTCTGGATATTATACCCTTTAGAAACATTAGGCCATTTTGAGCAGGAGACATGAAAAATGTGCAATGCCCTCGCCGGGACACGAACCTGGACCTCTTGAATACGCGCCGACTGTGCTACCGTTATACCACGAAGGCATGCTGGAAGGAAGAAGAAAATACATCATAACCCCCCAGATTCGAGGCTGCAGGAGTGCAGATCTCAGCAAGCACAATAAAATACCCTGCGGACGGCAACGCGTCAAAGTATAAGAAGCTAACTTACTTTGGAAGAGGGGAAAATACACAAATCTTCAATAGCTAATCACAATTAGGCACTTGATCTCAATTTTGACGTCGGCTCTGTTAAATTTCTTCATAGAGCTCTTACAATTTATGAAGTGGACTTCCTCGAAAGTTTTCCGTACTCATAAAATGTAACTGATTTAGCTTAACACATCAATCCGAATTCAGATCTTCCTAAACGTTTTAGAATTCTACTACTATAATTTTCCCATTTCATTAGTATTTTACTTAGCAGATGGCAATATGTTTCGTTTTCGCGCTGCTCCACCCATTGCTTTCAATATGAAATTGTGTCTCCTACCTCCGCAAAAGTGTTTTTAGTTTTTATTGGAGAGGGTGTCTGATCTCCTTCGAAATCAATTGAGTTTTTTTAAAAATGTATACCAAACAAAATTGTAAATTTAAAATTTACATCATCCTATTCCTTTAAATCAGCAAGAAAAGAAATAATGCTGAATTTCATGAGAGGTGCACTTTTGCACCCGAGAGCTTTATTAGTTGAATCAAGAAGTTTAACGCAGAGTGTTTAACGAGTTTCGCGCTATAGGCAGTTGGATGGTTGGTACTACATAAAGTATTCACAAAGTTTTTTAAGTGATCTTCAATGTGAAAATACCATCTAGGAGAGACAGAGGAAAAAAATACTCTCTCAGATAAAATAACCTGATCATTTTTACTTTTTGTTAATGCATATTTAAAATTTTTATTTTTCTTTAATGCGCATTTAAAACTTTTATTTTTGTTAATGTATATTTTTATTTTTCGTTAATGCATATTTTTATTTTTCGTTAACGTATATTTTTCATGTTTATTTTTCGTGAATGCATATTTTTATTTTTCGTTAATGCATATTTTTATTTTCGTTAATGCATATTTTTATTTTTCGTTTATGCATATTTTAATAATTTTCCATTAATGCATATTTTTCCTTAATGCATTTTTTTAATCTTTACATTGAATAAATTATATATCAGTTAATGAAATTCCGAAATCATCTTAACAGTTACTTAACTTTTAACTCTTTAACTTAGTTATTAACTTTTAATCCTTTGTTTTTCAGATAAATCTACACTTTCTGTCGGCCAAATGATATTAGAGAATATCGATAAAGAAGTGACGTACAGACAAGTTCAGTTCTTCAACCTGTACAAGACTACAGGCAAAGGCTGGGCAAAAGCACAATTAAATATTCCAGCCCCTAAAGGCCAAACTCAACAAATATATTTCTCTGCCATCAGAGGAAACGGTGCCAGATCCTTTATTGCCCTTGATGATATCACTGTTGAAGATGGAATGTGCTCAGGTATGCGGAAAAAGTTTTAAAAATTTGAAAACAATTTTTAAAAAGGAAATGTTTACCCGATGTTTTCCTGATTCCCTTGTCTACTAAAAGTAAACTGTAAAGTTCGTCATTTAGAGTACGAATATATATATATTAGGAGAAGAGAAATAAGTAAAAGCTCCATAATTGATCATTTCAGCTTCATAACCATTGATTCAACTATAATTTCTCGAAAACTATTGAGAAATAATACGTCAGGTGATAAACTTAATTTTCTTAAAACCATTCCCATTCATCAAAACTGTCAGATTTTAATTAGAAATGGACATTTCGAATCATTATAGCATTATACTCAAAACTAAGCTTCCCCCCATTAGTTAGTTTAATCTTCCGAACCACAAACATTAAGCGTATTAATTCAAACCTTCTGAAAGAATAACTTGTTGATAATAAAAAAAAAAACAAAAAAAAAAGAGGAAAAATATAGTAGTTTTAATTCCAGTTGGCCTGGATCACCAGAATTTCCTTATAGCAGCTCTGAATGCCACATTCTTAATATTTTGGAATGAAAAAAGAATGTTATGTTTGGAAATTTTCTATGTTAGCTCTTGAAAAAACATTTCTCTATCTCTACACTTGATTCCATGGGTCAAACGGTTTTGGGGAAAATGTAAAAGATTTAATCTAATAGCAAAATATAATTTTGTCAAAATATGTGAACTAATTATATATATATATGACATAATAAATCAAGGAATACACTGTTGATACATAGTTATCCTATATTGAAGAGGTGTGTGTGTGTATTTATATGGCAAAGCACACTAGGGCTATCTGTCTAAGGAGAGGGATGCCTTCGTGGAGGACTTTCTAAGGGAAACTGGCTCGTAAACACGTTACACATGGGGAAAACCACGAAAACACCTATGCAGCCAGCCCGTTCGCGGGATTCGAACCTCGGACCGAACTACCAGTGTTCAGCGACTTTACCGCTCGGCCGCTGGTGGGCTATATTGAAGAGGAAGTATTCTGATTGCGTCGTAAGTTAATGTGTTGACTTTGTAAATAAAACGTGCCGATTTTAATTCCATTTCCAACTGACATTATGTGGCCACAGATATTTGCACGTGCCTGTTCAAGAACATTACATATTGATATTTTTGCAATAGGAAGCCAGCATAGCGTAATTGCGTCCAAGCACAGCACAGACAGAAGCTGAAGTGCGTAGTTATGAAAGATGGAAGCACGCGAAGAGAAAAGTTTTGGTTTGCAATGGTAGTTTCAGTTCCCAATTATTACGTCATCGGAGCTGCGCAGGCCATAGAATGATCTAGAAATGACGCAATCCAGAGAAGTTATTACGATTTTTAGAATAGAGAGGGAGAATTAATGTTTTACCGTTAGTTTAAATTATAATTTTAATTCACATATTTTTTATCTTACATAATATATATAAGTTACAGAATTAGACAAATTTATAAATTTATAAATTTTAGGCTGTTCGCACATTTTTAGACGATTATACAGAAATATTTTACCTAAAACTTTTGCATTTTGAATCTTCACTACCCTTAATCTTCACTACTTTTCTACATCATAATTTTCAACAACTTATGTTTTTTTACAGTATCGTAAGAGGTATTCGATCCCATTATACCTGAACAGCTTTCCAAAGTCCAAGGAGGATTGTATTTCGACGCTTGGACAATCCTCCTTTTAACTGTCCAGAAGCGCAAAAATCCATGGGTGAGAGACCAGGAGATTTAGTAGGGGTATGAGTGACTTGATACCTATTTCATGTTCCATTTCTTCCAGAAAATTAACGTGGATTTTGACGTGTGGCTGCTTGCCTTTCCATGATGCAGTTCTACATTCGATGGAACTGTGGATAAAGAGGAAGTGCCTCACATCTGAAAATTGTGTTTAAAATATGTTTCTGGTAATATTTGGAGTTGATCTTACAATTTTTCTCAACTATCTTTATTTTAAATTTGCCATTATATGGAAAACCAGGAACAGTCATAAATCCCTTTGAAAAACTTTCTTTAGATTCTTTGAACCATTTTTTATGATTTTTTATCTCCTTTAATGATAATAAATAGATCTCTTTCTATTGCAGTCATTTTAATACACCCAAGATTCATCTATTGTGATAACATTCTTCCATTTTTTTCCGGATAAATGTTTCTCATATGAGATTTTGCAGCGCGTTCTGCATTCGGTGATATGTCTTGGAAAAAGACCAGACACATTACCTTTTTTCGTCTTTTTAAAAATTAAAATCAGCATAATACTTAGTTTGCAAATTACACTAAGCATTTTAATGATGTTGTAACTGTGGTTTGACTTAACGGATATTTCTTTTTTTAACTTTAAAGATCCTACCTTCCTTAGACATATATTTGAAACAGGTTTTCCACTTGAAGCGTTTGAAGTTTCATTCCTTTCTTGATGACAATATAACGTATAGTAGCTTTAGATGATGAAAAACCAGGGCTTTTATAGCTTTATTCGATAACTAGATAAGAATAATTTTCTTCGAAAATAACACAGAGCAGCTTTCTATTGCTTCTTTAAAAGCGCCATTTTGCATGAAATAGAAACTGTCAAGTAACAGAAGAATAAATTATTCTTTCAAAAGCATAGTTGCAGTTCAAAAAAATTCGAAGCACACGATGATTTTTTATAGCAAAGGTAGTTTAAAAAACATGGGAACAGACTCGGTGTTCATCTCTGTTGCCCTTATTCAACTTTGCACATAGTTCAGTATTGAAATGTATATATTCAGTTTTTTTATTTATTTATTAGCTGCCGATATGTTTAGAGATGGGTTACGAGCGAAAACATTGCGGACGAAAACGTCGAGGAGAAAACAACTGAAGGCAAAAACGACGTCGTACAAAATATCGTGGGAGGAAATAAAGCAAGGAGAAATCCTCGAAGTTTTGAAAACATCGTAGTAAAAATATTGTAGTCGACAATAGAGCAATTCAAAATCTCTGCTGTTTAAAAATATGATCATCGAAAATAATCATGGAAAGAAAAAAAAGCATCTACAAATCATCGCATGACGATAACAACTCGGATATGCGGGTCTAAAATTTGTAAATGCAAATTCGCATAGTGATTTGTGAGCGCAAGATAGAATAAGGAGTATTTTTACTTTTATATTTTGAAGTAAATAATAAATTGTTGTTGAAAAATTAAGAAGGAAATTTAAGCATTCGGAAACTAAAAATGAGTAGAAATTTGATGCTACTTATAGTAGATAACAAAATTTGATAATTTTATAAGTAATTAAATGATTCTAATAGATATGACACGTAGTTACTCAACTTTCTTTTTTTAGTCTTTCTTCGGCTATATTTTTCATGATTAATTACCAATAAAACTTTATAAAAAGAGATTAATTAATTAATGAGCTGTTTTAGTTACCTATATAAATTCAAATTCTATTAATTGCTATACCTAACATTACTTTTGCTACTCCTTTTCAGTTTTTGAATGCATAAATTTCCTTTTTTATACGTGCTTTGTTTTTTACCATTACATTTTCGGCGATGAGGTGTTAAAAATGCGCTGTTTTTGAACCGCTTTATTTTTTATGACGATGATTTATACCGAGATGTTTTATAACTGTGATGTTTTCTCCTTGCTTTCGTTTTTCCTTTGATGTTTTCTACGACGACGTTTTCGCTTTGCGTTGTTTTCTCCGCGTCGTCTTCTGCGAAGTAGTTGACTCGGTATTTTCGGGGGACACTGTTTAGGATGGGGGACACCTACAATAGCTTGCACAATTTAACTGCAATTTGTTCAAAGAATGCTATTGCTGTTTTATCTTTCCCTCATTGCCTATCTTTCCCTGGTTTCTCGAAATGATACAATTTAACTTTGTTCATACAGCGCTGTTACAGTTTTATCTTTCCCTGGTTTCTCGAAATGATACGATTTAACTTTGTTCATACCACGCTGTTACAGTTTTATCTTTCCCTGATTTCTCAAAATAATACAATTTAACTTTGTTTATACAGCGCTGTTACAGTTTTATCTTTCCCTGATTGCTCTAAATAATGCGTGAGCTGAAATCTTCTGTAAATCAGACCTCATCTCACTGTCCAAACCTTCTTTTCTTCCGACTATTTGGCATCTAAACACCATACGGCTGACACCGCGGCCGGAGACCAACTCGATCGGTGATCAGACTATTATACATTTGCGCGATTTCTGGTCTACATTTTGCTTATAATTTCACGTAAGTTAATTGTATGGATAAATTTAGGTTTCTGATTTCCCAATCTTCTGTTTGATTGTTCCTTTTTATTCAAATAATTTCAACAGCCTTATCAAAATTTTATATAACAGGAAGTTAATGATATACACATTTCACTGGAAAATATATACTTTCCTATTAAAAACAAAATTTGACTTTATTAGCTAATCTTCATGAAAGGTCATTTGATGAAAATTAGCTTGATATTCTTCAAGCAAATGTTTTGCATTTTTTATGCGAAATTCTTAAGGTGAAAAATAAGTTTTTGTTAAATATATTAATAAAAAAAAAAAAAAAAAAAAAAAAAAAAAAACATAAATTTTCCTTTCCCCCTTCTTTCTTTTTAAATTTTATACTCTCTGAGGTATTGCTAGGAATCAGCAAATAATTCCGAAAAAAGATGAATATTTATACTTTCCATTATATACACTGTGAAAGATGGATGTCGCAGGGTTCCAAATACATGCTTCTCCGAAGATTCTAAGCTCTGTTAGCCTTTGAACACCAATTATCTAACTCGTTTTACGGCTGATAGATCTGTGTACAAATATTTAGCTTGGAATTGCCGCCAGAGCGGACAACACACAACGGCATATGAGAAACATTACTGACCAGCCAACGGCTGATAGATGACGGATGACTTGGATTGCAGTACTTCGACCTGGCTTGCTCGAGCCTGCCTTACATGGTTAATCGTACCAACTCTTAGAAGTGATCTAAGGAGGGACAATTTCAGTTTCACAAAGTCTGGGTTTTGTAACGCTAAGGCAATGGTGGACTGCAACGAATCCACCGGAAAAATATAGAACGCACGTTAGACATAGACCGTCCCCCAGTGCTGACCATAGGGAGCCAAATCTTCAAGGACAACCTTCGAAATCTAACCATATAGTGTCCCCAAAACCAAGAGGCAGACAAGACAGTGCCATATGATCCCTGCCAACGTGAACCTACCACCGAATAAACGATGTTTCTGATCACTGTGATGACTAGACGCCACGGAGCAGGCTTCCGTCTTAGAAATCCATGCGGAATGACGCCTGTTCGGTGGAAGAATCTGAGGGTAGGACCGACAGACGTAGCATTATTCGTTGTCACTGAAGAGTTTAATGGACAGGGTTGGTTATTTTTGCTTAGTCATCTTGTATAACAGGGTTTCTTAAACCTTTCTCAGCCGCGACTCCTTTTATCACTGAGATTTTTCACGACCCCCAGGACCCCATAATATTTACAAAAATTTTGTGGGACTCCATAAGTAGTGCGCAAATCCGAGGCACGAGTGAGTGAAACTGTCAATTTTTTCACTTGTTACTACAATATACTATTGCAGTTTTAGGTCATTAACTTTAATTTCTAATTTTGAGACATAGAACAATGTGAAAATTTTAAATAAGTAACAGACGAAATGACAGCGTCATGTGCAAAGCAAGGAAATAAACGTTATATTATAAAAGAATGCGTCGAAACTTTTCGTTTTTTTTCTTTGTCTGTATTGTCTTATTTTTACCTATTTTCAGATACATTGTATATAAATATGTGGTAATTGTAAAATTATTATAATAAGTTAAAGAAATATCAAAACTGCTAAAATTTTCGGCGACCCCCTGCTGCAGGTCCCGCGACTCCCTTGGGGGTCGCGACCCACAGTTTAAGAAACCCTGTTGTATAAGAATGCTACGATTATTCGAGGGGGCAATTACTTTTGACAATAATATGCCTTCGTGTTTTAATCACTAAATCAGTCCATAGTCATAGTAAAAATAAAACTGGAGAGTCCAAAGTTCTAGGAAAATACCATCGTGCCTTTGTGGATATGTCCTTGGAATTATTCCCAAGAATAATGCACAATGATCAGACATTACTATACCGTTATGCTATTATGCATACCTATCACATAACGTGGTTGCTTCATATAGATTATAGATTATAACAGATAGTAGAAGACTTACATTGAATATCTAAATACAGGCATATTTGAACATAATTGCACAGTGTAAGAATAGTATGTAGTATAACTACACACACAGTCGGTATACATAGTATAAAACAGTATATAAGCAGAATGTAAGTACTGATGTTGCATGTATTCAACTTTACCCATACCACTAAATACGGTATAATGAAAAATTTTACAAAAATACAATAATAATTTTACAATAGTAAGTTACAAGAATGAAACCTAAATGAACTATTCAGAATATACGCTCATGCAAGTGTATATTAACAGTAGTATGTACTTCTGTACTCAAATATATTGATTAATTTACTGAGTGCACCTTTATGCCTCATTTAATGCAATGCCCACTCTTTCCAGTATGATTCTCAAGGGCTTGGGCAGATGGTGTCTCTTTGTAAACTCTCAGGAGTCGAGTCTGTCTTCTAGACTGACCCAGCCCGAACGGGGGGATTGCTCCCAGTCGACCTTCGGGGGGGTCTCACTCTCATCATTGCACATGTTAAATACTAATATGAATTATTTGATATCGTTGTCGATGTTATTGTGGAATGACGCTGTGCTCAGCATACTAACGCGCCTGGAATTCAATGTGATTTGTGTGAAGACGTTAACTAGCAGAGGTGCACAGTAATATCAACTATGTGAAGAAAGAATGTCCATGATGCTGACTTCCCTTGCTTTGAGATCCTTTTCTTTTTAAATGTGTTTATGCTTATTGGCTTGTATCAGGAAAATTCAAATGATGCCTTCCCTTGAAAGGACATGTCATTGAGTGACGCTGGAGTGCTCACGAGCTTCTACTCAGGCACTGGTCTCTATGGCTTATGCTAAACTATAAAAATATCCAGGAATGATAGCTGCAGTCTTGGCAAAATAGTCGACGCTGAAGTAGGAGCGGGGTCATGGCAGTCTTCCTGGGGTCACTGTTAAGTTACGAGGTACTTTCAAGGTAGGGAGAACTTTGACCTTTTACAGTCGGATTTCAGTTGAGATAAATAGTCAGATTTCTCCTAACTGAAATCCGGCACCAACTGACTATCGCGTTTATTTAATTTTATAAGTCCAAGTAATAAATGTGATTTATTTTGCAAAAGTTAGTGTATAAATTTCTTATCTACACAATGCATGTTATGCTAATGAATTAATTTTTCACCTGTTACGATACTAATGTTGGTTTATATTTTTAGACCCCACAGTTGTTCCACCAACTACAGAGACGGAAATGCCAGGTAAGTGATCTTGACACCATTTCCATTTCTACAGTTTATTCAATGAATGCTGTTTCATAATCACTTGACATATTTTATAAATTAGGAGTATGTGCTTATATTAATGAGAATAGAGAAAGTGTACTGTGATTATGAAATACATGGCAGAAATGTGTAGTCAGGTTAAGGGGACGGACATAAGAATATTTTTTGGGGGGAATGTGTGTGGAGAAATTGCATGTGGAAGTGCTGACACTTAAGAAGAAAGATTCAATATGGAAACGACATTCTATTAAATTATACACATTTTTTGTTGCATTTCATTTTAAACTTATTTCCTCGAATTTCATTAGAGATACATTTCTCCTTAAACCAATTCAGTTCTCCTTTCGCACCAAGGCAAAATTACACGCACAAAACTGAAAGTTTACTTTTAATCCCACTCAGCAAAAATGCACTGAAGTTTGAGCAGAAACTGGCTTAATTCACTGTTCTACTAGGAGTTTCAAATGCAAACAAGTGACGGCTTTGTTCAGCTTAGTAGCTCTTAATCAGCTTTTAAATTGTTAATGATTCTACAACTATTGCATGCAGATTAACTAAAGGCCAAAAAAAAACCTTAACCAGAACATAAGAGAAACATTATTCAATCACCTTAAAAGCAAAAAATGCACAATTTACCAACATATAAGAATGAAAAACTATGCTCAGGAGTAACAGAGTGGGTATATATATTTATATAGGTTTGGTACGGCCCATTGCTACCAAAAAGGGAGGAGCACAACTACATATTGGGTCAGTGCAAAAGTTCCACCCGTTTTTGAATATGCAAATTTGCAATGGAATTGACGTCACAAATGACACTGTAGTGACGAAAATCTTCGGTCAATCAAACGTGTGGATGCCTCACATATAAATGCATCGTGTCTTGCATAGTTAATCATTTATAAAAAATCTCACAAGGTGTAACATGGAAAGCGAGAAGGAGCATATAAGACACTGCTTGTTACACCAGTTCGATAAAGAAGAGTACGGCAGCCGCAGCATGTGGCAATGTTTGTCAAGTTTATGGAGAGGATGCAGTAGACAAAAGCATACATCGATGGTTTCGTAAATTTAGGGAGAAACAGAAGCTGCCAAGATCAGGCTAGGAGTGTGATGGCCATCACACGTTAGAGAAGACGATATTGATCAAGCCAATAAGGAACAATCCTAATACAGCCGTGCAAGAATTAGCGGAGACCTTCAACGTACACCGGAGAACGCTCGAGAGACGGTTGGTTAAGTTGGATTTTACGAGAAAGTTGAATCATTGGGTTCCACATAACCTGACAGGAAATCAACGGGATGACCGAATCGCCACTTGCATTTCCTTGCTTTCCCGGTACGAAAACGACCCAGACCCATTCTTGACACGAATTGTGACAGGAGATGAGAAGTGGGTCATGTATCGTAACATAAAGCGTCGTAGGAATGTGTGTCCCCCTTATGATCCTCCTGCATCAACTTCGAAAGCCGAACTTCATCCCAAGAAGGTGTTATTGAGTGCGAGGTGGGATGTGCTAGGAATAATTCAGTCGGAGGTTCTGCCAGTCAAACAAACCATCACTGCTGCCTTCTACTGTCTACAGTTAGACAGGCAGCATTCACATTTGATAGCAAAGCGGTCAGGTCTCATCAATTGTCGCGGTGTTATCCTTCATCATGATAAAGCCAGACCACATGCTGCTATTATCAAAAGTTACTTGTCTTCACCCCATCTTCCCTATTTTCCTGACTTGGCACCAACTGACTATCACCTATTTCGTGCGTTGAACAATTTCTTCAGTCTGAAAATCTTTGAGAATCTTGATGCTGTGAAAACTGCCATCTAAGACTTTTTTGACTCGAAACTGCCGGAAATTTTACCGCCGTGGGATTCATCTTCTACCAGAAAGATGGCGAGAGGTCATAGATAACAAAGGGGATTATGCACAATAATAGGTACTGTTCATTTAGCTTTTATTTGCTCTTCTTTATGGGTAATGAAAACGATAGAACACGTGCACTTACCCAATATTATAGCAGTCCCATTTCGTGATGTTCCGAAGTCAGGAAAAAGTCTATTATGAATCGATTTTATTGTCCATTTTGGGAAAAAGTCCTATGTTCTGTCCGTATGTAGAGATATCGGGCAAAAATATCATTTAAATGGATTCGAGAGTGGTTCAAATGAATTCTTTCTTTGAAAAATGACACCCGAAATGTTTATCGATTACAATACTTTTTTCTTCGTACAAGGGAGTAAAAAAAGTAACAACAACCAAATAGGAAAGATAGGTAAAGTAAAAGAAGAAAACCCATTTTAGAGATTCGGCTTTTCATCCTAGATTTTAGAAAGGGCGACCACCAGCAGTAATGCAAGATTTACAGAATGGGTCACGGAATGGTGTGCATTAAGCAAAGATCTCAGGCATTTTACCCATTTGCAGCAGCAAGTGACAATCTGACCAATAGATCTTCATATACTCAATGGGACATTAGTAGATATGTTGTTACCATGCCTCAGAAAACGAAATTCCTATATCTAAGTCTAGGCTTTCCAGACATAAAAAAAAATGAAAGTTAAATTTTATCAATGGGGCCATTAAAACGAGAGATATAGAAGTGACGAAATTTAACTTAACGTTTTTCATGTCTGAAAAGCGCTACTTAAGATCTATAGTAGATTGGAATATCGTTCTGTTCTAAAATAGGTAGTTTGACACAAAATCAGACGTTTTCTGAAATGAAATAGCGATTTTTTTACACGTTTGGTTTCTTCTACTAAAACCATGCCTAAATATTAAGACTTGGCTGAGAAACTAATCGAGAAGTTTAAAAATGTATTTTGGCGCACGTTTTTGATGTTGCGCCAAGAATATTTATTTCATTTGGCGAAATTTTTATGGTAACCTATTTTCCTTTCGCTTTCGTTGTGCACGAGCAGGAAAAAAAGTATATCGTTCAATTTTTCAAAAAATTTTAATGAAGTGTAAACTACATTTGGCGTTGTTATTGCTTATAACAAATATGTCAAATTTCAAAACTCACCTATACATATATTCAAGTATATCTTGGGAAATTTTGGATAAAAATCTGTACTTTTTTGCAGGTATGCCTAGAAATACATCTGTTTTAAGATGATGATAAAAATTTTGTAGGTTTTAATACAAAAGTTTTCAAAAACATTACAAATATTACTAAAAAATACAAACTTTAGAAATGAATCATAAAAGATCTGTGAACTTCATTTGGCTCGAACATAAATTTCAAATTGTGGAAAAAGGAATCAAGGAAGTTTTTTAATAAAAAGAGATTTTGATAAGTATATACAAAACTTAAATAACATTGAAGAGCTAAAATTATTAGGAATAATATTTTAAAAACTTTACTTGTGATTTTTACAAAACTTGGCACTTTGGTATAACTTGAGTCGTAGAATCGAAATAAAGAAAAAATTGGATTGTCATTTCAGTGAGTTCCGATTATGTGTCAAAATACATATTTAAAAAAAATACTGTATATAAATCTAATATATATCTTAAGTCGCACTTTCGAGACATTAAAAAGGGAAGTTAAATTTCATCAATCTACTCAGTAGAACGGGAGATATAGAACTGTAAGCAATACTATATTTAATTGTTATGATCTTTTTTCAGTGACTAGTTTGACCTGTGACTTTGATAAAGGGACTTTTTGCTCCTGGAAAAATGACATGGCAGGAAGACAATTTTCTTGGAAGATCAATACTCCTGGGCGATACACAGCAAAAATGCCAAAGTTTGATCATACGAAAGGGAACTATATAGGTACGAGATATGGAGTAAATGCTTTTAAATGTTCATATAATATGGAATTTTTATATTTTCTAGTTTTATGACTTGTTACCAGTAATTATATGTGAACGTTTGCAATTTGCAGTTCGAAATAGGAACAGGGTTATTAATACTGCGGAGTATTACTTGTGTTAAAATATAACAGTTAATCTACATACAAGAAAAATATTTTATTTAAAATGTTGCAGTGTCTAAACAGGTGTTTCTGAATCATTTGAATTTTGAGGAACTTTTGGAATTATACATATATGTAATAATAAAATTCCATAGTCAAAAATACACTTAAATTTCTAACTGCATGTTCTTTTCATTTTTAATGGCGACGGTCTCTTATTTGAAAGTACGTAGAATTAAATTCACAGCCCCGTAGTCAAGTTGTTTTTCCCGTTTTTTCTACACGTACTGTTATAGAATGTTCTGGAGATATTTAAAGTGAACTGGAATGGCTGACGAGGCTGACGTCATTTCTTGGAAGCTCCGCCTTTCCAGAAGCTTTAAAAGGATTCGTAAAGGAATATCGGGGTCTTTTCTTTAATGTAACGATGGAGTAAACTTCATACAAAAAGTTATTAGTAGTTCTTTTTTATTTACTCCGGAAATCTGATTTTTGGTAACTGCTATTTCTCCTGAATAATAATAAATGGATCCTGTTTTTTAAACTTATCGTCTGATACTTTTGAGCTACGACTATGATTTCTTCACCAATATATTTATTCCGGACAAAAGCTGACACATCACATATATATCTCAGGGAAGAAGAATATTGTTAATATGCGGATTTGATGTTTCTCCACTCTTTTTATTTTTAATTTGCCGTTATATGAAAAACCATCAACAATCTTAAATCTCATAGAAAAACTTTCATCTTTGCTGATAATAAATGGATCTCTTTTTAACTGCAGTCATTTAAGTAAACCCAAAATTCATCTATTGAGATAACATTTTCCGGATAAGCGTTTGTCATAAAGAATTCTGCAGCACGTTCTGCTTTCGGCGGTATGTCATGGAGGAAGACGATCTACTATGTTGCTTCGCCTTTCTAAGAATCAACACTTTGTTTGCAGTTGACACTTTTAATGATTTTGCAACTCTGTTTTGACGTGAGACCTTTTATTTTAGTACTAAAAATCTTACCTCTGCAACACTCAATACATCCACTTTTTCCCCCTTGCATACGTTATAAGGCATTTCTTCCACCTTCTTGGCATACCTTCGTGGTGTGGTGGTCTGCACACTGGGTGCGTGTTCCAAAGTTCCGTGGTTCGATTACCGGCAAAGGCGTTGCAAATTTTTCCTCAATTCTGCTTTCAAAAAATGCCTAATTTCTTTACAGTGGCGCCCGAACCAAAACGGGGGTGGATGATGATTCTCTAAACCCAGGATTTGGCGACTGGGTCCCCTAAAAACCCCAGTCGTCCTTTAAAAGGGGGAGTATATAAGGTGCTTCTCCCGCCTTCTAAGCATGCCTTCGTAGTGTAGTGGACTGCACGCTGGGTGCGTATTCCAGAGGTCCGTGGTTCGATTCACAGCGAGAGCTTTGCTCATTTTTCATACCTCTCAGCATCAAAATCCTAATGTCTCTACGTTGTATTTGGAACACTTCTTCCACATGTCGCCAAACTGTGACGTTTGTTTTCTTTTCATTGACAATATTACCGATCGTTGCTTTAGATATCTAAAAAACATGCCTTTCGGAGCTTTTTCGAATACCTAAATACGAATTATATTCTTTGGAAAGAGCAAAAGCGTAGCCTACCAACCATTACTTCCTTAAAAGCGACATTGTGCATGGAAACTAAACTGTCAAGAAGCAGTCGATTATTTATACTTTCAAAAATATACTTGCAGTTAAAGAAATCCAAGCAGAGGAGATTTTTTTTGGTAGTAAAGCAAAATCTTCTAAAACGTGTGCGAACCACATCTGTTATATGACGCCGAAAACATCGAGGCAAAAACATCGCAGACGAAAACGTCGCGGAGAAAACAACGCAAGACGAAATCGTCGGGGAGAAAATAAAGCAAAGAGAAAACATCACAGTTCTAAAACATCGTGAAACAAAATATCGTCGTTGAAAAAAAAAGCGGTTCAAAAGCTTCGCACTTTAAAAACATGGTCGTCGGAAATATCGTGGTAAAAAATAAAGCACCTACAAATCATCGCATGACGATAAAATCGCAGACATGCGTTTTTCAGGCTTTAATAATTGTGAGAGGATAATGACTTGTGAGCGAAAGATGGATAATTTTAACTTTCATATTTTTTATTATGAAAGTAATAAAAATTTTTTAAAAAATATGAAAGTAAAAATTATCCTTCTTATAAAAATTATTATAAAAAGAATAATTTTTTCTTTCATATTTTTTTTTTATTAACTGATAAATATTTGCTGGAAATGTAAAATGGAAACAAATGCAATTTATAGCAATTAATAGAATTTTAAACTGACATAGTTAACTAAGAAAGGTCATTAATAAATTATTTTTTATGAAGTTTTACGGGTAATTTTTCATGAAACGTATAATCCAAAAAAAGATTAGAAAAAAGAAGATAAGTAACTGCATGCCCTAATCTATAAAAAAATTGCTAATTATGAGATTATTTTCTTCACTTTTGTTAATCTGATATCCTTATAGTGAAAATTATTTCTTTTTTATTTAAATTTCTTGTTTAGTTCTTTATTAGTTAATAAAAATATGAAAGTAAAAAATATCCTTCTTTCCATTTTGCGCTCACAAATCATTATGAGAATATCCATTTACAAATATTACAGCCTGAAAAACGCACGTCCGCGATGTTATCGTCTTGCGATGATTTGTAAGTACTTTATTTTTTATCACGATATTTTCGACGACGATGTTTTTAAACTGCGAAGTTTTGAACCGCTTTTTTTTTTTTTTTTTTTTTTTTTTTTTGAAGACGATATTTTGTACTGCGATGTTTTCTCTTTGCTTTATTTTCTCCGATGATGTTTAGTGTTAAATAGCTACTGCATCAATTTTCTGTTACAACCTCCTCTTAGGGAGGAAGCTAATGCAGAAACAGACAGGTGAAACCGTAACTAACTATATATCAACTGAGAAACTAAACTCTTAAGAGTTTGCTAATTACCAAACTTTTAGTGATCGTATAAGTGAATTTTTAATGCATTGCGTTATGAAAATGCATCCGGGACCGCGCCGTGAGAGGATCGAATAAACAACATGTAAAATCAATATATATATATAAGAAAAACACATAACAGATATAAAGAAAACATAAGTAATAGGTTTCCAGATTAAATATCAGTTTATTCAAATTCCTCACAATAAAAATTAAATCTTATCCTCATCAGAGAGTCTAATTTCTTATTTGTGTTACCTTTTAATTTACTTATTTTAGACACAGGGGAATTCTTCAATTTGTCATTTACTTTTTGTTACATTTAAATTCATGATTTGCAAATCTATTACATGACTCTTTTAATTTAACGGGTACCCGTTCTATAATTTCTAAGAGGTTAAGGAAAACATATTATTTGCAATTCACATCTGTTCTAAGGAAGATTACACAAACAACTTAAATTATTACATCCTAATTCATATAAAAACCTTAAGGTTTGTCTCGGTAATTTAGAAGGGGAAAGGGAAACAATTGAAAGCCTGAGAATTAATTTAAGATTCGACGTTGTTATTTTACATTCCAAGGAAGTCGTTGAAACCTTACTTAAAGTTCAAACACAAAAAATAGAACTTATCTTGTAAGGACGTCTTGAAGTGGAGGACTCGTATCCTAATAAGCGTTGACGTCGGCGGGGCTGATTTTTACGGTCACAAATGGAAGTTTCAGAAGACATCGTCCTGTCCTGGCACAATTGGCGAAACACACACGCAGGTAACTGGTTTTCATAACGACGAAGCTATTTTTACTCTGGAAAACAGAAACAGGAGCACTGCTGCCCAGCACGGCTGTCCGCCTGGTCTTGAAAGTCTTAAGTCACTCGCCCGGGTTCAATTTCGCCTTTTAACCAGAACGCGGCAGGGGAGCATGTTTGCAGCTCCCGGCCGGAAACGTCTCTCTAGGCAATTACAGCTCGCCTTCACTCGCTCATCCCAAGAGCAAGCTCGAAGTTACAATCTTAGCCCAAAAGTAAGCAAGTCCACCCAGTAAGTGATTCCAAGAGTAAGAAGAGTAAGTGAGTAAAGTCTCTCGCCTCTTAGTCGAAACGCGGCCGGGGAGCATCTCTCTTCGTAAATTACATCGTTTCTATCGCTTTTAAGCAAGTTTCAAGAGTAACGTCCAAAAGTAAGTTCCGCAAGCAAGTCTCGCCAAGTCTCGCACGAAAAGTGATTCAAACTCGAATTTTCTTCCTCTCCTTCACAAACGCGGGCTCCCACTATGGCTTCAATTATCGCCCCCTTAATTTTGGCAAAATTTGCGTTTTCAACCCCTGAATGCGGAAATAAGGGTGATCGCGCATGCGCGCCCTTCTTCACTTAGCCAACAACCGGACCCTCAATCGCCAAAACCTGAATGACTTACATCGAAGGTTAAGTGGCAACCTCTGACCCTTCTGTCACGTACTTCCTGTCCTAAGGTCAACTGCACAATGAAATTTCTTCTAGAACATTCTAAAGGACAAAGCGCGCGAAATCATGACTTAGCAAAAATTGCCTCCCTTTCCCTGCTTCTTTTCACAATGAATCAAAGCTTGTACAAAAATTGCAAATAAAAGAAAAATAAATAATATTCTTTTAAACTAAATAATATTCCCAGAAGCATCTGTTTTTCCCCAAAATTAAAGCATTAAAATAAATAATTCAGAATCAAATAAAATTAAAATTTCCATAAATCAGAAAATCATTCACCTAGTTTTTATAACGCGATCAGACAAATTCTCTACACAACATTAGTGCCACGACGTTTTCGCGTTGCGTTGTTTCCCCCGCGACGTTTTCGTCCGCGATGTTTTCGGCTGTAACGGACAAATTTAATGTAGAAGCTGGAATTCTTGTCCGTGATTGCTAAAGCATTTTTTCCAAAAACTATTCTGAAAATAATCCCTTCTCATTTTCTCTCTTTTAGGTCGGTATGCATATTTACTGGGTGATGGTATTTCAAATAGAAAGGCCACTATTACAAGTGAAAAAGCCACCATTCCAAAGGATTGGAATGGTAACTTCTGTTTCAGTTTCTGGTACTTCATGAATGTAGAGGGTCGAAACAGGTAATTTCTTTTACTCGAGATAATAATGCAGCGCAAAATAATGGCTAATATAAGTTTAATAATTTAGCAGCCCTAATCGAAAAGAAAGAAAATTTCAATTCATAACTGTCTGCATTATCCGTTATGGTACAGCATTTTAATAATGAAATGACCTGTTTATTTGTTAAAAAATAACCCTGCCATTTAAGTTCATTTTCACGGATTTTTGCAAGTCGTGTGACTTTTCCCTTTCAGGCTTGTTGTTTAAAATATCGCTAATACTTATTTCTTTACATTCTGCTTTATGTATGCCTTAGTATGGGTTTGCAAGAACAGCTTAAATATAGTATTGCATCTTTTTTTTAAAGCAAAAGATTTTATTGTTTAGGATAAGAAAAATGAAGTATCAAATGTAATTTTTTACATACGTTCGGACTTTTAAGTTCTTAAAATGCTTCCTTGGTTGCTGAATGCTAACAAAATCTGCTCAATGCTAACAGCAGACACGCATCCTCATCGACGAACTTCTGCTAATGTATAAACAAATTTTGGAACCTGTCCATGAAGCAAGCGTTTTTGCTAACTATTCATTTTGCATTCATCTATTTATCCTGTCTCTTGAAGGCAGCTTTCAGATACAGGGAATTGTGGAATGTGTTGTTTCAAGATCTCGTCGAAGTAGATGAGAAAACTTTCATCTCCAACTGAAGGATACTTCAGTTGGAGATGAAAGTTCAGTTGGTGATGGAACTTTTCACATATGGTTCATGGCATATGGAATATGGTTCATGGCTTTTGGCATATGGAACTTTTGGCATATGGAACGTTTGGCATATGGCTTTTGGCATATGGAACGTTTGGCATATGGCTTTTGGCATATGGAACGTTTGGCATAACCGCATGTGACTGCGATGTCTTCCAGGAATTGAAACGCATGTGCATTTTAGAGTACTAAGAGCCTGAAGATCGTCAAAAACGCTACCCAAATACGCAAGCCGTTCCGTCTTCTAGGTTTTACATAAAATACAGAAGACAACGGATCTGGAAATTCAGATGGCCTGGGAGCTATTCTGCTGCTAATACTTTGGTTTGAAGACTACCACATCAATTAACAGTTGGGATAAGGCCATTCCCCCACAGGACCTCGGGAAGTAACGGATTCGTGTTATTGTGTCCCCAGAGCTGCTACTGTCACAGTATAATACTAAGCCAGTGTATGCAGCGCCGTGGCGGGTATGCATGAAACATGTGAAACAAAAAGACGTATAAAGGTCTTGAATGGCTTCTCATTGTTTGAATAGAAACTACACTTTTAGATTATCGAAAGAGAAAATCATTGCTGGCACTACTTCACGTTTTGATTTTCACTTCCTAAAAGCAACGGAAGTCTTTCCGCACAATAACCTAGTCAAAGAAGTAACTTCATGATTTGACAATGCTGGACTAATTCCAAAGGAACTGCAGACAATATTTTTATGTTTATTCATAGTAATTTTTTAAGTTGAGATACATTTTGTTTCTTTCAAACTAAACAAAGTTATTTTCTTCAAGCATTCAGTATCAAGTTTCACGAAATTGCAAAAACGGTTGCGTCGTTTCTCTTCTTATTCCTTCATTTGACTTTCTTTCATAGAATGCGTTTCGTGAGAAAGTAACGTTAGCCTTCAGAGTTTCTTTCGTATGAAAATTCTGTAAGAATCTTCATTTCTAGAACTGCCATGCGTGTACATAACATTTCTTGGATCTGTAAGATTGTCTGATCATGGCTGTTAATGCCTTGCTTTCTGATAAATTTTACAGCTAATTACTTTCAATTATTTACCAAAATAGCTTTGCTCTTTTGCGTAATAAAAATCTTTAAAAGTGTGGTTAATCATAGTTAATTATATGAACATTAATTACCGTATATCCCGGTATACCTATAATTTCAAACTATATTTTAAAATTTTTAGGCGACTTTCTTATCTTTTAAAATCTTTCATTCCAATATTTTCCCCAGACTTTGGAAATATGGTAAACTGAATTGACAAGTCATAAGCGGAACGATATGTTTCTGTGTGTGTGTGTGGGGGGGGAGTTTGAGCGAGTAAATAATTCTGAAAAGGTGGTGTGTGGTATTCAATGCAGATGGGTACAAGAATATTATTCTAGGGTTTCGAGAATAGAGTGTAAGAATTACGTTAATTTTAATAACAGTTAAATTTTAAGTTAAAGTTCCTTTCCTGTCAAATTCATAACTTCAACTTTCTACTTCCGGCCAGAACGTAGTTTTAGAATTACGTCTGAATACATAATGTGGAAGAGCGAAGTTCTTTGGTCTTAGCGAGAGGGAATCAGAGTTTCTGATTTACGCGCGTCTGCCTTTTGGCCACTCTCTCTCAAAGCTGTTATTACGCTCGGCCGTACACAGGCCCTTGATAGCTTCGCAGTTATCTGGTGTTTAAGGGGCCAACTGCATTAGAAACTTGACAGCTTTGGCTATATGTTCTTTAGTTAATCTTAGTTTTAGTTTAATTCTTAGTCTCTTAAGTTCAAGCCGAAGTGTCGGCTTTGATTGTACACTCCAAGACGGAGTCTTGCTAAATCTTATTGGAATAATAAAGGTTAGTTACCCTTCCATCTTGTTGTTTCTTGTCACACGAACTAAAGCGATTATTCGCTAACTAGTTCTTAAGATTCGTCACTTTCTACAGTAACTGAGATTTGCACAGTGAAAAATCTTACAAGAGAAACATAATTTAGAAACATAATTAAACATAATACATTTAAAATACAATAATTAATATGTTTTACGTAAAGGAAATTATCAAATAATTAAAAATTACCCGATAATGAAAATTTTGAAGTTCATAAGTTGTGTAATTTTCTTTAAAAAAACAGCATTTTGGTACATGTAAAAATCTAATATCCGTATGCTCCTCTTTTCTTTATATTTAAATGTATAATTTTTATATCCGGCGTATAATGCGCACTTGTCAATTTCGATATTATTTTGTATTTCCGGTTTATAGAATATAAACAGGAAAGACGGCATAGTCGGAATATAGAGTAACTGAAATTTTGCTATGTTGTGATCATACAAAAAGTTACGTTTAACTTACAAGAACTCTTCCACCAGCAATGTTAAAGATGGGTTTCATAAATTTTGAGAGAATGTATAAAATCAGTGGGTAAGAAAATGCCGCCTGCAGTTAACTTATTCGATGAATCTGTACATTTATTCCATTGAAAGCCTCAGCATTCTGCTCATTTTGCATTTTAATTAACGCTATATCCATACACAAATTTTGTGGCTGTGTTTTCGCTTTTTAGAACGTGTGTAAATGTCCACCGAAATTACCATCGCGAAAACACTGCAGAAGGAAATGAAGCGGCGAAAACAATGCGAGGACATGATATCGAAGTATAAAATAACATAGTACGAAAAAAGTAAAGAGTTTATAAAATATTGTGGTATAAAACATCGGGACGAAAAATATGTAAAAGTGCGACAAAATTTTGCAGATTTCAAACATTGTCCTACAAAAATTAAGCGTCATGGTAAAAAAAAAAAAAAAGCTCTTTGTGAAATATCACAATCAGATATGCATTTTGAGATTTCTTGTTTTACAGCGACAGTGTGAAGAATTTTTGAGTGCAAGAAAAAAATTAGAAAATTTTGTACCTTCCGTTTTTGAGTTAATCAATAACCTTTAGCGGAATAAATTAAGAAGAAAAAATCAGAATTTAAATTCCGAGTTAGAACTACGTATAGCAGGTAAGAAGCATTTGAATTTATACAGTTAGCTGTTAAGAGTCGTTATTTAGTTTATTCTTACTGTAAAGTCATATTGCTTTATGCGGAGAAATTCAGTGTAAATAAAAAGTATCTGATTTGGGTACTTCATGACTTCCTTGTACGGCATATTAAATTATACACCGTTTTTGGTTGCATTTTATTTAAACTTACTTCTCGAATTTCATTAGAGATATATTTCTCATTCCAATAATTTCAGTTCTCACTTCGCGGCAAAGCAAAAATACATAAAATCTAAAACAACTCATATCAGCATTCTGCAAGTCATATGATATAGACCAGCGGTCGTTTACCCTTAGAACATCACGGACCACTACATATATAATTTTATATTTGGCGGACCACTAATATGAATTTAAAAAAAAAGTTAAATCAGACCTTAAAAACAACATATTAATGCGCAAAAACAATATTCAACTTTCCAATACATGTTATTCTAATTTCCTTTTGTTAATATAATTTTCGAAACATTTGGCGTTCAGCACCATGCCTTTATGGAAATTCAGGCTACACCCCTGATTATGAGTAACAATGAAAACACTATTAACATCTCACTGATACACATGTCTCGTTCACATTGAAAAATTATACGAAAAGTACAATAATCTCACCATCTCTTGTACAGAAAGCTTCATATTTCCATATCACTGAAAAGGAACTTCACAACAAATAAAAACCAACCGGAAAACGCAAAGCAATATCAATAAACTGAAAGTGTTATACCGCCAGTTTTTAATTATTGTAAACATAATAATCATTGCTTACTGAGGAACGGTGCCATCGATCAACAGTTAGACAAACAAAAACAGAAACTTCCTGTGATTCAATATAAACAAGAATGTAGATGGTTCTTATAAAAATCCATCAAGTTGCCTATTGACACGGAGAAAAACCGTGTTTTTAACGAATACAATAGTATACATTTGTAATTCAAAAGAAAATAGAATTCCAGTTCGCGCTATTATTGATAACAGCAGCATATCTATGGACGCCAACTCTTACTTTCAAGTGTTGCTAGATACACCTGTAAAAGTCTCTAAATTCAGAAGGAATTTCGCTAAAAGTAGAAGCTAAAATTAAAAAAAATAAAGTATAATCTATATTCCATAATAGGTTTTGTTACTAGTCATTTTTTAAACTGAATCTTCATAAAAATGTAAATAATGTCCCAATTTTTTTGCGGACCATTAAAACGTTTTTGCGGACCACCGGTTGGCAACTGCTGATATAGACTGATCTAGAAATGACTCAGTGTTCTGTTTTAGAATAGAGAGTTGGAATAGCAAATTATATATAAATGCATTTCAAAAGCTTATATGACAGTTATACTATATAACCCAAGAAATATTCTGCGAAACACTGTAGTTTATATCTGCAGACTGAAAGGCAACACTGCATATAGTTTTTCTCCGCCTATAATATAAAAACTACCTTTAAATTTTTAATGTTTGTTATACAGTTTTTTCCCATGAAAAACTAGAGAAAAAAAAAAAAAAAAAAAAAAAAAAAAAAAAAAAAACCATTACTTTCCTAATGTCTTTTATAAGACAATTGCACAATTTAAAATTCTATCAACTGCAGCTGTATGTAACTATAACTTCTGTTCATTTTCAGATTGTAAATTCGTAATGTTCTTTCTCGATATTTTAGTTAAAATATCGAGAAAAAACTCGGTTGATCGAGAAAGAACTCGGTATCGGAACACGGTCGAGAAAGGACTCGGAAAATATCGAGAAAGCACTCGGTCGGTATCAAGAAAGAACTTAATTGAATGAGTTTGAAATAACATGAATAAAAGCATCCTCATTTTTTCTTGGTTTTTAAATTATATATATAGCAACAGCAAACATACGTTTGAACTTTTAAATACTTATTTTCTGCACTGTTTTTATCGCTTTAGCTGCTTTATATTTTACCATGATATTTGGTAGTCCGAACTTTTAAAACTGCGAAACTTTGTCGCTGTTTTATTTTCTATCATTATGTTTCATCCCGCGATGCTTTAAAATTGCAATGATTTCTCCTGTTTTCTTATCTAACTCAATGTTTTCAAGACGGCACTATGTTTTCACCGATACCCACCAGTACGTACTCAAATGAGAGCTTCAATGAGCCGACTTCTGATCACTTACGATTAGCTTAAATTACCAGTTCAAGATTTGTGGACTCTTACGAAATTCTAAGAATATATTCTTCGCTCTTTCAGTCTCAGCGTCACAGCGGAGCATGGGACATGGTGGAGACTTAGCTTCGTTCCATTTTGGACTAGGCAAGGCAATTTTGGTTACCGTTGGAGACACGCCTTTGTACATATCAAGAGCAGTATACCAATACCTCAGGTAACCTTATTCTTTCTAATTCCTGATCTGCTGTATTTTTGAAAGTGATAAAACAACAGAAGGACTCCAACACATAAACAATTTGCTGGGGGTAGGTTGAGCTTCCTATGGAAGTGGTACCTTTACTCACTGTAAAACTGACGACCAGAACAATAAAATGAAAAGTCTGAAGAAAGAATAGTCTTAATTTTTTACCACGTTTCAACTCTAAAATTCTTATTTTTCATTATTATTTTATTTATATTTCAGATTTCGTTTTAAAATGTAGTGTAGGATCATGAACTCATACTACGATTTTCGATTTTTGCGTAACTAAACCTAAGTCACATGTAAAAGCAAATATTCTAGTTTCTCATCTCAGATCTTTTGCGATGCACGTCTTGAATAGTTAAGGTTTAACTTCCGTTCCTTTTATTTCACAAATTTTAAATATTTAAACAAATTTAAATTCTTAACAAATACGTATAAAAGTAAAAAGTAAAATAGCAAATTTAAATTCTAAAAAAAGAAAAAAGCCAAAATTAATTTAAAAATTTAAAAATATGCAAACATGTAAAGATTTAATTCGAACTATCTACAATATCATTTAAATCAGAAGCATAAGCAAATCAAATCTATCCATGGAAAATTAAATTAATTAAACAATTTTTTTAAAAAATGTATATGTGAATGATCGTAGAGTAGACAGACTTATCAAGGGGAAGTTGCTCCAAACCTACTCTCCAATCATTCAATTCGTGTTTCGTCATTCATGCAGGCAAGGGTAAAGTCAAAACCAAAAGTAATTCCAATAAAGTGGTACCCTTAGAATTTAAGTATAACATTAAGAATAAAGTTCAAAAGGAAAATACTAATTAAGTCTTTTGAGAAACAAGCAAGTAAAGTCAAGAATAAACTTTTTAAAAAATTAAATTTTATAAAATAATAATCTAGAAACCAATGTATTTAGAAATCCTTGTCTACAAAACTTCCCCTACACGAATATGCATATCATAAAAAAACTATAAAAGAACTATACATAATCCATATAAACCAATAAGAAATAAAAAAACAAAAAGAAACAAAAAAGAACACATTTTTAAATAAATATATATTTAAAAATATAATTTCATATTAGAAAATACTAATACTACAAAAAATTTTTTAAAAAAATACTTAAAGCAAGTAAATATTAAGTTTTAATTCTAACTTACCTACTATATGAATGTTGGGGTCTGCAAAAGTGTTGTGAAAGAGAAGTAAGTGTGTTCTTCAAATATATAGATGGCGCGTTGTAGGTAAAGTTGAGTGTCAAGCTGCTATCTTTGTATAGTAAAAAATTTATGGTAAATATTAATATTAATTAAATTAAATAAATTAAAAATCCTAAAGGTAGTAATATCAATTATTTAGGGAGTTAAGTAACTGAGCCAATCAGAGATGTATGTTTGCTTGAAGGAAATTAAAGTGAAGTGGTTTGTGAAAAAATGTAAACTGTTTGTAATTTAAAAGTGTGTTCTGTTGAAAAAATTGTGAAAATGTTAAAAAATTAAGTAAAAGATATTTTGTGTGAAAATTGCAAAAATTAAGTAATTAAGAAAAACTGAATGTTTTAATATTAAGTTTTAAAGTAAAATTTCCCAAAATTTTTTTGAAATGAAGTCCTTAAAAAACCTCTAAAAATTCCCAGAAATTTCTCAAAATTCCTTTAGGAAGTTAAATAAACTTAAATTTGATGAAGAAAATATAAAAGTTTAATGAACTTGATTTAATTGGTATATCAAAACTTAACTAAATACTGGCTAAAGTATGGAAAATTAGAAGAAGAAGATTAAAGATTAGATTTATATATATATATATATATAGGAGATAATATAATCAATTAATCAATATTATTTAGTAAATAAATATTATTAACTTACTTTGCAGCAATTGCGCAAGTAGTAGTAACTTGTTTTCGCACTAATGAATTTAAGATCATACAACATTCATATATATATATATACATATATGTGTTACATTTATATTTAGTTTTATATTGTAGGTTGTATTTTTGTATTCTACTTATTCATATACGTATTTCCTACGCTGAATGTTTACTCTCACTGTTTTTCTTTTTTTTTGGGAAATGTAAGAGTTAATGATTGTCCTTTATACTTTGTGCTCCTTGTAGTCGTTTCCTCCTTTCTGAATTTTTTCATTTAATGGGCCATTTCGGCCTATTTGCTGCAGTGCAAGAAGAGTTTTGCTAAGATCGTTAATTTTATTACTCCAGTGTGGCATAAAAAATAAATTTTGATGGTAAAAAGCTAAAAAAGTTTTCTCCTAGCTCGAAAACGGTAATCAATCTTTGTATACATATTGAAAAGACAAATTATTATGCACACTTGCCATACCATAAGGTAAATGAACACAATGGGCACCAATGTCTTACGTTTATTTGTGTGATTATGGCCAAGTCTCGTCGCCCAGACGGTATAGTGGTTAGGGGAGGAAGCTGAGTTGGCTTCCGACCCAGGTATAGATATATCCATGCAGAATTGGTTACCAACTCGACGGGAGTCAACCACTAGCTACCAGGCCCGCAGACCCGGCTGAGCAGACGACATTTATAAAATGCAAAAAAGAGATATATATGTGCATACAAGGCACTTGAAGAAGAGTACAACAATGTACAAAGAAATATATACATGTGCATACAAGGCACTTGAAGAAGAGTACAATCAAAATATATGTATATACATATAAATATCAACTCATATACAGATATATACACACTTACATAAGTATCAAATAAAAGTATACATACTCTCTCTCATATTGATATATACATCCATACATATACGTTATCATGATAATTAAAGTTTACAAGAAGCATGCCATTGAGGTACGCGTGATCCTTAGTTTAAATTAGGTACCATAAATAAAAGATATAAACATATATACATACATTACAGCATTCAGATACAGTACGAATTTTATGTATGAGAACCTGGCACAACTTAATGCGGTACCGAAAGTCCCGGTTTCGAATCCCGTAGAACACATGGATGCTTGTAAATGTATAGTGTTCTTGAGCCGAAAGGCCTCTCGTGGCCCCCAGACTCTCCCTCGAGGGTAATCTCTGATAACCATTGTTGGATGTAACATTGGTTCGACAACAACAGAGTCTTGAGGGCTCTGTGTCTAAGAGAAGGGATGCCTTCGGGGAGGACTTTCTGAGGTAAATTGGCTCATACACCCTTTGCACCTGAGGATGACCACGAAAATGCCCATGCAGCCACCCCGTTCGTGAAATTCGAATCTCGAACGAGCTACCAGCATTCAGGGATTTTATCCCTCAGCCCCTAGTGGGCCTACAATGTCTTACGACCCGTTGACTGTCACGGCTGCTATAGAGTATAAATATCAGGTCAAGTTGCAATAGCCTGGACACCCAATGTCTGGAACACCCTGAGTAAGAAAATATGAAAACTTCGATGGGCAACTCAAAGAAAAATCCCCGGAGCACTTTAATTAGTTAGCAGTGAGCAATTAACACCGTGTATCTTAAATTTGGTAGCAACAATCATTTATCAATGAACTCAATATAAAGTTCTACTTCCGAAAACATAAATAACGCCCACGTAAATTATGCCGAAACTTTGAAGTAAGAACTGTTTGATACATACCTTAATCTCACCACGTACCACGTATGAACTAAAGAAACCCGCATTAAGTAATTAACCTCACCCTTTATTTACTTATTAGCCTCACATAGTGCCCTCTGCACCTGTACTAGGATTGGCTGTCACTTTCAAGGGAAGCATCGGTAAATGGATAAAGTATCACACATCATTCTCTAGGGTCAGCACGTGGGAGGGTGACCATCCACGTGAACTTTCTCTTTGGCTCATAATAAACAGGGCTGGAATCAGATTCAACAGGACCGATATATAGCGCAGGATTAAGTTATTTTTCTATTGCGCTTTCCACTATTTTTCCTTTGCAGCCCTTATTTTTAAAATGATTTTATTTTCGCTTATACATTCTAAGTGTTTCAATTGCTGTGGAATCGCATGGCCTTTTTCATCTATTTAGTACAAATATTAAAATTTTTTCCGTCACTTGCAACCACAATGTACACGAAGCGTCCACAGGATAGAGCTTTAATCTCTACAATTTACCAAAATTTTGGTGTCTGACTAATCTCACTTGTCTGACTGTAACGTCAGATCAAGACCACGCAATTCCTCGTGGCAAGGAGTGAAGACTGCGCCTGTCGTTGGCAAGGGCCTTGAACTCCTTACAATTGGTGTCTTCGCGAAATTGGTGTCTTTAATAGCGAAACGTATGTGTGGTAGCCTCTCATCAGAGTTTCTTAGGTGAGGTTTACTGTGAGGTGCATTGGAGTATTCGAATTCTGTCTAAAATAATATTCGTTTTAAAACAACAAGTGAGTGAGTGCACCGCTATGATGGCTTCCGACCGCGGACATGAACCAAACGGAATTATATACCATCACGGCGGGGAAGACTCCAGAGTAGCAAGGTTGAATATTATTATACTAATAACAGTTTTTACATATAGATAACTGCAAGGCACTAAACGTTATTCTGGTTATCTGCTTTAAGTTCTGAACATTTGAAACATTATAATATTATCCACGGTTGTTTCTGCTTAGGCAGTGTCTTGAGATTTTCTCTATTTTATCAAGGGCTATTCTGTTTTTGAGTGTATTAGTCACCCACATTGCCCAGGCACAGTCCGCTGGTTTCTTAATGTGCCAGGTTCTTGTATGTAGATAATGGAAGTAATAATGGTCCGTGTCGCCTTCGTCTTCGCATTCGCAGAAGGGAGTATCCCTAAGTCTGAATCTGTTCAGGTATACTGGGAATGGTCCATGACCTGTCAAGAACTGTGTTAGGCTAGCACGGTGGGTCTTTATTTCCATGCTAACTTTTGGCAGTAAGCGAAATGTCCTTCGTCCTACCTCTGCCTCTGTCCATCTACTTTGCCAATTTTGTAACAGATTTGTGAAAGTTGTTCGCTTAATATGAGACCAAGGAAGTTTAGTTGGTCTTTCTAATATATCCGTGTAGTTGGCTGCCTGCTTGGCCAGTAGGCCAGCGGCTTCAGTCGATATATCTAAATTTAAAACGCCTTTTAACCGCAGTCTTTAATCTATTGAATAGAATTCCTGTTTTCAAATAGTATATTCGCACTAGATTTTATCACTTTGAACATGCGTACACAAACTTATGTACACATGCTTAAGCTTCTGAAACTCATGAACGTTGGCTGGTTGGCGGCATAAAGAACTATTCAATAACCGAAATTAAATTTCAATGTTTTTTACTGTTTACAAGATCATAAATTATTTGGTGGAGAATTGCTTGACAATTTCAAAGAATTGAACCGCAGCAAAATGATTTAGTGTTCAGTAAATAAAAAAGCTATATATAATAAATAAAACTCATTAATGTAATTTAAGTTATTGAATATTCTTGCAGGTGAGAATAATTGGAGATGTAAAAACAGGCGTCATAGCATTGGACGATTTTGCTGCTAAAGGAGGATCTTGTCCTCCATCCAGTAAGTAACGCTCACTTGTTCTTATAGTGCGTAGCGTTTGCCTATGAAGTATAGTGTAACACAAATGTGATTTCTTTAACTAAAAGTATTGCTTTGCTATACGCACAAGTTTGAAAGTTTAAATTCCAAAAATTACCACCAGGAAATCCGTGCAAATTATTTGCCCAAAGAGGTGGTACCCAGAGAAAGGTTATTAGTCTCAAAACGACATTTTGTGGCGTTTCACTACATACGGCAAATCACTTTTTAAATTCTTATCGCCAAATGTCATCGCCCTATATTATATTCAAAGAAATTAAATAATGAAAAATATACATTAATGTATGTATGTTTCCCGCATTGTGAAAAAGAGCAATCAAATTTTGTATAACGCAATCCTCCACCCAGACATGGGCACTGGGAAGCCCAAATTTCGAATTAGTTTTAGATTATCTATTTCATATTTTGTAAAACTTTAACGAATTTTTGATTAACAAACTCAGCGATTTTAAAGCAACATTGTAAGAAAAAAAAAGACATTTTAATCTGCAATGCGCGAGACTGTTCATAGGAAATTATAAAGATGTGCTGTTTTAAAATATTTCGTGATATTGCGGTTAAATTGAATTTTATGTGGTTTAAATGCGAAGAACATGATCTTTAATAAATAAAGGTAACACACAAATTTTTGAAAAAAGTCCCCTTGGATAAATTTTTGAAAAAGATATATCCCCCGTGATATATCTGAAAGCTTTCGGTTCTCCCTCCCTTCCTGATGCTTCACGAGAAAATTAATATGGCCCGATTTTTTAGCTTGATGATTTAGTAACAAACAAAACCTCTTTTATGTTTCTGACTTCTCTTGATAACTGCATATGTCTTTAATGCATTAAATATACGTATAATACACACGCTGCAACAAAAAAGGGGAAGGACAGTTCTGTACCTCCCGCTCTACTCGGCGTGTTGCTGAAATTTAATTTGCGTTTTTCATGTCTTGAAAGCGAGAATTACAATATATATTAGATTTATATAAAGCATTGTTCTAACATACCTATTTTAACACAAAATCGGACTTTCTGTGAAATGACATACCGATTTTTTTCCATATTTCGATTCTACACCCCAAATTATGTCTCAATACTAAATTTTGCTAAATTGACGGGAAAAGTGCAGAGAAATTTAAAAATTTAATTTCGCTCACTTTTCCCAGTTTGTGACAGCGATAATACGTTTGGCAAAATTCTTAATTTATAGTAACCTGTTTTCCTTTCCCTTTCATTGTGCTCGAGCAGAAAAAAAGGTGCATCGTCCATTCTTTCAAATAATTTTAACAAAGTGCGTAAACCACATTTGGCGCTATTATGGCATAAAACAATTATGCCAAATTTCGAAACGAGACAGTGTATAAATTCATGTATATCTTGAGAACTTTTGAATAAAAATGCTAATTTTTTGCAGATTTGGTAGAATACACCCGCTTTAAGGTGATAGTGAAAGTTTTATAGGTTATAGTAAAAAAGATTTTTGAAACATTTATGAAATTAACTAAAAAAACGTTTTAGAAATAAATCAGAAATTATCTGCCGATTCCATTTGGATTGAACCTAAATTTCAAACTGTGAAAGAAGAAATTGTGTAAATTTAATAAAAGAAAGAGATATTAATAAATATATACCAAAATCAATTAACGTTGAGAAGTTAAAATTTAGAAGGTCAGTTTTACTAGTCGGAACTTTTGAACTGTAAATTATGTGTTTTTTTGTTATTTCGGGTGGCTGATGGTAATATTTATATTTTGTAGAAATTTGTACTTTCGACGGAGATAACGACATGTGTGGTTTTACTCAAGATTCTGAGAACATTTTAGACTGGGAAGTCAAATCAGGAGAAGATAATACCACTATGTATAGGATGCCAGACCATACTACAGGATCGATTGAAGGTAAGTTCTATAGCGTCTTACTAGTTTGTGTGTGACGTATGAAGATGAAAGTTTGTGTGTGACGTATGAAGATGAAACAAAATTTTGGTATTTTCGTCGAGTATGGATCTTTAGAAAAAAATTCCTAAAATTACGAGGTTTTTTTTAAAACTAGCGATCAACATTTATACATTTTAATAAATATCATAAATCCAGGCAACAATCTTTGAAAATTTCTTTTAACACATGGCAGATAACTTATTAATGAAGATTATAAGGTATTTTCTCTCTCCTTTCCGCATGACTTCATGGTATAACTGGAAGCACACTCATCGCATATTCGGGAGGTCCGGAATTCGAATCCTGGAGAGGACATTGCTCATTTATTACTTCTCAACACTCAAAAATCCTAATGTCTCTAGAAGGTTAATATAATGTCAAACAAAAATTAATTAAAAATTTTAGAAACTAATAAAAAGAACCATCGAATTTTCTTTAATCTTAGCTCTCCAAACACATCCTTTGCAAGAAAAGTTCCAAGACAAAGGTCGTAAAAAATAGACAATTGCACTTACTAAGTAATGATCCTAGCTGTTACCAAAGTAGTCCCCTTGCCTATCTATATACAACTGCTAACGTTTTTATAGGTCTTGGAAGCGAGCAGGAAAACCTTGAACTGCGATGCTTGCAGGCTCATTTGTCACAACTCGTTGGATGTCTGCAATAATTTTCATGAAGCTTTCTTTTCAGTCAGCTTTTCACTCACGGAAACAAGAAAAATAACAGTAATCTTTGACACAAATGTTGGATCACGTCTGGCTCTATCCAATACAGAGGCTGTTCACACATTTTTTAGACGATGTATATTGTATTCACAAAACTAAATTATATAAAATCATTCAAGTCAAAAGGACTGCACTTTAAATCGTCCTTTATGACTTTAAATCTCCATTTGTTCCTTTTTACTACTGTTACTTTTTGTGATATTATGATCACCACCGTTTGTGATATTATGATCACCACCGTTTGTGATATTTGATTATATGATATTATGATAACTCTCTTTGTGATATTATGATCTTCAAATACATACCTGTTACGAAAGCAGGCATTCCATTGAAAAAAAATTTTTTTTTTGTTTTTCTAATGATGGTAATTATTTTTCTAATGATGGTCTTCACAAATCTAATCTTGTGACCTCAGATGATCTTACAAGTGCACACAGTTAATGTTTCATTACTTGTTTGTACAAATTCATCACAAGACAATAGAGGAAACTCTTGTAGGGAATTGAAGTGAATTAGTTAGTTATTTATAATTTCAGCCTCTACTATAACTTATCCTTCTCGCATTTCTCACCAGAATTCAAATGAGTAGTGAGATTTTAAGCTGAGGTTTTGGGATTTATAGAGAGAGTGTGTTAGTTTCCCACCAGCTCTGGTAGTTGTAACTATTCGACTTTGCTTTTCCTCGCTGCCGACATTTTAATTCTGACGCTCTGGTAGATAGTGAGCCAAGGTCTAGTATAGTAATTAATTGTGTATTCTTGACTGCTGTTCTACGTTCAATTAAATTTGACTTAAATTTCTATTTAATTGCATCACCACGAGTTCAGGTTATATTGTAGCTTTGTGTTCGAAAATTCTGCTTCAATAAAAAAGGCTATTTTTAACCTCCTCCCGACTTTCTTATTGATTCAGATATAGCGAGGATTCGCTTTACCTTTGTTGGGGTATAAGGTATTTTCTCTCTTCTTCCCAACGTGCCTTCTAGTTCTAACTCCATTGCATGTACGACTAGCAATCAGGAGGTCTGGTGTTCGGATCCCGGCGAGGCATTGCGGATTTCTTCAGTTTCGTGACATCGAAAAATTCTAAAAGATTCTGCAAATGAAGCCGAACTAAACGGTGGTAGATGATAATTCGTCACCGCTAGGATTTGACAATTGGGTCTCCTAACCCTCCAGTTGCCCTTTAAAAGGGTTAATATATATAAGGTATTTTCTCTCTTTCCTCTCTGTATGCCTTTGTGGTGTAACTGAAAACAATCTCGACGCATATTCGGGAGACCAGAAATTCGAATTATTCGCCAGATTATACTGAAGCTTTCTTTAATTTCCTGACATCGAAAAAATGTAAAAGGCTCTACAAGGATTATTGGACTATGTAGCATTACCAGATTAAGTGTAACTACACAAGTTATTCAACGGATGCTATGAATAGGTTCACAAACCACAGCAATTTAACTTTCAATAAATTTCAGCAAATTGTGCCAGAGGTAAGCATCGCCTTGGAAATTCATTTTATCTCCATCCTTACGCTAATTTATGACTGTTTTGTGCAATATAAACGTTTCTGTATATGATTAATTTTGAGCACATAAAAACTTCACTGCGGGTTTTAGGTATCTACGTCATAACTTCATTAATATAAAATATTCCCCCTATTTCATTTATCATTTCTTTTTGTCTTTCTTTTCTCTGATCTCAAACGTCGTAATTTTCTTTAGGTAGTTACTTGTACATCGGTTTCAACGGCACCAGTCAAGTCAAATCTCAGCGTTCCCGTATCTACACGCCTAAGCGTCCTGCATCGTCAACTGGAAGTTGCGTCACTTTCTACTATCACATCTACAATGTAAGCAAGCTGTCCCTGAACGTATACTTAGCAACTGACAATGGGATCTCAGATCCACAATGGACAGTATCCATTGGCCAAGGACTTCTATGGCACGGAGCGCGATTTTCTGCATCCCCTAAGATAGTAAAATGGCAGGTAAGCTTGAAGATATAAGTCCAGAACCTTAGAGGGATTTTTTTTAAAGATTTTTATCAAGTTACAGAACATCAATAGAATTCTTTTGCATGGGTTAGTCCTAAATAAAAACAAATTATGTTCTCTACATTAATAATTCATGCATGAAATGCCCGCTTTAATTATTTTCTAAAGTGTCATATATTAGTAAGGCAAATTACCACTTCAATTAATTAATGTGAAAGTTGAAACCTACAAATTAATTAAACTGTTCGCTTAGATCTTAACTGATTCAGTGAAATTAAATAATAAGTGAACTAAAATGAATGTGTTTCTGATAAAATTCGTGCTCATAAAGCAAGGTATAATTCACTACAGAAAATTTTAAATGTTAATTAGCATTTGAGATAGAGAGCATTAAGTGACGAATGGTGCTATTTCTTTGAAATATTGAATTGTTCTCGTGACTCACTTTTTTCTGTGCTTATTTTCGGATTGGTGAGATGGTAACTTATCAGATCACTGAAAATTAGTTTAACTCTACAGTTTGCAGATTATTCTATGGACTAGAACTGTATATATTGTTACGTAATTTGTACATAGAATAGATAATTTTAGTGAAATTATATGTCACATTGTTCTATTTTTCTGTACAATGTAGCATTAAAATCTACAAAGATGATAATCGGTCGGCAAAATAAGAAAACAGGTGCAAGTCCTATTTAACATTGGGTAAATGGCTATTTCGCTAATTTGGCGAGATATCGCTAAGCTGGCGACGGTTTGGAACACTCATTTTTGTCGCCAATTTTGGCGAGAAGTCACCAAAAGCCATTTGGCGACATTTGGGTCCGGTTCCTATATCACCGTAGTAGGTATCTGGAATTGAATAACTGTAATTGATGTTTTGATTAACCGTATTCGGCCCTCATATGCCTTCCATTAATTTGCAAAAGCAGAAAGTACCAGAAATATCTCAGAGGTCGGTGAAAGCTACATATGAGAGTATCAGTTTCTCATTTGTAGTTGTTACTTCAGAGAGAGTTCAGAGTACTGAGATATCTCCGGGTTATCTTAGCTCTTTGAATGCGCTTTGCATTGAATTGTGTTTAACGTTCTTAGTAGTTAGAAGTATAACTATTGATTGTACTCTGTGATACTGTGAAGAGTGGTACAAGTATTTCTGTGAGCTGAAATGATAAAATAAATTGTATTAATCTATTATAGGAACGGTGTGCATTCAATCTATTACAAAGGTGTACGCATGCAGCAATATATGTATATGTATAATCAAATATGTATATCATTCATATATTCATATATCAATCATTTATATCATTTTAAGTTGAACAGGCAACCGCTTTGGACGCAAGTATGTTTCGTCTTATTTTTGCATTTTTCTTTGGTCTTTGCAAGACCCATTTCGATATATTTTTTATTATATTTCTTTTAATTTGTAGAGACATTAGTAGTTTTGGAAGCCGGAGAGATGAAAAAATAGCAATTGTCTTCGCCGGGGATTGAACTACGAACCTCTGAGATACCGGTTCAGTGTGCTGACCACTACACTACGAAGGCACGCTAGGAAGGCGGGAGAAATGCCTTATATACTCCCCCTTTTAAAGGGCGACTGGGGTTTTCAGGGGCCTCAAATCGCCAAATCCTGGGTGTGGAGATTCATCATTCACGACCCTGTTTAGTTCGGGCGACACTGTGGAGACATTAGGATTTTTGAAAGCCGGAGAGATGAAAAATTAGCAATTTCCTTCGCCAGGAACACCGGCTCAGTGGGCTGACCACTACACCACGAAGGCATGCTAGGAAGGGAGAAATGCCTTATAAATTCTTCTCCTTAAAAAGTTTATATTCTTAATGCAAGGAGGTATCTCCCTTACAAGTGTGTAATTTTTGGACTAATAGTTTTTTAGCTATTTATATTAATTGTACATTGGCCTAACTAGGCTTTCTTGTGTAGCATTTTATTGCTTAAAAGTAAGTTTTACATTTACAATTTAAATTGTAAGCGCGTCGGGAAAAGAAGCGATAAAATTGATACTTACTTCTTTTTTTAAGATAATTAAGTTTGATTATTCTATTAATGAAATTACCTTTATAGTCTCAATTATTATCGTTTGACGAAATGCGCTGCAGGTATTAGCTTAATTCGAGTTTTGAGCTGCTTTTCTCTTGATAAATCCGGTTCAAACTTCGGGTTGGGCTAATTTGCCGTTTGTTGCGATTTTTTGTACATATTTACCGTATATATGAGATGTATTTAATTTTTTTGCGAGCTTCTTCTTGTGTGTTAAAATTTACTAATTTTTTCTCACTCTTTTTGATTTAGAAGTTATCTCGTTTTGTAATGTTTGCATTTAGTTTTTACGCGATAGCTTTTACTTCTTTAGTATTGTTTGTTGTTGTTACATATTGTTACATTTTTGCTCAGGAACTACAGTGTCAAATGATGTATTTTTTAGCATTAGATTTTAAGCATTCTTCTTCTTTTTTTTAATTATAACCATATATATATATATATATATATGTCATAGTAAAAGCAAAGGAAAATGTCGGAACACTGTAGATGCGTGATTAGACCCATATTGAAGAAGATTTTGATTGCGTAGTATGCTAGTAATGCTAACTTGGTAATATCTAAAGAACTTAACAGTCGAGGCAGTTTTAATCCCATTTTTATTTGCAACTGATATTGGTGGCCACAAACACTTGGCACTCTAGTCGTGCCTTTCCACAGAAGATTTACATTTTTGATATTGTTGAGATAGAAAGCAAGCCAGCGAAATTACATCTTAGCACAGTAGAGAGCAAAAGCTGAAGTGCGTAGTTATGAAAGATGGAAGCACGGCGAAGAGAAAAGTTTTGGTTTACAAGGACAGTTTCAGTTCCCATTTATTACGTCATCAGAGCTGCGCGGGTCATAGAGTGATCCAGAAATGACGCAATGCAGAGAAGTTATTACGATTTTAGAACAGAGAGGAAGAATTAATGTTTATGGTTATATTATAATTCTAATTCATATAATTTTATCTTACATATATATATATAGATATAATCAAATACTTAAATTAATAATTTAGTAGAAACAGATAAATCATCCAGGAAGATGTTAAAATTGCATAAAGAAACCTATTACATTTCAAAGCAATGAATCAAATTCAAATACGATCCCTTTACCATTTAAAAAATATTTTATTTATAAATTGGATATACCAATCATATTAAAATTTATAATACATTATTGGTTTGTAGAGACATAAGGTTAATTGGAAAAGCCGGAGAGATGAAAATGAGCAAACGCCTTCTCCGGGAATCGATTCACGGCTCTCTCAATTACGCGCCGAGCGTGCAGACTACCACACCATGAAGGTATGTCAAGAAGGCGGGGGAAATACCTTATAGCGTGATAGTTCCATTTCAGATACCTTATATTTAACCTTTTACATACTGCACTGTGATCCAGAAATAAAAGTCACAACTAAGTCATGAAATTCACATTAGAATACATCCATAAAGACTATAAAACGAAAACAAAAAAATTGCCATACAAAAATTTCTGTCTATGATTTCCTGGATGTTCCATTTTTGAAACACTGGCATGGAACACTGTCTTTTCTCTCTCTCTTTTTTTTTTTTTTTTTTTTTTTTTTTTTTTTGCTTCATGAAAACAAAGCGTTGTATGATGAATCTTTTAAAATTTTATGCTGTAATAGTGGTTTACTGAATAATTTGATGTGAAATTATTAAAATTCAAGTAAAATTCATTAAAAAATTATGTAATTTTTCATTAGCGTACTAGTTTATAAGAAATGCGATGCAGAAAGTGTAAAGAAACAATAAAAACAAATTTACGCATTATTGGTTTGTAGAGACATAAGGTTAATTGGAAAAGCCGGAGAGATGAAAATGAGCAAACGCCTTCTCCGGGAATCGATTCACGGATCTCTCAATTACGCGCCGAGCGTGCAGACTACCACACCACGAAGGTATGTCAAGAAGGCGGGAGAAATACCTTATAGCGTGATAGTTCCATTTCAGATACCTTATATTTAACCTTTTACATACTGCACTGTGATCCAGAAATAAAAGTCACAACTAAGTCATCAAATTCACATTAGAATACATCCATAAAGACTATAAAACGAAAACAAAAAAATTGCCGTACAAAAATTTCTGTCTATGATTTCCTGGATGTTCCATTTTTGAAACACTGGCATGGAACACTGTCTTTTCTCTTTTTTTTTTTTTTTTTCTTCATGAAAACAAAGCGTTGTATGATGAATCTTTTAAAATTTTATGCTGTAATAGTGGTTTACTGAATAATTTGATGTGAAATTATTAAAATTTAATTAAAATTCATTAAAAATTATGTGATTTTTCATTAGCGTACTAGTTTATAAGAAATGCGATGCAGAAAGTGTAAAGAAACAATAAAAACAAATTTAAACTTACTTACCAGCTTGACTAACATTATACATAATTTGAATAACTGCGAATTTAAAAATGTAAAATACCTTACTAATAAAAAATAAAACATTTTATCCTTTAGAAGACGCGTGGGATTTCAACAAGTAACACAAAAAATGTAAAACATTCTAAAACACAAATTTTTCGTAATCCTTTTCAGCAGTCTCTCAGTGTCAATGATATTGCAAAATACATGTTTGTAGCGGTTTTCATGGCGCACTACATAACACCCTTGTGAAGATGCAACTATATAATGCGCATCTGATTACATTGCATTTTTTACTATCGGTACCATGAGATCTTCTTCCTTTGACTAGTAATCACGTTAATTACAAAAAGTGAGGTACACGGAAAAAATAAAAAAAACCAATAAAACTTTTCATCACGAAAATGAAGCTGTACGTAGCATAGGAGATTATGACTATACAGTCATTCAACGCTGCAAAAGACCAAGAACGATACACCATAACGAGTTATGGTGATCGATGTACATAATGAATTTAATGTTTTTTCTACTTTTCATTGTTTACTCTTATTTATCTTTACTTAATTATTGCAAAGCGATATGGACTTTTGCGCCTCCGGAGGCAGGACTTTGATTTGTATTATGTGTATAAAATTTCAACGTTTGGTCAGTGCTACTAGGCTCGGCCCACTACTGTTATATGCCTCAACTATTATGCCCACGCTATTCTGTTGCTCCAAGACACGGAGGAAGGAGGACACTCAGCCGTAATACCTACGAGGAGAACGTTATGCCAAAGTTTTTATGCTACAGATGTGTTAAATTTCTTTTACGATGTGAAAGTTATGCTTCAGATGTTAAATCGCTATTTTACCAAAGTTATGCCACTGTTAAATAGCTGCTGCACCAATGTTCTGTTTCTGAGAGAGAAACCTATGTTTTGTTTCTATACTTTGCCGAAAAATCATGGGCACCAATGCCTTGTTACTACTTCCTCGTAGGGAGGAAACTAATGCAGAAACAGACAGGTGAAGCCGTAACTATCTAAATATCAACTGAGAAACTAAACTCTTAAGAGTTTGCTAATTACCAAACTTTTAGTGATCGTATAAGTGAATTTTTAATGTATTGCGTTGTGGAAATGCATCCGGGACTGCGCCCCGTGAGAGGATTCGAATAAATAACATGTAAAATTAATATATATATATATAAGAAAAACACATAAAGGATATAAAGAAAACATAAGTAATAGTTTTCCAGAATAAATACCAGTTTATTCAAATTCCTCACAATTAAAAATTAATCTTATCCGAATCAGGGAGCCAAACTTCTTATTTTTGTTAGTTTCAATTTACTTATTTTAGACACAGGTGAATTCTTCAATTTGTCATTTTTTTTTGTTACATTTAAATTCATGATTTGCAAATCTATTACATGACCCTTTTAATTTAACGGGTACCCGTTCTATAATTTCTAAGAGGTTAAGGAAAACATATTATTTGCAATTCACATCTGTTCTAAGGAAGATTACACAAACAACTTAAATTATTACATCCTAATTCATATAAAAAACTTAAGGTTTGTCTCGGTAATTTAGAAGGGGAAAGGGAAACAATTGAAAGCCTGAGAATTAATTTAAGATTCGACGTTGTTATTTTACATTCCAAGGAAGTCGTTGAAACCTTACTTAAAGTTCAAACACAAAAAATAGAACTTATCTTGTAAGGACGTCTTGAGGTGGAGGACTCGTATCCTAATAAGCGTTGACGTCGGCGGGGCTGATTTTTACGGTCACAAATGGAAAGTTTCAGAAGACATCGTCCTGTCCTGGCACAATTGGCGAAACACACACACCAGGTAACTGGTTTTCATAACGACGAAGCTATTTTTACTCTGGAAAACAGAAACAGGAGCACTGCTGCCCAGCACGGCTGTCCGCCTGGTCTTGAAAGTCTTAAGTCACTCGCCCGGGTTCAATTTCGCCTTTTAACCAGAACGCGGCAGGGGAGCATGTTTGCAGCTCCCGGCCGGAAACGTCTCTCTAGGCAATTACAGCTCGCCTTCACTCTTAGTCAAAACGCGGCCGGGGAGCATCTCTCTTCGTAAATTACATCGTTTCGAAAGCTTAACCCCAGAGCAAGTTTCAAGAGTAACGTCCAAAGTAAGTTCCGCAAGCAAGTCTCGCCAAGTCTCGCACGAAAAGTGATTCAAACTCGAATTTTCTTCCTCTCCTCCACAAACGCGGGCTCCCACTATGGCTTCAATTATCGCCCCCTTAATTTGGGCAAATTTTGCGTTTCAACCCCTGAATGAGGAAATAGGGGTGAACGCGCATGCGCGCCCTTCTTCATATAGCCAACAACCGGACCCTCACTCGCCAAAACCTGAATGACTTACATCGAAAGTCAAGTGGCAACCTCTGGCCCTTCTGTCACGTACTTCCTGTCCTAAGGTCAACTGCACAATGAAATTCCTTCTAGAACATTCTAAAGGACAAAGCGCGCGAAATCATGACTTAGCAAAATTGCCCCCCTTTCTCTGCTTCTTTTCACAATGAATCAAAGCTTGTACAAAAATTGCAAATAAAAGAAAAATAAATAATATTCTTTTAAACTAAATAATATTCCCAGAAGCATCTGTTTTTTCCCTAAAATTAAAGCATTAAAAAATTATTCAGAATCAAATAAAATTAAGATTTCCATAAATCAGAAAATCATTCACCTAGTTTTTATAACGCTATCAGACAAATTCTCTACACAACACCACTGTTACATACTGCCACACTGGATGTCATTCAACACTTCAAGTGTACAGGTTTATTCCAATAATTGGAATTTTTTTTTCACTTTTAGGATTCATACTAAGGACAGTTATAGATAGGTAAAAACTTCAGGGTCGTATACCTATTGAATAAGTGATGACCTAAGACCTAAGACCATCATTGGCGCTAGATGTAGATGGAAGATACTCCGTAATATTAGGACCAAAATAATTTTTGTTTCTTGATTCACATTGTTCTTTTACCTCTATTTCTATTTGGTAAACAAATTTCTACATTACCTGACAGATCTTTTACCGATGGAGTAATCATTTCACCATCATCAAATCACTCTTATCGTCACCAACTCACCCACATCAGGCGGTAAAGCAATTATATGACTGGATCTCCTTAGGAAACATATTTTCTAATGCTTCTTCGGCGGTGCGAAACACTTTACGTCTGGAATATCTGGAAAAAATGATAAAGGAAGTAAAAATTAGTTACCACTAACCGCCAGCGATCTATTTATAGATCATCGTGTTTAAACTAATTTAATTATGTGAATCTGAGAGACAACGTGTTTCATTTCATTCATCTCAAGTGTTCACATCTTTACGGTGAAACAATTATGAAGAGCCGCTACGTGTGAGGCCCCTAGTGGGATTCCGTAATAAGCTCCGGTAAGAGCAGGATAAATTCCTGCTGAACACCAGAATACGCAACTAAAGCATCAAAGCATCAATTTAATTATAAGAACAGTTATTTTTCTAATTTAAATAACATGGGACAATTAAAGAGGTATTGAAAATTTGGAATACACAAGAAAAGTATAACTTACTTTTAATTGTTTTCCCCGTTGGATACAAAATCGAAAGCTGCGCTATGAAGCATCATCTGGCTAATTTCAGACGTTATCTGCTGGACTGAAAAGAATGTTTCAGAACACCACCTTTGAGGAATGTGGCCACATGTGTAAGGAAATCAGCGAATGACAAGAACTGATTAAAATATATTATTCTCAGTCGGCGGTCTAAAAGTAGCTGATCTGTAAATACATCACTGGAGGTAACGGGATAATTTCAAACTGTTTTTGTGGTAAACAGCAAAGGGTAGACACAATTTAAGTACAAAGACCAACAGTAGAAACAAGAGAACTACAATTTATTTCAAAGCCACCACTCAGCTTACAATAGGCAAGCAGTTTTATTTAAAAAAGAAGAACCTAATATATTTTTCACGGAAGGCTTTGTAATTTTAAAACTACATATACCGCAAGAGTATATGAAAAAACTAGTAAGTAGCAAGTTGGATATAATTTTTTTATTAATAGCTATAGGCTGCAATCATTTCATTAGTGCTTTGACCGATTTTCTTAAAAGGTTATGAGACGCTAATACTCATCGACAACAATGAACGAGAATATCACACATTTGTTTAGAAACTGAAAGAAAGTATTGTGAGACACTGCTTTATTCCCTGTATTGCCAAAGAAATATTTGCTTGTACGTTCTTTATTTGTGCGTACACGACATTTATCACCGACTTTACTTGCTGTCGGACGTTTTTTACTTAAGTTGGGAATAATATAGTTAATGTTGCAATGACAAAATTGAAATTACCCAGATATACCGGAAAAGCATTACATATCGTGTCTACTCTGCGCATGTGCATTGACTCGGCCATCGTAGTGGAGAATACGATATGAATCTTCAGTTCCACAGAGGAAGGAAATCTCGAATCAAACGGATTTTCTGACCGTTTTGGCGAGCTCCTATTCCCCCACATCTGCTTAACTGATAAAAACCTTCCCGGGGTCTTCTGAAAAGGGTTCTTCAATTAACGATAACGATAGTTTTTTTACAAATTTCGCAACAGGGCGTTCTAAAGCAAGTCTCTTTCTCTCAAATGCCAAAAATTGTTTGAAAAAGTTCGATTCAACACGCTAACGCGTGGACGATATTTACCTTGGCGGGAAACTTTCGTTAAGATCCGGTATGTGTAAAAAAATAATTGTACTAAAGTTGCTTACATGAATATTTCATAACTTATAAAAAGCAAGTAACAAACCCTTAAGATAAGAAAAATATTATAGTAGAATAAAACAACGCCAAATAAATGTATGAAGGAAAAAAAGAGAGAAATGATTTTTACATGCAGTTAACTTTGATTTTGGTACGTAGATCCTTCCGTTTTCTTAAAGTATTTTGAAATAGTGATTGCCTATTTATGTAAATAAATGTAATTTTTAAATAAAACGTTTTACGCTTTGTATTTGTATGAAATTTGAAATTTACCAACATGGAAAGATTCATATTTCATTTGCAATTAACCTCATGATGTTCTTTTTCTGTATTAGCTCAGATGTAGATTTGCTTATGCTTCTTTCCTGGGTATTATGCTGTGAATTTAATATGCTTTGATTTTACGTTACCTAGGTCCTGTTCGAAGTAAATGTCGGCAATCGTGGTTACGGTCAAGTTGCAATAGATGACATATCCGTTGAAAATGGAAACTGCCCAGATCCAGGTAACCATTATACAACTCTTCTTTCCTTTTTATCCCAGAAGGGTCGTTAGTCCCAAGTGGAATATTCGTCTCGAAACGGCATTATTGGTTGAATCACTATAAACGGGGTATCACTTTTCAAATTGTTGCATTACCACCCTACATTATATTCAAAGAAATTAAAGAATGAAGAATCTGCATGAATGTATGCATGTTTCTAGCAAACAAACTACGGTACCTAGAAGTCTTCAAATTTTAAACAACGTACTCCTCCACCCGAATATGAACACCTGGAAATCGGAATTTTGAATTTCGAATATGTTTTAATTCCTGTTTCATATTTTGTAAAACGTTAATGAATTTTTGATTAATAAAATCAACAGTTTAAAAGCGATCAGCGGCAAAAGTTTACCGTAAAATCATTTTTATCTCCAGCGCGAGTTTTAAAGGTAGTCTGGTTTTTAAATATTTTGTAATTTTACTGTCAAAACTACTAAAACTCCTCTGTCAACAGAAACCGATTTCAAATAATTAAGCTTATGTAAGACCAATATACTGAGGTATTATAACAATTACAAGTAATATTTTTTATCAATGGGGAAAGAAGACGAACTATTCCCGTTTCTTTCACGGCACAAATGCTTCAGGAACGCAAAATTTTCTCCAATGTTTATTTTTTCTTAATCATTGATGACATCGTTGCTTAAAAGTGGAGGATCTCCCGCAGCGATATACATAACTATTTTAAAAATAAACGTATGACTATACCTTTGTTTTCAGCTGGATGGTATTTTTTATCGATTAACTCAATTCCTTAATAAAAAATTCAGTTTTGCTAATGATGGGCAAATATAACAGCTATACCTCTCTCTCTTATTATATGCTTTTTGACATGCTACCTGTTCAGGCTGATGAAGCATTTTTATCCATCCCTAACTATAACAGCAGTCCTGATTCTAGTACATCAGCTACAATTTTTGAAAATACAGTAGAATTCCAGAAATCCGCAAAGCTTGGGACAGTAGTGTGCGGATTTAGATTTGCGGATTCAGGATAGAAAGATAAAGATAAGTTCGGGCTCAAAGTGCACACAAATAAGGTATTAGATACATTAATTAATTATTATTACATTTTACAATATTATTACGCATTAATTATCATTACATATAAATTGATTATATTAATGGCTTAGATGATACAGCACGAGTTTGCCGATTTGCCTATGCAAAGATTTCCGGTTCGGTCGGTGTTAGAATCACGTGTGTCCAATTCAAAGTTTTCTGGATTTTCCGACCATCGCATAAATCGAGCGCGCTTCCTCCATCTTTTTTAGATTCGTTATGCGTACCGTCATGCACGTGTTTCCTTTTACAAGTGCAAGCAGTAAATCACGCGGGTTCTATCGTATGTATTAAAACGGGCTGGAATTTAAAATATTCTAATTATCCACCAAATATCGGATTAAAAAATGGCAGCAGCACTAAACAATCTCGTGAAATGAAATAAAACTCAGATTCCCCAACGGCGGGGGGGGTGAATCGTGAACTGAACAAGAGTTGAGGAATCGTCTGCTTTTACCTCGATGCTGATTGAGGTAAAACAAAAAGCTTATGATTTATTTTCTTTTTTTTACTTTTTATGTCAATAATTGGCATTTCGTTTTGATCATATTTTCGTAATCTATGACGTCCTTATCGGTACGTATTTTTCTCGATTTCGTACTCAAGTTTGTGGTTTCCGGACCTATAAATGAATGTTAATAGTTGAGAGTCAACCGGATTTCAGGATTGGCGGATGTGCGGTTTGATGTATCTTCAAACCAAGAATTTAAAATTTTGCGCCCCGACAGGCCAGGCGGTCATTGGGTTTTGCCTCGATGGGGGTATGGCCGTGTTTTTTACGGGTGTCCTACGAGAACTCACGAAGGAAATATCCAAATGTCATTTCTCCTTACACTCTGTGATCTCAGGGACTTTCTGCTCGACGTCTTTCAAGTGATCCCCGCCGCAAATGTCTGTCATTTCCCCCATCACGCCATCTCTTGGATTGACTATGACGAAGGATAGGACACTGAGTCCTCAAAACCCGACAACAGGACCATCTTTCCACCTGGTCGAATGGAAACAAAAGAGGCCTCTTTTCCCCAACCAACTCTATATACAGCCAGGGGTGAGTTGTCATATAGGAGTCTCAAGGGAGTTTCATTGCAATAGACCTCCAGTATCACATTTTAACGAACAATAAAACATCACTGCATATTAGAGCGCCTACCCTCTCACGCGTGCCCGCGTGCCTTCCTTCTGAGGGCCACAACGGCCAAGTCTCGAACACGGGTCGGTCGCGAGATTCGAATCCCGACGGCATGGCTGGCGCAGAGTTCATGATTTTCACCATCGTAACGTGACCAGCCATTTCTTCAGAAAGTCCCACGATGGCTTCGTTTTAGGCCCTAGCCTCGAGTGATGCGTAGAGTCACCTCATAACCCTCCTTGCCCTATGGAGACAGCCCGAATCCGGCCGAACCCCCCAGAAAAAAATGAAAAGACGTTCTTATGCTATTGATGAAAAAGCAAGCAAAACCCTGAGCGCCGATATTAAATGTGTGTGTGATATGGCAGCTTAGAGGTATCTCCTAGGGGAGGGACAGGCGGTTCGGGAGGACGTCGAAGAGGAACTGGTCGATAAATTACATGGGAAAAACACGAAGCCATGGCATCGTGCGGATTCGACTCGGCAAATACCAGTTCAGCACTTTAACGTCGGCGTTGTTGGGTTGAGCGAATAAGTGGGGTTTAATGGCGAATTTATTACTAAAAATCATGGAGCGCATATCTTCTTTATGACAGTCGGACGGGCCCCTTCGCTCTGATTCAGGTGTCCTCGGTCCACCGAGCCATGCAGCGCGTGCGCCATGCACACTTTTGAATCATAAACATGCCCTCCTCCCCGAAAAACTCCTGTAGAGCCATGGCACCTGTGTGCAGCGCTAGTAAGAAACTATATTATTCGGTTGCCCGCGTGCACTCCTTGCTCCGTTTTCCTTCCCTTTTCCGCTCCTTATTCTTTCGGGCCTTCGTTTTTTTTTTTTTTTTTTTTTTTCATAACAGAATCCCAACGCCCCCGTGCAATCTCATTAATGCCTTGCCGTTCTTTAGGGGGCGTATACTGGCCTGTTTCTATTTTCTAGACGCCCGGCGGTTCCTAGAAATGACCGCTGTTCTGATCTATAAAGTACTACCTGCTTGTGCAAAGGTGTCGGTACTTTAAACTGACTTACCAGGGCAGCGGCGAGGATGTCCCTTGCTACGCCCCGGGGGTCCCCCATCCTGCTTCATGCTTCAGTCGTGCAAGAGGAATCACTGGCGGGCGGGCTTAAGAGCTACGCGAGTCCCTCATAAGGTGATTTAAATAATAAATGTATCTCCATTCAAGATTCTGGTAACAACATTTTTGTGTGAGCTCTCCATCATTTGAAGCTGCTGCAAAGACCACCCATTATTTAATTGGACGTCCGTCTTTCACGAACTTTGACGGTTACAGAAGTGATGGGGCCCATGCAGGCGGAAAATGCCAACACGTTAAGCGTTGGCCGATTATGAGTCATGCAAGGCCACTTAAAAGGAATGTCTACGCTCAATTGAAGGCCCTCCCCCTGGTAGTCCGTTTGCAAGCAACAATAACTATCGGCGACAAACAGACACTTAAGCCACATATATATATGGGGTTAAGTAACATCATCTCGTCCGAAACGGCTGGCTCCCGGGCTTAACGAATCATACCGTTGGATTTCGCAGGTTCGTGGCACGCCATTTTGACCATTTGCGTCTTCGTAGGACTTTATTTAGCCGAGATATTGATTAAAAGCTAATTTTTCCCTACGTTCTCCACGTTCATTATTGAGTTTTCCCTATTAGAGGGATTTGGCCACGTGCAAAATTATTTTTTCTCGAATATCTACGGAACGGCGCCGAATTGAAATTCGACACGCGTATCGTTGGATTCCAAAAAATTCTACGAATCCATCGGTACCATTCTCATCTTCGTACGACTTTAATCGGCCGAGATATTAATTAAAAACTGCGGAAACGTTAATTTCCGCGCTCATTTTTCCGAGTGGCAACAATAAACTATCGGCGACAATCTTAGCCGCTATATAGATAATATATAAAGATTAATGTGTCTTTAAAATGAATTCACAAAATGAATTTCAATTGAATGAGCATTGATGTTGCTTCTTTAAAACCAAAAAATATGAATATGGATACTTTGGGATTTTAGAGCAAATTGCACATGAATCTTTTACGCAGTTTAGCATTTTCGCTATTCTTATTATTCTAGCCTATCCGAAGATTTCTTCCATTTTAATTTAAATAAAAAAAAATATGAGGATCAGATTCAACAGACGCCGAAAGGGTTGTTAAGGTTCTCCTCTTCTGAGTGGTTACGGTCCGGGGACACTCATATGCTAAGCTTTTTTTTTTTTTTTTTTTTTTTTGTCTTTTTATCTTTATTATTAAGCATCATTTTTTTCGCACTCACGCCACTTATAATTCAACAGCAAAATTACAAAATATTTTAAAGCAGCATAGCATTATACGTTTAGAATTACCGATGCAGCGTTAAGTATTGGCGTACCTTTTTCTTTTTTTAGTTCTTTCTCAGTTTATCACATGGATGTTCAGTTTTCTTACTCAGATGTCTTTACAAAACCTCTTTTGGTCTTTTCAATAGTACCGTTTTACGTGTTTACTTTGTTTATTACGTTTCACATTCTTCGCGCCTGCACTACATAAAATTCGATTCAACGGCGCAATCACAAAATATTGAAAGGCAGCATATCTTTAGAATTTCCGCGCCAGACAGTCTCGCACGCTAGAGATAAAAAATGTTTTATTCCATATAGTGTTGCTACTGTTCGGTTTGAAATATTTCAGTTTTTTTTTACAGTTAAAGGGCTTCTAAAATATGAACTAAATCATAAAACAAATTCGAAATTCCAAATTGGGGCTTCCAGGTGCCCATATTCGGTTAGGTTAGGTTATTTAATTACGGCAAGGGTTCGAGGGCTATCTGCCTAAGGGGAGGATGCCTTCGTGGAGGACTTTCTAAGGGAAACTGGATCGTAGAACGTTAACTGGGGGAAACCACGAAAACACCCATGCAGCCAGTCCGTTCGGGGGATTCAAACCTCGGACCGAACTACCAGTGTTCAGCAACTTTACCGCTCGGCCTCTGGTGGGCGCCCATATTCGGTGGAAGATTATGGTATTTAAAATTTGATGGCTCTAGGTGCCGTTCCTTTTCCACAGTGCGAGAAACATATATACATGCAGAGTCTTCATTATTTAATTTATTTTACAATAATACAGGTCGATAATATTTGGTGGTAACAATCTGAAAGTTACATGCCGTTGCGATTCAATGCAGAATGACGTTTCCAAACTAATATACAATTGGGGACTAACGTTCCTTTTGGATTGTATTAGATATATTTTTAAAATTAGTTATACTAATAATTATATTTTAATATGCGAAGCTTTAAATTATAGAATATGTTTGCTATGCTTAAGATTTGTCAACGGTATGACAATTTCTTGCATTAACTATATTTTTCCTTATAGGATACTGTGATTTTGAGAAAGAAAATTGCCTTTGGGAAAACGTTCGACAACCTTTCGACGAGAAAAATATCCAGTTTTTAAGTAAGCATGAATACGATGTTTGAAGAATATAAATTGAATTTCCGACTTTCTGTGTATTTTGTTGCATACTTTTTGCCTTGAATGCATCCTGGAATGTTTGAGTTGTATTTACATCACTGTTTTACTATTTCATTCGTATTGTGGCCAAGAATCCTGAGAATGTATCAGACCTGACTTCAGCTTTGCTGTTTTGAAATATCCTTCAACTCTTTGAATTCAATCCTAAAGCTTTCACTTGGGGAAACAGACATTTCAGGGCATGAGATTAAAAACGTGCAACAATGAAGAAAATTTTATTGGCGGCTTCTTGCAATATGTTTTGAGAGTTACCCTTAAATGTTCATTATAAAAAAATAAGTAAATTAAATAATTACTTTTAAATGAGTTAATTGTTTCATCCATTGCTGCATATAGTTATTCTGTAAAATGGGAATCACCTAACAAATCTTTAACTTAAGTTACTTTCTTCTAAATCGATTCTGGAAGTTATTTAAATCAATCCTCTAATTTCAGTTACAAACTTAATGGCATTCATATAGAGAGCAATTGTAAGAAGGAACATATTTTTTGTTGTAAAAAGAATATTATACAGTGGGATTCTTCGATCATGGGACAATCTTGGAGGGGTGGTTGAGCTTACTAAAATATTTATTTTTTGTATAGGAATGTAGGGTCTTAAGTGACGGGTTAAGGCACGAACGCAAAAAATGGCACTGGAGGGAAAATGTGTTTATTCACAAAATCAACCAACGCGCTTCGTTACAGAAATACGGTAATTCACAAGAAATGTTCAAAATTGCGACCACTGGCAGTAAGACAAACTGCAGCTGTGCGGCGGCAGCGGCAGCGGCTCCAGCATAATGGTGCGCCAGCCCATTATGACTTGTTGGTTCGGAATTACTTGGATATGAATTTTGCGGGGCGATGAATTGGGCATGGTGGAGCAGTCCGATGGCCACATCTTTCGCCAGATTTACCCAGCGCGGATTTCTTTTGAGGAGGGCTGCATCAGAAGGGCATCATTTACGTGATTCCCGTTGACTCGCCGGAGGACCTTCTTGCACAACTATACATTGTGGTTGCAAACGTGTGCGAAATGCCTGACATTTTTCAAAGTGTTTTCTAATCCTTTTTACGATGCTACCAATCATCGGCGGCTCTGGATAATGGCGAACGTGCTGCTGTACTGATTAACCATTAAGGTAAAGGGACAGTGCCCACGGCCTCCATCACTTATCACTTTACGACGCTACTAAGCATGTATTACTGTTGGTGGTCACAATTTTGAGCATTTCTTGTGACTATTGTATTGCTGCAAAGAACCACTATAGGTTGATTTTGTAAACAAATACACTTTTTCTCCCGTGCCATTTTTTGCGTTCTTGCCTTAATACATAACTTTAGACTCTACATTTATGTACAAGAAATACATGTTTTAGTACACTCAAGTATTCATCCAAGTTTATCTCATGATCGTAGAACCACTCTGTATAGTACATAAATTCAAACAGTAAAATCTTATACGAAATAAGATTAAAATTCTATTCGCAAATTGTCGAATGAGGTATTTATTTTATGCATGCAATTATAAATATATCTGTATTTGCTAAATATCAGTGGAAGCAGATATTTATTTAAATAAAACAATATTATTCACTCAGGTGTATGATCTGGTTAAGAATTTACGATGGAAATCTCTTTAACCGTATTGAATAAAAAATGACTGAAATTAAAAGGAATTTATTTGTTTTATGATTGATTAAGTTTAAGATTTAAGTTTACGATTGTTTTAATTTGCATTTTACTTGTCATCTAAAAATTAATGATTGTCAGAAAAATAATAACATTTGCTTTGAAAATTGATCAGAGTTCTTCATAAACACCGAAGGTACTGATTTCAAATGCATTGGGAGAGATTGCTATGAATAAATAAATAAATAAAATAAAAATAAAAAGTCGCCTCACTCCGAGTCCACAGGCTTTCTCTAAAAGACTAATATTTATGGTTGTTAAGAAGTTTTTAAAGCAAAGTGGCTGCTTTTATATTATTCTTTATTGGGAATATTTTATTTATGAAATGGTACGGATTTGCAATGAAAGCAATTTCTTAAGGAGGAAAAAATAAATCTATTTATTTATTTATCTGAATATAATCCATAATTTTTAATAATATTTGTGTACATTAATCCCTTTTCTTTAATAGCTTATTTTAAAACACTTATTAAATATATTTATCTGTACAACTGCTATGCAAGATAATTTTATTAAAACAAATACGTTTTTCGATACAGCTACTATGCGAAATAATTCTGTGAAAACTGACAACAAAATTCCACTTATAAATATATTTTTTCTCTACTGCTACTATGTAAAATAATTTTGAGAAAACTAACAACAAAATTGCATTCATAAATATATTTTTCTCTACTAGTGATATGCAAAATAATTCTATAAACCTAGCAACAAAATTTCATTTATAAATATATTTTTCTATACTATTAATATGCAAAATAATTTTATGAAAACTAGCAATAAAATTTAGAAGTTAATTAAAATTAGAGGGGAAAACAAATTGAATATAAAGATGAGTATCTATACAAAAGTGCAATTAAAATATTATAACCCCAAAAAAGCAAAGAATGCATTATAATAGCACTGTGTTAAGTTTAAATTTCATATCTATGCGATTTTTTTTAATTGGTGAGGTAAAAACATGCTGGGGCTATCTCATACAAAACGAAAATGTGCTTGAAAGAGTTATACAATTATTTTTTAATACTTAACAAATGTTTCTGTAAGAGTTGTTAATATATATTGTAGAAGTAACGAATGCTTTGTAGGTGTTGCAAATGCCGATGTACCAACCGATTTGCTGAAAAGTGATTTTGATTGGGTAAGACACATTGGAATAGACAGTTTTGGACCACCAAAAGATCATACACTTGGATCCCCACAAGGTACAGTTATTATTTTATCAATATGTTCTCATGTTTAAAAATAATGTTGACAGGTTTTTTTTTCAAATTTGATTATATCCTTATATAAGTTATATTTATTATATCGTTTTATTGTTTTGCTGATATTTTTATTTGTTGGTTTTGAAAGCTAAGTTTATAATGCGTGAATCACTGATCAGTTTTGAAATGGGATTACTAGCTTTCATTTAAATGAGATTTTTGTTAACTAATGCTATTAAATTAAATTTCCTTTCCCTTTGACGTGAGTAATGAACTATGATAGGAAAATAAGTATTGAGAAAGAAGCCGCTGCCTTTGTCTATTTGCAAATATGCAAATAGGCATATACAAAGCAAAACTGGAGAATTTGTTAATTAGGTATTATTGTAGGCAAAGAACACATGGAATATTTACACCGCACAGGAAATGCACAATGTATATTTGCAAGGACGAAAGTAGGCATATACAAAGAAAAATTATGGAATTTAAATAGGCTTAATTTAGAGAAAGCACAAATGAAATATGTACATTACACGCATGGAATATTTGAAAGTATGCAAACTGGCAAAGTAAAATTATATAATTTAATTCGGTATTGATTTAGACAAGAGTTTCTTAAACTTTTCTCAGTCGCGACCTCGTTTTATCATTGAGATTTTTCGCAACCCCCAGGACCCCATAATATTTACAAAAATTTTGTGGGACCCCATAAGTATTGCGCAAATCCGACACACCCTTGAGTGAAACCGTCAATTTTTTTCACTTGTACTGTAATATACTATTGCAGTTTTAGGTCATTAACTTTAATTTCTAATTTTAAGGCATAGAACAATGTGAACATTTTAAATAAGTAACAGACGAAATGACAGACTCACGTGCAAAGCAAGGAAAATGAACGTTTATATTATAAAAATAATGCGTCGAAACGTCTTCGTTTTTTTTTCTTTGTCTGTATTGTCTTATGTGTATGTATTTTCAGATACATTGTAAAAAAATATTTGGTAATTGTAAAATTATTATAATAAGTTAAAGAAATATCAAAATTGCTAAAATGTTTTGGCAACGCCCTTCTGCAGATCCCTTCGACCCATAGTTTAAGAAACTCTGATTTAGACAAAGCACACATGAAATATTTACCTAAACTGAGAATGTTTCTAAGATATAGTAGTAAGCTGATGGCATTCTGGAACAGCAAAATATAAGAAAAGAAGTTGTTTGTCATTGCAGTTATTAAAAAGAAACAACTTCATATATATATATATATATATATATGACAAAAATATAGTTTGTGAAATTAGGTTAGTTTTTATTGATTAGAAAACTGTCTATAGCGTATTGAAAAATGCCCAGATTTTAAAAGAAGAAAAACGATTGGTGAGTAGAAAGAATGGCATCTTTCCTTCCAAGCTCATGTTTGGAACGAAGGACAGCTGTTCATTCTTTGCAGTTTAAGGGTTCTAATGGAGAAAGTATCCCGAGTTTAGCCTAATTCTATGCTGTGAATTTAGTATATTGCCAAAATACTGAACCTGAAAAACTAAGTACAGGATAAATAATTACAAATGGAATTTTAACTGAATACATCGAAGTGTAAGTTGTAGTTCTGTAACTGTATAGGATTGTAAGTTATTATTCTTTGCTAATGCCATTCCTGCAGCACCAGTTTTTCAGATTCTCCTACCAGCTCTTTATTTTGTATTTTAAAATACTTTGTACATATTTATAACATGAAGTCTGAAGACGTTAACTTTAGATATATATATTATTCCTTTATCTTTACAGGTTTCTACTTGCTTCTGGACACAAGAGCCGTTTCAGCTGGCGAAAAAGCGGTGTATGTCTCCGAACGCCTGCGTACTACTTCTGGCGTTTGCTTAAGTCTCTGGTATGCTACGTCTAGTTACAAAAACGGAGCCTCGCTTCAAGTATACAGCAGTGGGGACTTCACCACAGCAGACCAAATCAAAATGATCAATGATACAACGAATAACAAATGGACTCGATCACTAATTACAGTAGCACTTTCTGTAACGTCGGATGTATCCTACATGGACTTTTGGGTGGGTGTTTCGTGAAATACATGGAGTTTTACTCTTGTATCGTATTCAGTCCATGGACTGAATACGATACAAGAGGGACATCGGATGTTACATCGGTTGTAACATAGCATGTGCCCTACATGGACTGTTGTGTGGCTGTTTCGTGAAATACATGGAGTTTCACTCCTATAGAGTGTTCAGTCCATAGACTGAATACTCCTTAGGATCACAAAGTTCAGATCTAAGCTCGAGCTTTCATGTGGCTCTCAAATCATCGTGTCATTTCTTACAGTCCTGAGAGGGCAGCAAATTGTAGCTCGTACTTACTAAAGCGCTATCTGATAAACTGAGCAAACAGTATACAGCAAGAAAAAAATGCGGTCATCATAGCAAGAGGAAAATAATCTTAAATTAACACGCAATTAAGGTAATGTTTTAATAACTAGGAAAGAGATAAGAAAGAGAAGGTTAACTCTAGAAGGAAACAACAGTTATAAAGCTGTTGCTATGCAGTGTGGCTGTTTAATAGCAATGCACGGCATGATATTTCGTTCGTGGGATGAAAACCTACGTAGAATTCGATGATAAAATATACCTTAAAAGGCCCACCAGAGGTCAAGCGGTAAAGTCCCTGAACACTGGTAGTTCGATCCGAGGTTCGAATCCCGCGAAAGGGCTAGCTGCATGGGCGTTCTCGTGTTTTTCCCTATGTCTAACGAGTAAATGCCAGTTCCCTATGCCAGTTTTCCGCGAAGTCTTCCGCGAAGGCATCCCTCCCTTCTGTGTAATGCTGTAGGACGTAACGCGTAAATAATAATAAAAATATCCGAAGAAACTTAAATCTGCATATTGTGAAAAAGAAGTGCTGTTAGTCCAAAGGCAGTTTATAGTTAGTTTACAGGCGATATGATACGGTTACACTTCAACTAAGCCGAAAAAAAAAAAAAAAAAAAAAAAAAAAAAAACTCACCTTAAACGCGAAAAAAATTCATTCTTGGTCCAAGCCTAAACATTGCGATTTAAAGTGCATCCACCGCACGTAACGGAATCAGGAAAAAGATGGAGAAAGAAACCGGAACCTAAATTATTGAACCTGGAACTAATGAAAATAGCCGATAGTTTCAAAATGAGCAGACGACACATAAAGTGGTTAATCAACGATTCAATACAAAACGAGGAAGCCGCACACATCATTCCTTTTTATAGTTCGACCCCCTCATCCGCGACCATGAGCGCAAACACGCTTGCGCCATTCGGACCGAATTATTCTCAAAATAGGGTGGAAGGATCGGTACTTTCTTTCCTTCCAGCATAGCTCTTTCTGAGGAAGAGAAGACCTTTCGCATCGCAGCAAGTAATACCGCCACTTTTGGGCGAGTCCCATGTGTTTTGGCAGAATGCCAACCAAGGTTGCGCTTGAGACGGACGAATTGTACTATGCCCAGCACCGAAAACAATAAAATTTCTAAAAATAGCATTTAATGTCGGCGAATTGGCAATAATCCTTTATT